TCTGGCATAACCTTTTTCAAATATAAAAACTATATCAACACGAAAGTGTATCATAATCAAAACTCCAAAACATTAACGAATCGGTCTCGCAGACTGGTATTCATAAATTTGACATGCATCTTTATACATTCTTGAATCCAAATAATCAACTGCCGCATTATTTTCAATAATATCCTTCACATATCGATTATATTGCTGCTTCCATATGTTTTTCGCCTACCATATGAAAATGAATCATATATCAACTCTGAAAATGTAACCGAAAAAATAATGTATATCGTCCCTTGGCAGAAAATGAGCCCGCAGCACGATTTTATAGTTTGTCACTATCTTTGTTTTTATCTCTTGGACCGCACGGGAGGAAATTCCCATAATGTTCGAAGAACATCCTGCTTACCTAGGGACTCTAGGAAGAATATAAAGAGAGGAGGTGGGTTTTTTAACTTTAGATGATTATAAGTTATTGGGAATATTTCCATTGGCGAAGACATCCAAACCTTTGCCGTTCTTTATAGACAAACGAGTTTTGGTAAAGTGCTGTTTGACATATTTCAAGGTTGACAACGGTTTTGCTATAGCGATGAAATGATAGCAGAGATTTCTGAGGAAGATTTCCCGTGGAAGTATCTATAGAAAAGTGGAAGGTCATCAACTTTTCTACGGTGTTCTAATGAGGTCAACGGTTTAGTGAGTGTGGCATCACCCACCAGGCGAATGGCTCTTCTTTGGATGGAATCTGAGAGCATCAGCGAATGTTTAGATGATGAACCCCTAAAACCATATCCTATATTTTTAGCCATCAATTAAATTAAAACCTCTATAGGACTTTTGGGCTGTGATCCGAAATACGTTTTTCGAGTACTACATTTTTAACATAGGTCTTTCTATGAGATCAGTCAGCAAAAATAGGAAGGGGTATTTACAAGACAAAGCTGCTATCAGTGCTATCCTATTTTTCCACCTCAGTTCTATTTTATATCTTCATGTTCAAGTAGGTATTACTTATATCTTTTTCGAAGACCATTTCTTGTCCACCATGTATTATTTATGAGCAAGATTGTCACCTATATTGCTATAACATGTGTTATGTATGGTGATTAGGGCAATTATCATCGATATGGGTTCATTATATTGCATCGGCATAACATTCCATTCATATTATTCAACTTCAATCCAAGAACAATGAAATTGAAAGACAAAACAATGAAAACTGGCTCAACTTTTTAATTGAATATTTAACAAAATTTCATAATCCCTTGTCATTGAACAATTCATTTGATTTGACCAACAAAATTAAAGATTTTGAGATTCCTCCAGAATCTATTCGTCTATCTTTTGATGTTGTGAATCTCTTGCCCCCTCAAGTTGGTCCGTGAATTTTTTTAAAGCTGATTTGTTATCTTTTTACATTTTGAATATTAACACTCTTTTAGACACAGTTTTGAAGCAGAATTTCTTTTAATTCAATGAAGATTATTTTCCCAAATCTCTGGGCTTGCAATGGGTAGTAATCTGTCACCATTATTGGCCGTGATTTTCCTTTGGAATTTAGAACAAAAATCACCGACTTTCCCTTTATTTAATTTATTTAATTTATTTAATAAAATCTGTTTCTGCCTTGTACGTTTTGATGGTTCATTATTAGAAGTTAATCTTTTATTAGATTTCTTGAACACCTTACACCCTTCTATTTGTTTTACCATTGAGGTTGCTCAGAATAACTCCCTCCGTTTTTTGGAAACCTATACTCATACAGACACCGATGTTCAGCTTACTTCTAGCTATCCGTGGCTCCATAAATGTCCTGCTTTCATTTTTTCTTCCACAGTATGTTCAATATTCCTTCATTTTTTTGGATGTATGATAAATTGACATTCATCATACAGGACGTGGAAAGAAATTCTGAATTGAGAAAACCTAATCACGAATCTGCAATTAGGTTTTCTCAATTCAGAATTCAGAAAGAAGGTACTTTTTACAGGAGATCATTATACCTACATCATATTGGAATGTTCGACGACTCATTTTACCAACAGAGGTTACTGTGAAATGTGATATGGATCCCAAAATTTGATATAAAATATTACGAAGATCTAACAAGAAATTCTTCCAGATGGCTACGGTAAAGTGGTGACAATTTACCTACAGAGCTACAAACGTATTTTCAACATTTATTGTATGTGAAAAAGACTAATTTTCAATCGGTATTGGTATTCTGATCATTCCATAATATAGGTATGTTAACCATATCTGTATACTCTCGAACAAACTCTTCCACTTCTACATAAGACACTATTCATATCGTTATACCTATGATACAAGTGGATAAGAATTAGATAAATCTATCATTTTGTGAAAAAAAAATCATGACATGAAATGTAATGTCCCCTCCCCCCCCTCCTTCGTCCAAAAAATCTTGCTGGATGCGCTGCTGTTAAAAGGTACGCTATAAAGGAAAAAGGGATCGGTATCACGTTCGTAGTATATTTTTTCGATTTATTGATTCCTCATTGTTTTCCTTAGTCGAAAAATTGTTTGCACTAACTTTACTCACTTTCAAAAGTATTTTCCTCTAAATCTGTGAATTTGGAACATACCTATATAGTTCATCTTGTACGTGGTTAGGTAATAATTATCAATTTTGAGATGGCAGCTTAATTATTGGGCTTATTCACGTTCGTCAATGAACGAGATTCATTACTATTTATGAAATTATATTTCAGGTTTGAGAGATTATATGCTACGAAGTTTGAGAATAAAATTGATTGGTACCTGTCAACGGAAGTGAAAGCTATTTCAAAATATATGGAACATCCAGTGGCGTACCTACGAGGGGCGGGAGATAAAGGGGATATATCCCTCCTTGTGATGATATAGAAGACACCACTGTCTTTCACGTATTTTACGTTTTCATCTCTCTATATATATATACACATGGTGTTTATTAAACGTGCGGAACAAATTCATGAAATCGTTCCTCGGACTATTCTAAGAACATTTTGTTCCTTGATGATTTTTGAAAACTCTCTTTGTTCCGAAAATACAGGGCAAACAACATTTTCGAATTAAATAGCGTTGATATTTTTGAAATTGTCAAAAGTGCGAATAAAATTGCTACACTGTGTTTACCAAGTACTTACCCAGCAAACACAGTTACATGATACCGATGTAACAATTGAGACCTGTGATATCACATTCTATGTCGAATAGACGTCGCTGTGATGTCAGAGGATGCTATTTTGTCCCACTCAAGTTTCATCCATGTGACGTCGCTGCGATATAACAGCGAGATATTGTATGCAATGTTACTGCGATATGTTATTGGGACGGAAAAGCGATGTGTTTTGAAACGAAAAGAAGGTTTCCTCAAACATGATGTGATAATTGGTACACCACTGTCTTCTGATGATATCTACTATTGATTATGTTATGTGTTGTTGTGACAGTGACTGGTTGTTGGTTCCTCGGACCTCCTGTCCATTCGATCGTTTTTTCATTAGCGCAATCCTTGGTAACTATACAAATCCAGACTGTTAAAAAATTATGTAGTGTGTGTCGGCGAGATGTAAGCAAACCAACAAGAGTTTGATAGAAATGTAACGGATATTTGCAAATCTAACTTGACTTTGTTGAGTAACGTACATTCGCATGTATTCTTGTTCACCCAACAAATATCTAAATAAAAATTTTTCGAAAAGTTCTAGCATATGAGTTTGCTTCTGTACATCGCAGCGATGCATTATTCGTGATATCGCACTGCTGCCTCATCGCGACATCTCAGAGATGTCATGTCGCAGATGAGTTTGCCTCTGTACATCACAGCGATGTAACATTCGTAATATGGAAGTTTTGCCTCATCGCGACATCTCAGAAATATCATGTTTGCAGATATTTTTGCATATGAACATCGCAGCGATGGAACGTTTGTGATATCGCACTGTTACCTAAACGCGACACCTCAGAGATGTCATCATGTCACAGATGCGTCGTTGACTGGGTACAAGATTTGCTGGATGTTACTCGATAAAAAACTACCCTGATGGTGTTTTTCAAAGAGTTCTGCAGCAAACAAATTTTCAGAAATCATCAAAGGATCATCGTTGGTCGTTGTGTGAGACTAGCACGGACTAGCTTGAAAGCGCATGCTCAAATCAGCGATTATGATGAATACAATAGTGTACAGGCTTTCATATCAGCAGTTATTTCTCGTTTTAGCTGACTGAAAATTCGGCATCTATTTTCTCCCAATAAATATTTTAAATCGGAGGAACAAATAAGGCATTCAGAAGATACCTATTGGAATTTCCTCAAACGGTGCAGTGTCAGTTACATACATAATATATCTACTAATATTCCTAAAATTATTATCAAAGCTGAAATGAAAATGTGACATAAACATTTGAATAAATCATAGGCCGAGGCGCTTAGATTTTATTCTGCATGCAAGGCTCAAATAAATTATTATATTCACCAATAATCATGAATAAAAATGTATTTTGAAAAAAGTATTCCCCGATGTACACTTTTGGGTATACGCCACTGAAAACATCCTCATTCGCTCGCCGTATTCCGAATTTCATACAGATTCCAATTTGATGTACTTTTCGAGACATCTGAGTAGCTAATACGTCTAGTTATTCTCGTCAATAATCACCCTGAGAAAATGGCAGTAAAATATCATCAACCGCTAGCGAAGCCCCTGGCCTGGGGTGAGCAATTTAATCTGTTAGCTCATCAAAGGTTAACACGTTGTTTCTCACCCTGTAGTATAAACAGCGCAAACCGAGAAATACGCACAGCGTTGCCGATTCTATCCCAGAAAACGGATCGTTATCTCCATATAAATATATCCCACGTAAAACGTGTTCGGGTGCTCGGCAGTTTGTGTTGTGGTGTGCTCTGAATCAGCTGCGATCACACATGTGGGTCGATCACACGTTACTTATTTCCATGAACAAACTCGTTAAGTGTACTTAAACTTGTGATATCTACCGTTGACAATGGATACAGGGACGAAAGTTACCAAAAATCGAAATCCTGCGGAAAATGCGAATCCCCTATCCCTTCTAACCTTTGTGTAAGTTTATTTTTGATATCTCAATTATAGCCTTATAGACTTCAGGTTATTGTTGAAATTATTTTCGCCGTATTCCATTTTTTGTCTGCATTGAAATAGTTATATCTAGTAGAAGTCAAAAACAAGTAGGTATACCTACCTACATTTGGCACTCAACATTCAGCTTGTATCCTGGTCATTACCCTTACCCGAGCCCTTACCTGACTGCTCATCTACAACACATCATGACCTTTTCCGAGTCCTTTTCCTTCTGTATCTGTAGTCAAACCCAAACTTTGCCAAACCTTGATGCAAATAAACTGACGTCTAATCCCTGCCTTTATGTAAAGAATTTCTGGAATAAGCAATCAATAATTGAATGACGCACATTGCTAGCGCTATAGGAACAGAAAAAACAATACCCTACAATACGTTTCGAGTACTGAAAATCTCGAAGAAATAGAACCGAGAATAGAACTGAAAAGTACTGAGAAACTAGTGATTGTCATTTTTTGACAGTACTCACAACTGAAATGAGAGTTTTCACTTACACAACATACAGATCATAAAGGTTCCTAAACAGATCAAAAGGTAATTCATATAATCAACTCGAAAAATTACCTTTATCATTTTATGTATTTATTTTCATCAATTAATAAATGGACAACAATAATAACAACAACATGAAACTGTTAATGATTCAAATATAAAACTGTTTCTGATAAAGTCATGATAGACACAATTGAAAATAACATCTCCGCAGTGTTTAGTTTCGGCACTAGACTAGCTCACACATTTGATTTTTCCAGCGCCTCTGATTTGTTCATCCACCTCACAATGACATGATTCCGATTTTTGAGAAGCAATAAATATAGCAACTTGACAAAAAATGACACACACAAAAATCTGTGACTCATCAGTGCAGTGACGTTAACAATGGCATCTGTCAAATCCTGAAAAAAATACAATTGAAACTTGTAGGCAGATGCAACATTGAAAATGATAATGACCTATAGGCATGTTCGTAGATCAGTGGAAATACCTCTAGGACGATAGTATCTATACTATGATAGCACAATCATTCATATACAGGGTGTATCTAAATAACACCGAAAAATTCAAGAGGTGTTTCCTTGTGATATTCTAGCAAATGAAGTTCATATGAACATGTGTCCTAACTTGCTCCGTTTTTGAGATACAGGATGTTGAAGTTGGAAGGATCAATTGTTTCTATTTATAACCACCCTGTATAAGCTTTCATGGTGCCAAAATTTCAAAATGATTCTAATTGGGGTTATTGAGTAATCTCAATGGAAGTCTTGAAAAGACCTGCATTAAAATTTGGAGTCAAATCGAATTCATATCGTTTCCTCAAAAACTAAGCTAGATACAAAAATCACACAGAGCATAAAAAAGTTGTGTAGTTCAATCTAACAAAAATATGAAACTCAGAAAAACCGGTGGAGTACAATGACATTCACCATGAATATCGATAAATTCACCCACTGTGACGCCACTGGAAATATTATTTCGAATCCAATTGCACTAGAAGAAGCTCCATATTACTATTAACAAAACCACAACGTTCTATTGACATTGATGAAAAGACAATTGAGAAATGAATAGAAAAAAATTGTTCATGGAAATATTAATACCCTGTATCTCAGGCAATCAACCCTTGAATTTTGTTGGTGTTATTTAGGTACTCCCTGTACATATAACTATAGCTAAAACATAGACCTTGAAATTACATGATTCCGAGAAAAAACACACAGCAGATCCGCGAGTATCAAGGTATTTCAGATTTCAGCCTTTCACAGGTATTACAAAGTATTTCACAACCACTACGAAGTATTTCAAAACCATTTCGACGTATTTCACACGATTTCACAACCATTTCTAAGTATTTCACAACCATTTCAAAGTATTTCACAAGTATATTTCACAGTATTTCAATAATTCACAGGCATTTCAAAGTACCGGGTGACCAGTTATATTCTGACCCATTTCAAATGCTTATATCTCTGAAACCATTCAAGTTATCGTTGTGCAGTTTGGACTAGTCTATTTTGATATTTTTCAAGTTTTTTTTTTGACAGGTTCACCTTCTCTCTTGAACATCCGATTCTACCGGAAACAAACTAGCCATTATTCAGGTATAGGGCAACTTTTTTATTTCATTGAATCACCCTATATTTTTGCACATTCAGAAAGACTGGTCTTTCCTCTTTCTAACAATGTATAACAAGTTATGTTTTCTCAGAAAACTATCAGAGTTATAACTGTTTGAAACAACTACTGCATGTGGAATGGTTTAATGAGATTTTGCAATGCAACCAAAGTCGTCTTTGAAAATCCTGATCACAACACATGAAATGCCAGATTAGATGTGTCAAATAAAGATTGTCGAGCATTTGTACTTTCTTCGAGTTGAAAAATGTTTACTTTGACTGAAAAAGCAAATGAACTCATCATAAATCTGCATCAGATTTATACTCAATATACGGTAATGTAATTCAGCATTTCAGGATAACGTCCTAATATGCAGTAGATGCTTCAAAGAGTTATAACTCTGATAGTTTTCTAAGAAAACATAACTTGTTATAAATTGTTAGGAAGAGGAAAGACCAGTCTTTCTGAATGTGCAAAAATATACAGGGTGCTTCGATGAAATAAAAAAGTTGCCCTATACCTGAATAATGGCTAGTTTGTTTCCGGTAGAACCGGAAGTTCAAGAGAGAAGGTGAACCTGTCAAAAAAAACTTGAAAAATGTCAAAATACATTAGTCCAAACTGCACAACGATAACTTGAATGGTTTCAGAGATATAAACATTTGAAATGGGTCAGAATATAACTGGTCACCCGGTATTTGACATGAGTTCACATGAATTTAAAGGTATTTCAGATGTATTACAAAGTACTTCACTAGTATTCCATTTCAATGTGTTTCACCATTGTCGTTCTAGATGACAACCTAGCTAGGTAGTTAATAGGCGAGAGCTTATTATACCTCCTCGCACAAGGTCGCCTACTAGATTTTCATTTTGATCGACAATGGTTCCACCCTCGGTTCCACCGAGTTATCCCTCGCAGATCAGTGAGAACAGAAAGAAAAACGTGAAAAAATACTAGGTCGTTTACGATCGATGGATAGATATGAGATCTCATCTATGCTACAATGAAGTAAAAATGTACGATTACACATTAAACAACGGCATGATTTACTACTGCACAAGTTCCTATTCGAGTATTCACCACTTGACATAAAAACCTAGAAAATCATTGTAAGTATAAAGTGGCATCCGAGGTGGCATCCTAAAATACGGGGTCTGTATAAATAATGGTAGAATCATAGTGGCCATTCATATATCTTAATGATTTGCGGCCGAGTTTGTGGCTTTTTCCTTATGGAGATCGAAAAGCAATCTAAAGAAAAATGAAGCAATTTTCTCGTACAGGTCCGATTTTAATGCGGTTTTTCACATATTGTTCAGAAAGGCCGTCGAAAAGGAGACCCGCCTTTTAATTGTGCATCTAAAGGTGCATTGCATCCGGCAAACCTGTCAAAATGAACGAAACGCTGCGAAATTTGGTACTGAGATGAGTGAGATGTTTTGGAGGTCGCTCAATTCGAATATGCATGTACCAAATTCGAGATCAAATTCACCAGACGTTATGGAGGGGAGAAACCCGGGGAACTTCCGGCAGCCTGGGTGGGCGTGGGTTCACGTGGACTTCAGGATATTTCAAAAGACTGGAAAAATGCCCCTCGGACACGTTCGGTGCCTCGGAGGATCATGCGGGCGCTGATTCCGAATTCGAGGGCGAAGATTAGCCCCCAGCGCTCGTAGAGTGGGGAAAAATTCAATTTTCTAGAAATGGCTGGAAAAATTTCTCTCGGGGGTTTTTGCGGGTGCTAATTCCGAATTCGGTGGCGAAAAATACCCCCTACAATCTTTTGGGGGTAGAAATTGAATGTTCTAGAAATGGCTGGAAAATAGCCCATTGGAGGTTATTGCGATCGTGGAGGTGTGTGGAATTCTACTTGTCCGATTCATGCGAAATAATTAAATATATATAAATAATTAAATATACAGGGTGATCCACGTTTGAGTTATGACTTCCGCGACATTTTTATTCAAAAGGAACAGCCTTTATATATCATTATATATATGCATTTCCTCTCATGAAAACTGCACATGCGGGAGGAAATGGATACCTTTGCTGCCTTGATTCATATAGCTATTAATTTCTATTAAAAATAATGCATTAATTTGTTATTATTTTCCTCGAAAATGATTCATTTTATCGACAATAAAAAAGAGGGAATTTTTTTGAATTCCAGGTTCAAGCAACTCAAATTATTTTTTTGGTCTTTGTCATGCATATGGGGTGTTGAAAATTTGAGCCTTAAAGATAAAACTTAGTCCACTCCTGATGAACTATAAGGCAGGTGAATTTGTTTCTAGGACACTATTTTAAGGAGTCCTTACTAGTGTCCTTCATATTGAATTTTCATTGAATAATAATTATACAGTGCTTTTCTTTAACGTTCCCCTATTTTTATTTTTCGAACGGGTCAACTAAGAAAATTGAAACTTGGAATAATTAAATTGATGACAAATGAAAATTTCAAGATGGCGACTGGGTGCCATCTGGTGAGAAAAATTACATGAAAAGAGGGGTCCTGTGGCACATCTTTCCGAACCTCCTGACGAATACTACACAACTCTTGAATATATAGACAATATCTTCACCTACTACAAAATGGCAGAACATTCAACAGTTGCCTGAATACAAATACTACAGTGCTTTTCTTAGACTTCCCCCCCCTTTTTTATTTTTTGAACGGGTCAACTGAAAAATTTGAAACATGGAATAATGAAATTGATGCATGAATACTATATTTTTTGTAGTAAGATTGACAGATGAAAATTTCAAGATGGCGACTGGGCGCCATCTGGTGAGAAAAAACTAAATGGAAAGGGGGGTCTTGTGCGAGGTCTTGTGGCTCCTGTGAATAATCTTTGGTAGATGTCCATGGTTTCCGAGATGGTTTCTCAAAGTGGAGTCAAGTATTGAATACTAAATGATACACAAAGTCATCTCAACAACATTTAACGTGATTAAAACATCAAAAATTGGTACATGTTTCAGACATATTATATACACCGTGTCCCAGCTAAAATGTCCCCCCCCTGTAAAGAATCAACCGCGTGATTGAATGACTTGAAATTTGGTCACCCAGTATATTTGATGATGCTCACTCGACTTATGCTATTGAATGAATAGTAGGTATACAGGGTCACACCGAAGTGCACCTCAACTTTATTATTTGAATAAGGACACTCAGTATATTATTCCATATTCAAGTAGAGTTCATTATTACAAATTCAACAATGCCGGGTTTGATGGGATTTTTTCAAACGACAACGAAGATATGGCAAAAAATCAAACGATTCAATAAAAAATGTTTTTTATAGGAGTATAAGTTGATTATATTGACATTGTTGATGGACATAAACTTTGATGATGAAGAATAATTTCAAAATCTTTTGTGGGTGAATAATGTTTGTATATGAAGCAATCAACAGATTCAACTTACTGAAAGTCTCGTTGAAAGTGATAAATCTTGTGAGCAGACATACCTAAGATCCATTCTGTATAGATTCCGTATAGATTTCAATGATCTAATGATATCAACTCCTAGACAGTGCCTCTACCGGATCAAGTATAGAGTATACTAGGTTAGGCATATGTGTGGAAAAACCCAATTTCTAACTGAACTAGTTTTTTTTTTTCTACTGAGAATACCTCGGAGAATACAATATTTTGTTCTCTTCTACTCAGTGGCCTATGTTGATTCCTGATCGATATCATATTGTTGTAAATATGGAGCAGTCAGCAGTTTTTGTTCTTCTCATTTCCATTGATATAAAATTTGGCGTGTATGTGACTGGTGGTTGTAGAAATATAAGATGTAATAATGATAATTGATAAAAAAATTCTCGTGAGATCAATAGTTATTATATATTATTTACGAGTTATTTATTATAGAAGGGCAAAAAGTTGTAGATTTTAGCTCCAGGATGTGTTGTCTCCCGACACTATTTTTTTCTGTGACAGGAAAAACGACAAATCAATATTGAGGAGATATTGTATTATACTAAAATCAGAAAATTATCGACGTTATTTGAAGTTTTTAACATGAATGACACCTGCGTTGCAGGCATCTTGATCATTATTTTGAAGTAATAAACTATCTGTCAGTCTAATTCGGTGATTTGATTTTCAAAAATTGCCAATTCAGTGGTTGTTTATATAGTAATTTACGTAACCGCGAAGTCGAATGGAGGATAAAAGGATTTGCAGTTTTTTCTCGGAGACGGTTTATTTTTCGGAACTATAGCATGACAAAAGCCATCAATAGTGTATACATATATTCATGTAATATATATCCGGAAAAAAGTACTGACGTTTTTCCCGTCACAGAAAATAGTAATTTACGTAACAAGTCCGGGAAATACTGTTTATTTTGGACGAGTAGACAAAATTCTAGGCCAAGCCATAGACGAGTCCTGGAAGTCTGCGAGTCAAAAAAAAATTGTTTTTGGACGTGTTGCGTACACAATTTTTTCGGCAACCATCATATGTAGAATAACAATTCAATGAGACACATTTCCATATTATATTTCATTATGGAATACAATTTCTTCTTTATTAATTCTTATTTGTATCAAATAATGAAATTTGAACAGCGAATACCTTTACCTATACTAACTGCTACATTGGAAATTTCGTATGGACATTTTCAAACTCACTATCGCTGCTGCTTCCGATAGTTTATTGCGATAATTGCAACCAAACTTTCAAAAATCCAAATGTCAACTAATTTCATGTCTAATAGCTGTCAGCCGATATTTCGCTGCTATGGTAATTATCATCTGTATTTATCAAAACCTTATCTACCAAGATTTTCATAGTCACAGTGACAACGATGTGATACTTCCTGGCCTAGTACCGAAAGTACTTACTTCCCGGACTAGGCCGGAAAAATGCTACTTTCTCAAAGAAATAGCGTCCGGGAAGTGCGAGGGGAAGTGAGAACCCCCGGACGGTTGCCGAAAAAAATACTTCATAGACAATAATACTGAGAGTTCCATTTGAATTGAAATGACGTCCATATACTCCTAACAATCATCGATAGCCCATCATATATGCATAGTAGTTTTCTATGCTCATGAAAATAAACTATTGAAGTCTATGATAAATGTTCAAGAATTATAAATAAGTGTCCTTTTGTTCCAGTTTTGTTCGCTCCTATGAAGTGAATAATCATGTCAATTTGATACTGGGTAATGTTTACGTCGTTACCTAACTATTTCCATGCAATGATTGTTCAAAGGTAAAAAAATAGCGCTGAAAAAACGCTGATGAAACATTGAATGGATTGGATTATTTCCCGGATTATTATTTATCGATTAGGTAGATACTTACCTTACCTCTAGCCTTCTCTATTACATAATTCGAAGGATAATTATAAGTATTATTATTTTTCTCGCAAAATGAGATAGAATCAAAGATATTCAATGTAGGATATTGATATGGATTCAACAAATTCTTTCGAATTTACCCGTTCTTTAGTAGCCTATTTCTGAAGTACGAAAATTCTATATGCCAGTCTGCAACAACGACAGAACTCAAGTATTTGGGTTCTGTGGCAACAACCACATGAAGGTGAACGTTTCTCGTAGGAACATTTGCTAGACAACTTGGGAACTCCTTTAAAGGATAATATACTGTGGTAAGGCGTAGCATAATGTTCTATGAATTAATTCAAATAATCAATCGGATTGAAGTAGTATCGCAAGTAGCTAACACATTTTGAAATAAAAACTATAATGACATTTTTATGTTTTCTCTTCTGATGATTCAAATCTTCTTCCATATAATTGTTCAGCATAAAAATGTTCAACTTTGCTCTACATCAACCGACCGATTATATATCAACATAGGAAAAACCTATTTCATGAGGTTAATAATTGGCAAAAAAAAGCCTATACTTGGATTTGAAAATCAATTTAGTTGGACTCATTAACAAATTATCGTCGGTGGAATTTCTAGAAATTACAAAAGACTGCTGTCTAACGTAGAAACAACATTTTGATCATTCATCATCAAAACTACATTCATCATCCTTCTGGTTTAGGAACTTATATTCTATATTTTATCTGAGTATCAGTTGCTCTGTCTATATCATGCAAAAGTCGGTTCCAAGATCAGATTTTTGAGTATCTGTCTTTGGGGTTACATTCTATTTTATCTGAGGATCAGCTGCTCAGGCTATACCACTTTCTGAGAGGTCATTTTGAACATTTGTTGTGGATAACCATTCAATAATTCATTTCATACATTCATTTACTCACAATTAGAAAACACTGATATGTCGAAAACGGCTTGTTGGAATTCAAAAAACGTTGCACTGATAGTGTCAGACTTGGATGCTCTTTGCAATGATGTATTCCATGACCCTTATCCCCTATTCAAATTATCGAGGGGGCTGCTCTGGGGAGTAGAGGGTTGAACTATGTATTATCTTTCTTGGGTCAAACTATGTCTCTTTCCAGATAAAAATCGACGTGTTTCATTTTATTTTTGTAAAATCATTTTTTTGCTTTTTATTGAGGGTGCATAGTCTTGAATGGACCACCTGGTGTATTTTGCAAGTATGCACATTATCTTCATTTGAAGAAACAAAAACAAAAGCATTCATAATTTCAATACACGTCACAAGAATGACTACTTAGGTACCATCGAGGGTACCATGTACCGACCATGTTAGAATACCGTACCAATAAGTCGCCTAACAATATTGAAACATTGAAATAAGAACCTTCAATAAGATGCCAATCAGTCTGAGAAATTCTTCAACGGTATAATCATTTGAAAACCAACAGTTGAACATTTTTTTACTTGACAAGCGTGGTAGTGAATTTTTTGAGAATTTGTATTTTTGCTACTTCTTTATCGCCATGTGACAAGTCCTATACAATTGATGTAATTGTCTTAGAGGATAATAAACGTATCTTATCTCATCTTACCTCATATCTCTTATAAAAACTGAAATCCCAATGGTGGATCTCGATGAACCGGCACCCTGTATATATGGTTAAAAAAATGAACCTCCATGCACATTTTTTGACGTGTTCAAGTAATTTCTTGCAAACCCTCAATGTAACAGTATGATATCTGATTTATTCCACATCCTATTACCATATGGTGTATATTTTCTATAAATAATATCCAAAGTCCAAATTATCTATAAATACACTTACTTTTGTGAAGGTCAAATTTCATTTTTAACTATTGGGAAGTGGGTAAATGATAATCTTGATAATTTGATGGACCGACTGAAATAAAAGGGCAATGTTGACATATTTTGATGTACCTAATATGTATATAACATTTCATGTTTGAAATTTGCGGTTATTGAGAATAAAATACTGTACTGTACTGTACTGCACTGATAAACTTTTTGGGCATAGACACAAAATATCTCGCAAAATATTTATCAATTTCATTTGTTTCAGATATATGTTCCCAATATTTAGAAAGACATTTAAAGAGTCCTTAACAGAAGATGATCTCTTTAGTCCACTCACAGAACACAAATCTAGCATCCTAGGCTCTAAATTAGAAAGAATATGGAAAGAGGAATACCGGATACACAAGAAAACTGCTCTGCACAGAGCATTATTTAGAGTATTTGGTCTGTGGTATTCGATTCTAGGAATACTGAAACTTGTAGATGAACTTTTATTATTGTAAGTGTCCACTTTCTTATATAGTACCTATATGGGTATCTTTCATGAACCATTGGAAATAATATAATTTCCGTATCTAAATCACCACTAAGCTCATGCAGTAGAAAACCAATTGTGTATGCATTTTGAAAAAATATTTTTTTCATCGAGGGACGTAATCTCATGATACATTAGAATAGTTGAAGTACATTATTCCTAAGCATCAGTCTGAATTGTACACGAAATATCAATCCTATTGTAAGCTACAGAATTAACTAAGAGCATAGATTTTAAGAGTGATCCGGAATCATTCAAAACTAGTCTCACTGAGGAATTACCAATAGACAGCTGATCATGAATTATTAGGACTTGCCAACTGAGAAAATTCTGCCACAAAATGGACATCCCTGGGTGCAGACTATGCAATGAGGCTTGGAAAAGTTGGTTCATGAATATGCGCACTACGTATATCAAATTGCGCCGGCCTTGGATAATTTGAAACATCCCATATATATCATCGTTGATAATACAATATGTGCTATGCAGTGGCGGCTCCTCAGAGGAGGCAACGGAGGCTGAGCCTCCTCAGAGATTCTCCTTAAACTGATATTATCTATACTTTCTCATTAAAAGGACAACAAAATACATGGATTTTTATTTTATTTCCTGTTTTTAGGTAAAATATTTTTGAATTGGCAACAGTGCTTGCCCACGCATCACACGTTGAAGTCTGCAAATCACGCGTAAAATATTCAATTTGGCTACATCTAAAGGAGGCTAGACTCCTTCAGAACGCGAAACCCACGCACGCAATGCAAATGCCCAAATACGCCCGAATAGCAGGTGTTTGTCGTGTCGCGTCGCGAATTGCGGAGAATCCAGCGCGAGTGCATTGTTTATGTTCATGTTAGGTTAATGGTTATGGGCTCTATAAATTTCTGAAAAATGAGTGTTTTAAACGATTGCGATTTAGTGGAATACTTTCTGGTGAACCCATTCAGTGCTTTGTCTTATGAAGATAAATTGATTGTGAAAAACAAACGTCCGACACCGGAATTAAAAAATCTGATTGTATAACAAACAAAATCGTTCGTTCAATTCTGATAATTATAAAAAATATATCTGGTTGACGGGATCTGAGGTAAGGAACAAGCTATTTTGTTGGTACTGCGTATTACTGTCAACCGATAAGTCATCATGTTGGGGGCGATTAGGATATAATGATTTGAAAATTTTGCCTCGCGGATTGGATAGACACTGCAAATCACAGAAACACATCTCTTCAAGTTTTAAGTTCAGCTCAACTGGTAAACAGAATGTCATTGAAGCTATTAATTTGGGTGAGTCGTAGAGAGTTGTTTTTCACAATAAATCTCATATCATTCAGCCTCTTCTGTCATGAAAGTCTCGAGCCGCCACTGGTGCTATGGTAAGAACAAACTACTCTAGTTCGATGATAAAGCAGCAAGACAAAAACAAACAAACAGATTACAGATCTCATAAAATCTACTATGTGTAGAGAAAAACGCTTTGACAGGACAACAAAACGAAGATCAGAGATATATGTAGCCCACAAAATAATGATCCGCCACTGTGGGGACCTAGTTCCTCTAAAGACAATTTGTATACTCCAAACCTGAGTAATATCGGATGATAAAACTCACAATAAGTATTGATAATGGTGAATTCCATATTGGAACTGGGGCAAATTCATTGGAAAAATGCATAGTAATATCTCTTCTGAATTCTTAGCACCATTCACTCGATCTGAACTTCTTTCATGCCTATATAGATTCTCTAGCAACTTATCAAACCAGTATCCAACGGTTTGCAAGATACCCATTATTTAAGTAGTGCAGTTCAAAGTCATAATAATCTACAAATTTCTTCTTATAAACGAAATTCATTTTCAGAATTGGTATGCCATTATGTATAGGAAAATTAGTGTCATTTTTCGAAACCGGCCCAACGTCCACATCTCAAGACGAAGCCTTCATCTACGCCGGCATCCTAGTATTATGTTTGATAGTCAACACGTTCCTAGCCAACCCAACGTTCATGGGCCTACAGCACATCTCCATGAAGTTGAGAGTCTCCTGCAGTTCGCTGGTGTACAGAAAAGTCCTGAAGTTCAGTAAAACGGCGCTGGGCAACACGACGGTAGGGCAGTTGGTGACCTTGTTATCCAACGATGTCTCGAAGTTCGATCAGATGTTCGTTTTGGCCCATTACGCTTGGATCGGGCCGATCCAGGTGGCCTTGGGAACATGGCTACTCTATAGGCAAATCGGGATCGGATCGTTGTTTGGCGTAGGGTTTTTGGTCTCATTTGTACCATTACAAAGTGAGTATCCATTTTGCAGCCCTTCCGAATAAAAAAATGAGAGGAGATACATTTTCCCCTCCAATGACTACACTGTAGCAATTCTAGCGTCTCCTCCATTCAAATTTTGATTGATCTAGTCTGAATATACAGAGTGAGTCAATAGTGTGTTCCTCTTCGAACCGTCAGGTATATAAAAAATATTCGAATACAACAGTTATAGGATTTTATGAGAGCTATCACCTAAAACTATTTTCATATCTATAGGATGTTCGAATTTCAAGATATCGGCTGATGATGGGTGTTTTTGAATGGGAAACCCTGTGCATTTTCAAATTTTTCCTGAAGAGCTGATTTCATCAATGCATCACACTTGGGGTCTAGCGGAAATGATTACAGAGATATAGGGTGTTCAGAATCGAAAATTTTCAAATTTGGGATTTTTTTTGTGTCAGAACTATTCATTATTGGTCGAAACGGCTTACATATATATGTTCCTATCCCAACGTTTGATTTACTATCTACTGAAATTTAATTGAAATAGATACAGGGTGATCAGAAATCTTGAATTTTGAACCACCCTGTATTTGTTCCAATTAAGTGTCAGTAGATGGTGAATCAAAAGTTGAGATAGGAACATGTAAGCCGTTTCGACCAATAATAAATAGTTTCAACACAAAAAAATCACAAAGTTGAAAAATATAGATTTTGAACACCCTATATCTCTATAAACATTCAGTGCGATGAAATCAGCTCTTAAGGGAGAATCTAAAAATGTAATAATATACAGGGTGTCTCATTTGAAAACACCCATCATCAACCGATATCTTGGAATTCGAACACCCTATAGATATGAAAATAGTTTTAGGTGATAGTTCCCAAGAAACCCTATAACTGTTGTATTCGAATTTTTTCTATATTTCTGACGGTTTGGCTAATATAGAAGGAGAACACACTATTGACTCACCCGTATGTATGATAAGTTTTGCTGTTCGTGATCAAACATTCGGACAAGCCCGAACTGAAAACTAAGGAAAATCAGAAGAATAATGCGTAACTTCCTGGTTTAGAAACTTATAAACAATAAAATATTTTCAATATTGGTGACGGTTAGTCAGGGACGGCAGGGTAGGCAGGGCCGTACCAGAAAATTTGAGGAAAAAAGCTGAACTATTTGATGACTAAAATAATTTTTCGAAACTGTTTCCAATATTCATCGTTTATTATGCTACTGTTATGCCACTATTATTTGAATTTCATGCACTGAAACATTTGGGTAAGCCAATTAGCCTTCCGAATATATACCGAAAATGACGAACTAATTCAGTTCATATAAACATATACTTTTAAAAGCGTCGTTTTCGAGATATTGGGTGTTGAAAATACGAGTCTGAATATTGTTTTTTGATAAAAAGTTCGGAACGGTTTGAGATAAATCAACAAAATTTCTCACAGATACAAAATTTTTTACGCTCTATAAGATGAAATGAAAATTATTTCATGAAGTTATTCAATGGCAGCTGAATCTGGGGGTGGTGAAGGTAAATTGAAGTTTTATTGTGATTGTCCAGTTATTATTTTTCATTAGCTTATATTTCTCATATTGTTAATCCGGTTCAATTCTAAAACGTTGTAACCCATTGAAAAAATACTAGAGAACTATTGTACGCAAAAATCTATCTGTTTTCTTCCTTCACCACCCCCAGATTCAGCCGCCACTGAATCACTTCATGAAATAATTTTTATTCCATCTTATGGGGCGTAAAAAGTATAGTATCTGTGAGAAATGCTGTTTATTCATCTCAAATCGTTTCGAACTTTTCATCAAAAAACAATATTCAGACTCGTTGTTTCCATACCCTATATCTCGAAAACGACGTGTTCAAAAGTATATGTCTATATGGACTTTTTTATTATTTCTACGACTACAACACACTGTTGAATTTTTTGTATCACGAACCGGACCACCCTGTATATTATTATATTTCCAGGTTACCTCAATCTGGTGACTATTTCACTCATCTTGAAATTCTCACATGATCTGACCAATCATAAGCTGAAGACAACTTGTATCATCGCGTAAATACTAGGTGTCTTTCAATAGTTTCATTTCTGATTGGTCTATCAGCGAACATCGTTATATTACTGTAGATAATTCTTTTCAAAATTATAAATAATATACCTCAGAACTAAATTGACTTTAAATCCCTTGAGTGTTCTTTTCCTTGCGCTGAACCCTTGAGAAAGATAACATAATCGTGGAATTGAATGGTTAAGCTTAGTTCCGTCAAACATAATACATAATTATATACAACTAGTATCATGACCACATACCACGTAATATATGTTTACCAACTATTATTTAATTACACATTCAACACAACATATTGCTATTGTTATCTCTCAGTTGACACAATTGGTCATCATAATACAAAATAAACTCAAGTGATAAAGAATTTATTATTGTGTTGGCTACTCACAATCAAAATCGTTTCATTAAGGAATATTCTCTATTTATATGATTCATCATTATGTGTAATTCTCATTTCAGTATATCTCGCTAATAAAACATCAGTTTTGAGACTACGCACTGCACTAAGGACAGATGAAAGAGTTCGATTAATGAATGAAATCATCTCTGGTATCCAAGTAATCAAGATGTATTGCTGGGAAAATTCATTCGCAAAACTGATATCATTTGCTAGAGGGTAAGTAATCAAGCAAACCTTATATGCAATCACGCTATCTATCGATCGATTTTAGGAAAGAGATGAAAGCGATCAGAGCACATTCCTTTCTGACAGGAATAATATATTCCTTCGAAATATTCATAACTCGAACTTCTATTTTTATCAGTATCTTGGCATACGTTCTACTAGGAAATTACATAACCGCTGACAAAATTTTCGCAATAACTGCTATCTACAATTGCCTTCGCCCTGTTATTACAATTCTGTTCTCGCTAAGTGTATCATCTTTAGCTGAAATTCATGTCACCATACTACGAATACAAAAGATACTAGCATTCGAGGAGAAAGAAAAATCAGTTGATCACTTCGACAAACTGAACGGAAATGACTCGATGCCTCTTATTATCAAAAACGGTACGAACAAAGACACAAAAGAATTGCCCCAACGAAATCCCAAAGCTAAAATATTACTGGAAAAGGTCTCTGCTAAATGGGTTGAAGACGCAGCAGAAGATACGCTGAGTAACATCAGCGTATGTGTCTCCTCAAACAAGATATTAGCTCTCATTGGGCCTGTAGGTAGTGGTAAAAGCAGTGTGATCAATTTACTGCTCAGAGAATTGCCGGTGAAGTCCGGCAAAATGGAACTGGTAGGAAGAGTTTCCTACGCATCTCAGGAGCCTTGGCTTTTTGCCGCTAGCGTAAGACAAAACATCCTCTTCGGCGCAGAATATAATGAAGAGCTGTATCAGAAAGTCGTAGACGTGTGTGCTCTCAGATCAGATTTCGCCTTATTCCCCTACGGAGATAAAACCTTGGTTGGCGAGAAGGGAAAGGCCCTAAGTGGTGGCCAGAAAGCCAGAATCAACTTGGCTAGGTGCATATATAAATCAGCCGACATCTACCTTCTTGACGATCCACTTTCGGCAGTCGACGCGAACGTTGGTAAACATTTGTACGAGAGATGCATCAAAGACTTTTTATCGAACAAGATTTGTGTGTTAGCTACGCATCAACTGCAATATCTCAAAAACGTTGACAATATCATCATCATGAATGATGGCGAAATTGAGATGGAAGGTACATACGAAGATCTGCAAAAGAGTGGACTGGATTTCGCGAAGATGATGGAAGATTTCCATAGCGAGGAGGTGGTGGAAAAACAAAAAAAGAAAATCCAATCGAGACAGAATACTATTGTGGAAGAATCCGAGAGTGAAGACGACGAAGATCAAATTATGGAGAAGGAATTCCAAGGATCTGGTAGCATCAAAGCAGAGACTTATTGGAACTATTTTAGAGCAGGCGGAGGAAAAGTTTCAATTACAGTTCTAATATTCCTATTCATTTTTTGTCAAGTTTTTGCTAATGGTGGGGAATATTATGTATCATATTGGTGAGTTGACAAAAAAGGTAGCTACGAGTTGTATCAACTTTTTTTTATTCTGTTCTAGGGTGAATCAGGAGCAAGAATTTACAAACAGAATAACCAATAATCAAACAAATGAGACCTTCGAAAGAAATACCATAATTTATTACTATTCGGCTCTAACCATTGGAACTATAATTATTGGTTTGGTGAAATCGATTTATTTCATGATGTTTTTCGCAGTGGCATCTGGAAATTTGCACGATTTTATATTCTCACGGATAATAAGGGCTACTATGAGATTTTATAATACAAACCCTTCAGGAAGAATCCTTAACAGATTCTCGAAAGACTTAGGAACTATTGACGAATATATTCCATCTATTATAATAGATGTAACTGAGGTAATTTGTAATCAAATAAGTAATGCACATCAACAATAATTGGAATCATTTCAGATATTTCTTCTGCTCATTGGCGTTATTGTATTGTCATCCATTGTTGAACCTTGGTTAATTGTCCCATCTGTTGTTCTGATAGTTATATTCTACTTTGTCAGAGTTATTTACATCAAGACGAGTAGATGCGTGAAACGAATAGAAGCAATAAGTAAGTTGAGGGAAAAAAGGAGGAATTATGATTTTTACGAATGTATAGAAAACAATGTTTTTCAGCTAAGAGTCCTATGCTGAGCCATCTGACTGCGACCGTCAACGGACTGAGCACAGTTCGAGCCTTCTCTGCAGAAGAAATGTTGATCAAAGAGTTCGATGAATATCAGGATGTTCACAGTGCTGCCTGGTTCCTGTATATGGCTTCGAGCAAATGCTTCGGATTTTGGCTCGATATCATTTGTATTGTATTCATTGCAGTTGCAGTTTTCCTCTTACTTGTTTTCAGTAAAGGTGAGTTCACATTGTAGTTATCTTCCATAATAAAGTAGTAGGCTTTCGACTGTGTTTTCCACAACATATTACTCGAAAAACCCTCACATTATGGTGTTAGAGGAATTATTTTAGACCTAATAGAACATACTTGAATAATCGTTTCCAGGCAGTTTTTTATGACAATGAATTTTCTGAGATGAAACCAATTAACCTAGGTGTGCCTCAGGGATCTGTATCGGGTCCGCTTTTGTTTGTGATTTAGATTAATGATCATTCATCTCTACAACTATATGAAACCATGTCACAGTGTATTATTTACTGATGATATATCGCTCATTTACTCTGCAAAACATCTTTCAACTCTTGCTGATCAATCTGTCTAAATACAAGAAGAATCCAATTATTGGCTTAGTGTTAATAAACTTATGATGAATAACGATAAATCACAAAACATGGTGATATCTACAGCTCAGCCATTACCTGAGTTCCAAACTGTTATATTATTGGGTTTCACCTTGGATAATAGGTTAAATTGGTCCAGCCACAATTTAAGTTTGACAAGTCTCAGTCATCTCCACCATACTTGAATATTAGTATACATCTATTCGCACATGATAATATGAACAGAGAATCAGGTAATTGTTTCTATTTCACTTTTCCATATCGTATATCAGCAGCTGCACCACTAGAATCGTCGTGTGATTCCTCCAGTTCCCTGGGCACGATGATGTGTCTTTCTGATTGGTAGCCTTCTCTAATCTTTTCCACTGCATCTGTAAATAATAATAATATAAAATAACATCTTCTTTAAATACGATGAACACACACCCACTTTCAACCTATAGTAGTCAGTATAGATAAATACTTCATTATTTCTAGTTCATTGAAAACGAATTTCAAACATGAACTGTTATTCTCATTTTTATAGTTTCCTTGTACAACTACTAGTGTATTGTATGGGGTACCTAACAGCTGAGTCAATTGAGAATCATTTTCAGTTGAACTTGAAAAAAAAAATTCTTGTGTGAGTCTTATTTTTCTGTCTTCTTTATTTTATTTTGTCAAATATATTTATGTATTCACCATGTTCTCTGCTTTCCTGCTATAAACAAATGTTGTTTCTTGGGAATAATAAAGTTGATTGATTGATTGATATCTGACTGCACGAAACCCAACTGTTCAACGAAGTATGGGGGTTTCGTTTGAGAAAATCAAGCAATTTGAATTTTCTCTGCTCAAATAGGGCAGAGGTGGTATCACACCCACTGAAGGCATGGAGGAAAAGCACGATGCCTGATGGGAAGCCATTTTAGCTATTTAATGTGGAGGAGGAAAACTGGGTGGGATCTAAGTCTTTTCTGCCATTTTTATGGAGACATACCTTGGAATAAGGGGAACCACCTCAACAGGCACCTAGAACTCATAGGGATCAAAGATGATCCCATCTGTAGATGGTGCTTGGAGGATGATGAAACATCATCACACATACTCACTGAATGCTGCCTTTGGGAGCATTGTACTGCACCCAAAGGATGTGAAAGTGACTCAGCTGAGGAAGCTGCTGAACTTCGTCAAAGAAATCGGCATGCCCAGCTGATTCACAGGACAAGTGGGCGCACAATGAGACCGACTGAAGAGGCCTGAGTGCAGGGGTCTACGCACCCGCCCACCTGTGCAGAGAAGAAGAAGAAGAAGAAGGGGAGCCCAGTCCATAAAGAATACAGAGTGAAATCGATGTCCTCTTCAAAAATGATGAAATTATTAAATGCTTCACATTTCGTAGCTTTCGTCTCCACAATCAGTACATCGGCATCCTCTTCTGCTTGCTTGGCATTCACTTCGTGCCTCTGGAACTCATCAATCAACATTCTTATAAGGCATTCCTTATTGTTGGTTCCATCGGACATCAATTTCTCTTGGGATGCTTTTATTATGGTGTGCCTTTCGAATAATAAACTGCCTGACAATGATCGGTAGCGGCATAGACTACAGAGATGCCCAGCACTTATAGAGTAATTATAGTTTGGGTTTTGTGGCTCATAAATAAATACTTCAATTCACCTGATATTTTGGTTGAAAATGGACCAATTAGGGATGAATAGCGAACTTTGTGAACCCTGTATCTTGGAGCTATTAGACCTAATAAACTAAATTACAGCTCAAACTAACGAGAATTCCGAATACTAGAAGAAGTCATAGTGACCTCTTTTTGCGACAGCCTCCGCATGTGTTTTTTTTTTTAAATAATACCACAGTTCAAAAAGTTTAAAAACTTATTGGTTTTGACGGCAATAACTGAACCCGAGTAAATTGCAGAGTGCTTCAAATATATACGAATACTATTCGATGCGACCGAAACAAGAGAGCAAGTTTATCTCCATTATTGAAATTTCAGCTATTTTTGTGTACGTTATCACGACTGGCCTAATAGCCTTATACCGTTATTTCTTCAGGGTAGACACACGTCGTTTCATTATAGTGCTTTGGTTTCAGAAATGCAAGGAGGAGATTTGGGTCTTGTAGTGACCCAATACATCGGCTTGATAGGAACACTGCAATGGGGCATGAGGCAATGGACAGAACTGGAGAACAATATGACCTCCGTAGAAAGAATTCTGGAGTACACTAAATTAGAGAGTGAACCGGACAGAAAACAAGAGAAGCCCCTTGCTGCTAATTGGGGAGAAAAAGGCCAAATCGAATTCAGAGATGTGAAGTTGAGGTACAGCGATAGCGAGCCGTATGTACTGAAAGATATGAATTTCCTGGTCCAGCCACGAGAGAAAATCGGTATCGTCGGAAGAACCGGTGCCGGGAAATCATCTACCATAACTGCACTTTTTCAGTTATATCCTTTGGAAGGTACTGTGATCATTGATGGAGAAGATACCACGAAGATGCCTTTGGATACAGTGAGGTCGAAGATATCGATTATTCCACAAGAGCCGGTGCTGTTTTCAGGTGGGTGCTGTAGCGATTATAGAATAATATGAACAATTTGAGTCAAAAATTATTTTGCTCCACCCTCTGAGTTCATCTCATGATCACAATGAATAGTATTTGGTGTCCCTCTTCGTGATAGCATTCTTCCAATCACCAGTGATAAACAAATCAGTAGTTATAAACAGTGATCGACTTCCAGGCACCCATGGCCATACATTAGTACGCTAAATTGCTTCTCGATTCTTCTCCCAACAAATATAATTTGATTCGTCCAAAATGGTTCCTTCCAGCGATTATAGCTTGTAAGTTTAACTGCAGGTAGCTTACTCAATCGTGGAATTTCTGGATTGGCTCTGGTGATATTTTTACTAGTATCGGTATTAAGAAGTAGTAGTTTGGTAAATCTATCCTTGGGACTCTATATTCACGGATTTCTGGCAGAACTTTCCATACAACTGTGTTCAATATTGATTATAATTATCTCGAACAGCTCTGCTTGTTCGAATGTACAACATTTTTCAGTTTTTTCATATCTTATGGGAACCTATCAGAGACTTCAAACAATATCTTTCAGTCAACAATAATTATGGATGGTTCAAATGTATCGATGTCTTCGTCGTTTTTCCCAATTTTCTATTTCATCATGAAAAAGGTGGAATATTCGCGATTGGCATTAAAGAGGCTATCTGTTGATTCAAAGTTATCCTAGTCCATCAATAACATTTTATGTTATTCGAGCCAGATTCTGATTGCCAAGTCATCAAAACAAAGAAAAGGAATATATCAAAGCTGGTTTATTTTTCACATCAGAGCTGCGACAGTGATGAAACAGAGTTATTTGATTAATCTCGTTTATTTTGACGCATGGAATGTCTCAATCTCACCGCATTCTGATAAAACATGTGTTGAGAAACGCTCTTTCATATCAATACAAGATACATTCTAGATACACACATCAGATTTTTGAAAAACGTCTTTTTTTTCGTACAAAAAAATTTTGTCCAAGAAGAAATATGCAAATAAATACACTGTGCACTCACTACACTGTTTTACCACTAACCAAACCGAATTTTTAACGCCTCGACACGTGTTGTGCTAACTAAGTTAGCATCTTCAGGAGAAGATTAAAACTGATATAGTGCACTCCACTGTCTTTGGAGCCTTCATCAGGAGCACATCTGATTCAATTTTCAAAAGAAGAATGTATAGATATGGCATAAATGAGTAGAATTGTTGACATTCCCAACGGTTTTATCGTTTTAATCACTTATTCTTTTCTCTCGATCAACATCAACGATTAAATCCAATCAAAACCAAAGCAAAGCAAATTTGTGCCACTGCTTTATGTTCGTTTGTGTTTTTCTGAAAAACCTCTCCCCGGAAAAATTACACCCTACTACAGCTCTGCTTGTTCGATTGTACAACATTTTTCAGTTTTTTCATATCTTATGGGAACCTCAGAGATTGTGACGACTTCAAACAATATCTTTCAGTCAACGATAATCATTGATGGTTCAAATGTATCGATGTCTTCGTCGTTCTTCTCAATTTTCTTCATCATCATAAAAAAGGTGGAATATTCGCGATTGGCATTAAAGAGGTTATCTTTTGATTTAAAGTGATAGGAAAACATAGTAGTCCATTAATAACATTTTGGTTATTCGAGCCAGATTCTGATTGCCAAGTCATCAAAACAAAGAAAAGGAACATATCAAAGCTGCGACAGTAGTGAAACAGAGTTATTTGATTAATCTCGTTTATTTTGATGCATGGAATGTCTCAATCTCACCGTATTCTGATAAAACATGTGTTGAGAAACACTCTGTCATAGCAATACAAGATAAATTCTAGATACACACATCAGATTTTGAAAAACGTTGTTTTTTCGTACAAAAAAATGTTGTCCAAGAAGAAATAAAGAATGTATAGATATGGCATAAATGAGTAGAATTGTTGACATTCCCAACGGTTTTATCGTTTTAATCACTTATTCTTTTCTCTCGATCAACATCAACGATCAAATCCAATCAAAACCAAAGCAAAGCAAATTTGTGCCACTGCTTTGTGTTCGTTTGTGTTGAGCAGTAAATCAAACTTTCTGTTTGTTTGAGTTGAGCAAGAGATTAATGCTCCTACTGGATCATAAAAATCATATCAGTGACGTCAGATTACGTTGATCTTCATGATTTTTTGGGGATGTTGAGCTTTTCAAACGAACTGGCATATATAATGTTCATGGATCAATCATGATATTTTCGATTCCAGGTTCCATGCGTAAAAACCTGGACCCCTTCGACCAATACGACGACGAGGTGCTGTGGAACGCCCTGGACCAGGTGGAGCTCAAAGAGGTCATCGAGGACCTTCCTGCCGGCCTGAATACGGCCGTCTCGGAGGGTGGCGCCAACTTCAGCGTGGGCCAGCGACAACTGGTGTGCCTGGCACGGGCGTTGATAAGGAACAACAAGATCCTGGTGCTAGACGAGGCCACGGCCAACGTGGATCCGCACACTGACGCTCTGGTGCAGACCACGATCAGGGAGAAGTTTGCCGATTGCTCGGTTCTGACGATCGCTCATCGGTAAGAAAAATTACGTGAAGGGTGTTTCGATTGGGGCGCAAACTTTCATAGGTTTAATATAATAGGTTTGTTCGCGTTTTAAATCGTTCAACACCGATCGCACTGCTATCTATTATTTCTAAGATTATGGAGAAAGCTATCAACATCGAGCTCATGAAATACCTGTAACATTCAGGTATTATCAACGATAGGCAATATGTCTTCCGTCATCAGAGATCTACTGGTGATCTGCTCGCTTACGTCTCACATATATGGCAGCAATCTATTGAATAATATGGTGAAACCTTAGCCGTGGCACTCGATATCTCCAAGGCATTCGATCGAGTCTGGCACCACGGACTTCTCGCCAAGCTTCCATCTTATGGCTTGCCTCCCCAGCTATGTTCTCTGCTAGCTAGTTTGCTCTCAAACTGGTCTCTCCATGTAGTGGTCGACAGAGTTTCATCTGACACTCTTATCATAAATGCTGGTGTGCCTGGCACGGGCGTTGATAAGGAACAACAAGATCCTGGTGCTAGACGAGGCCACGGACAACGTGGATCCGTACACTGACGCTCTGGTGCAAACCACGATCAGGGAGAAGTTTGCCGATTGCTCGGTTCTGACGATCGCTCATCGGTAAGAAAAATTACGTGAAGGGTGTTTCGATTGATGCGCAAACTTTCATAGGTTTAATATAATAGGTTTGTTCGCGTTTTAAATCGTTCAACACCGAGCGCACTGCTATCTATTATTTCTGAGATTATGGAGAAAGCTATCACCATCGAGCTCATGAAATACCTGTAACATTCAGGTATTAACAACGATAGGCAATATGTCTTCCGTCATCAGAGATCTACTGGTGATCTGCTCGCTTAGGTCTCACATTTATGGCAGCAATCTATTGAATAATATGGTGAAACCTTAGCCGTGGCACTTGATATCTCCAAGGCATTCGATCGAGTCTGGCACCACGGACTCCTCGCCAAGCTTCCATCTTATGGCTTGCCTCCCCAGCGATGTTCTCTGCTAGCTAGTTTGCTCTCAAACAGGTCTCTCCATGTAGTGGTCGACAGAGTTTCATCTGACTCTCTTATCATAAATGCTGGTGTGCCTGGCGCGGGCGTTGATAAGGAACAACAAGATCCTGGTGCTAGACGAGGCCACGGCCAACGTGGATCCGTACACTGACGCTCTGGTGCAAACCACAATCAGGGAAAAGTTCGCAGATTGCTCGGTTCTGACGACTATCATTTCGAAGATCATGGAGAAAGCTATCAACATCGAGCTCATGAAATACTTGGAACATTCAGATATTATCAACGATAGGCAATATACACACACTGGCACAATTAGGGGAACGGGCAAAATTTTCACTAAGTTTGACATCAATTTTCTCTCGAACCCATCGCTCGATTTGAATTTTTTTTTCACGAATTGTAGCTTCATTCTTCTTCACGAATACATCTGAGGAATAACACCCTTTGAACGAATCGTCTTTATATCATATACAGGGGTGTAAAGAAAGTACGGATTTCTCGGTATTTTTTTAGACATCCTGTGGAGTGAACCATTGATAATTGAAACGGTTTCTCAACATCAAATTGTAGCCCAATCTATTCCGGATATTCTCGTTTTCTATTCATTTTGATATCTCATTTATTCAAGAAAATACAGAGTTTCAAAGAAAAGGTGGATATTGGTATTAATTTTACCACCTCGAAACTCGAACTGGGGATAAGAACGTGTCGTTTTTCAACTTGTTTCTGTGAGGATTTTTACTTCAAGATGAAAATTGTTCACAGTTTTACCTATCACTGTTTAAAGACACATAATATACGAATACTCTTATGAATATGCAGGGGTGATAAAAGTTGCTTCAATGTTCTTTTGGTGAAATGTTATTGTTTTTATTGTTGATCAACGTTGGCTATTTTGTTTATGTCATTGATTATTGTCAAAGTCAAGCAATTCACAATTCCAAATTCATAAATTTGATTAATAAAAATTCAACATGGGAGATTTGACTCCTACTGATGTGGCGAGGGCTGTAGCATTAATTGAAAATGGTAGATCGTACACAGATGTTGCTAACATGCTGGAAAAATCAAAATCTACGATTTATCGGAATGTGAGACGTTATTTGGAGACGAACAGGAGAGTACGTGAGGAGACAAGGCCAAGGAAGAAAACGATCAACCACGGCTAGAGATGAACGATTTTTAGTCTCCCAAACACTACGAAAAAGACGTACAACCGTACCCCAATTGAAAAACGAACTGAAAGGAGTACGTGGAAGACGAATAAGTCATCGGACCATCAGCAGATCTTAGGGCCTATAGAACGAAGAAAACTCCACAACTCCAGCGACGTCATCGGGTGGCTAGACTCAGCTTCGCTAGGCAGCATGTAAATTGGGAAAATGACCAGTGGGCCAACGTTCTTTTTACAGATGAGAGCTACTTCTTCATGAATTCAATAGATGACAGGGAAAGACTATATGAACAATTTAATTTTACTGCTACTGTCTCCTATGGCGGAGGTTCAGTCATGGTTTGGGGTGCAATATGTTTAGGGGCACGAACAGAGTTAGTAGTGGTTAATGGTGCTTTAAATGCAGATGGCTATATACGAGATGTTCTTCAACAGCATGTCATACCATTCGCCTCCCCATATCGGAGAAAACTTCTTGTTAATGCACGATAATGCCCGCCCTCACGTTCAGTCTACAACTTTTCAAATACATCAGTCGGTATAAGAGCAATCGATTGGCCTGCATGTTCGCCAGACCTTAATCCAATCGAACATGTATGGGACATGTTGGGTAGACGATTGAGGTCCAGAATTCCCGCTGTACAAAATCCCGAGCAAGTAGCAGCAGCTCTGGTTGAGATTTGGGATAATCTTCCTCAAGAAATGATCGATAATGTCATCGAAAGCATGAGCAGACGGATGACTGCTGTAATAAGAGCGCGTGGAAGTCACACACGTCATTGAAATTATTGTTGGTGTTCTGAATCCGTATTGTTCGTTAAGTTAATGTTATACAGAGGTGTGCACAAAAAACGGCTAGAGCTGTAACTTCTGAATCATTCGAGATCGAAATTTGAAATTTGGTGGGTAGCAACTATACCATATTGTTCATTTATTGACGAAAAAAATATTATTCCATCACTTCCGGTCTAACCGGAAGTGACCCCAACTTTTGATTTTCAAATGGAACCCCCTGTATATTTTTCCATTATTGGATCCAGGGTATCATTTTACATACACCAGTAGTTTTTCCGGATCAAAATGTCAGGAGGAATTTTTTCAATTCGTTTTTATCTTTAAACATTGCCCATCAATTGGTAATAGTAATCAAGATCTAGGTAGCCTTGTAAGTCAATTTCAATGTGACAGTAACATCCAATAATAAGTTTCAATACGGGTGATGATATTTTCTATTTTATAAACATGAATAATAAGTAGTTAACCGATATGTAACAAGTTTATTTTGAGTGTTTGGAAAAATCGTACGATGCTGATCGTGTTTATAGAAAAAGATATCCGAATAGAAATCATCCTAGCCATCAGGAATTTGGCAGATTGGACGCTAATCTACGTCAATTTGGTAGTTTCAAAAAACCAAAGAAACAACAGCGAGAGTTTTATGCAGATTTGGAATTGAATGTTTCACTCAGTGTACAAGGAACGCCCAGGACATGTACAATTAGGATTGCAAATGATTTTGGTTCGACACGAAGAACAGTTCTTTCTAATTTGAAAAAAAATAAGTACACGCCATACGTTCCTCGCAAAATTCACGCCTTGGAGCATGATAATGACAGACAACGTTGGACACATTTCTGCAATATTTTTTTGAATAGAAGGTTTAATCAAGATCCTGCATTTTATAGAAAAATATAATGTGGTCAGATGAATGCACATTCGTGCGAAATGGCAGACGAAATCACAGATGTTGGTCACAAGAAAATCCCCATTGTAATGTAGAAACCAACTTCCAAACAAGATTTAGCTTGAATGTATGGTGCGGAATTCTTGATGATATGTTGGTAGGCCCGTTTTTCATCGACGGTTCTTTAGAGCAGTATAAGTATTTTGAATTGCTTACTGGTTATATTGAGAATTTTCTGGACCAACTTCCCCTCGCCAATCGTTATGAAGTCATTTTCCAACAAGATGGAGCACCGCCCTCGACCGCCACACAATACGCGTTTGAATGTGACTTATTCGAATACACACTTTGGAGAAAGGTGGATAGGAACAAATGGACCGATACGGTGGCCAGCTCGCAGTCCAGATTTGACAGTCATGGAGTTCTTCCTTTGGGGTTACTTGAAGGATCAAGTTTATCTATTCCAGACAGAGAATATAGAAATCCTTAGGCATCGAATATTAGAGGCTTGCCGCAATATACCCCAAGCATGCATCGCACAGAATGGGGGTCAATTTGAGCATTTGTTGTAATACATTTTTTATCGCCCCTCTTTCTATGCTACTGAAGATAATAAAGATTGATGTGGAGTTCATTCTGTTGTTCTTTCTGTTTCACACAAAATGATCCGGAAAAACTACTGGTGTATGTGAAATGATACCCTGAATCTAAAAATGGAAAAATATACAGGGGGTTCCATTTGAAAAACAAAAGTTGGGGTCATTTCCGGTTAGACCGGAAGTGATGGAATAATTTTTTTCTTCGTCAATAAATGAACAATATGGTATAGTTGCTACCCACCAAATTTCAAATTTCGATCTCGAATGATTTAGAAGTTACAGCTCTAGCCGTTTTTTGTGCACACCTCTGTATGTTATTGAATGGAGGCTTTGAAAATTACATTTCTTTCTGATCATATCTGTATATTTCTAAGAAATCTTGTCACAATAGACTAATAAGTGAAAATGAGAGCAATATTCAACTTGAAAGGGAAATTATCTCAGAAACAACTTAAGAAACGACACATTCTCAGATCCAATTCGAGTTTCGAGGTGGTAAAATTAATACCAATATCCATACATTTCCTTTGAAACTCTGTATTTTCTCGAATAATTGAGATATCGAGATGAATCCAAAACGAAAATATTCGGAATAGATAGGGCTACATTTGGTGTTGAGAAATCGCTTCAATTATCAGTGGTTCACTCCACAGGATGTCTTGAAAAATACCGAAAAATCAATACTTCCTTTACACCCCTGTAGGCCCTGTATATGATATAAAGACGAATCGTTTGAAGGTGGTTATTCCTCAGATGTATTCGTGAAGAATAAATCTACAATTCATGAAAAAGAAATTCGAATCGAGCGATCGGTTCGAGAGAAAATTGATGTCAAACTTAGTGTAAATTTTGCCCGTTCCCCTAATTGTGCCAGTGTGTGTATATGGCTCCCGTCATCAGAGATCAACTGGTGATCTGCTCGCTCAGGTCTCACATATAGGTATGGCAGGAATATATTGAAAGATATGGTGAGAACTTAGCCGTGGTGATTTGGTAGAAGATGATAGCAGCGAAGGATCTAATCTGTGCACATTGTTGATACAGACTGCCAGGCCATATAAGAACGAGCGCTTGAAAATAATTTTTTCATGTCTTGGCACGCAAAGAAGGGTGTTTTGTCGGATATTCAAATTATGAACTTCTGATCTGGAAGTGAGTCTGTTGTGTGAATAGGGGAGGTGTTTCAAAATTCCTTAAATTTTCCTGAGATGATATCAATACCAGCTAGATAAACTACTAATGCTCTTGATTTATAATATTTCTATTTGAAATTCGAACAAAATTATGAATATGCCGAAAACATGACACTCGTGACAGATATGTCAAGATCAAGATGTTTCCGCATGGATTATTTGTTGTGTCCTGTCTCTATATGCTTCTTTTTTCATCCAACAACTTTACAATTGTGAAGATATTTAAATAAAATGGTACGTATGAACTTTAGTCGAACTTGGATAGTAGGTGTCTTTATACAGTAAAATTGATTTAAATATTAAATTAAACCATATAAAACTGAATCAGAAAATTTACATAGAAAACTACAAAATTGAAGATCATTAAATTGAATCCCGCGGAAATCTATGCAACATTTATTCATATAAACCAATTCTGATTGCGAGTATGTTTCTCTTTTTTAGAAAAGAAATATACATTTATTTGCCTTCTTCTACAATAATATATTTTCAATTCGAAAAAAAAAATGAATGAAAAAAGTGTTCTTGTCTCATACGTCATCATAATCTGAATTCATTATACTTAACACTTTCTCCATCTGAAACATTGAAATGCTGAAAATGCTTCCATCCATGATCTCTTTACGAGTGGTGGTACTAAAACAGAACTGAGATGACGTTTTTTTTATCCCACCGATTATATTTTTATTTCAAATAATTCATTTTTTGGTTCAAACCAAAGTAAAAAAATCATCTGTAAATCATTCGTTTTCATATACTCAGCCCAAAGAAATTGTTTTTCGACATTATAACATACAATATGTGAATTGTTTAAATTATCTGATTGTGGGACTTTCTGTGATTAATTGTTAATCTTCTATGTAATATCTAAAATCACTGTCTCCCATCGTCCAAATAACCAAGTTGGGATTAAGGTCTTTGAACAAGTAAAATAATAAATAACAACTTCTCTCCTGGCTATTACCACAGAAAGGTATAATATCTAAAATCACTGTCTCCCATCGTCCCAATAACCAAGTTGGGATCAAGGTCTTTGAACAAGTAAAATAATAAATCACAACTTCTCTCCTGGCTGTTACCACAGAATATTAATTTTTTGTCAAATATTGGAATACCTAATATGAAAATGATTAACGAATGTAGGTACAACATCTATTGTTGAAACATAAAAATGCATAGATCCACATTTTCAGGCTAATATCAGACGAGAAATGACGAAATAATCTGCCATTTTGAACACATTTTCGAGTTCAAATTTGTAATCCCAAAATACAATTTCAGACGTATCGGAATTCTCCACTAGGATGAAGACGACATTTCAAATGTTCAACATGTTTTTATATAATCAGCAGATAGGCTTGGTAAGCCTTCAATGTCGATTAAATACTTCCACAAATTATCTAATTCGTAATTATATGACTGAACATTCATCAAGTAACGAATGTAATTATCAGGTCCTTCCCAAAGATTTATGTAATTTGTTAGTCAATGTCATGAGAAGAGATATTTTGGTATCCCCTTCCTCCCTTCTCTGGTAACTATAAACCTATAATGTGTTGGTCACTTTCAACTAGATAGAAGAAAATTGATGTCGGTGCCTGCCATGCAAAACTCAATGGTGAAAATCGTATATCGATATCTGTCTTCGTTTCGGAGTTACAAGGTGTTCTTCAAAAATGGTCATTTTTGAAGTAGCAAATTTTTTTTTGCAAAAATGTTCTCATGAAAATAACTGCAAAGCATTCCCCTCGGTTTATGTAGGAAAGTACATTTAGCCCGAGGCCGAGCTGGGATAGATTGTTCAGAAAAAGTAGTCTTTCACACAGGGTGTATCTGAATCACAACGAAAAAATTCAAGTTGTGATTCTGTGATGAGAATCAAGGTGGGTGTTGAATATGAAATTTTCTGAAAAACCTCTCCCCGGAAAAATTACACCCTACTGAAAATGAAAAACAAAATGGTTTTCCTTTTTTATTTCTGCTGTATATGGAGCTCAAGACTAGTTAAACTTGGAAAATATTATTTTTCAATAAAACTACACATTTTGTTATCTTTCCAACCCTGAAATATGCTTAGAAGGGGTTGAAATACTCAACCTCTAAGATATTTTTTTTTGACAAAAAAGTTTCCTTGAGAAACATAGCAAATACTTGAGTTTTCAAAAGCAGTTTCAGAAATATGTAAGTGAGTAAATAAATTGGGCATCACAGCCACGTTTTTTCAAGGACAACATACTTCAGGGTTGAAAAAATGTGTAGTTTTATTTACTATTAATATTCACCAGTCAGTCTCAACCAAAATAATGCAGATAAGGTTCTCTTCACACCATCAATCAATTTCTTTTTTTTTTATAGTCGAACTTATCTTATATCACAACAATTCGATGATCGCGCCAAAGAGATAATCAATTCAACTCCAATTTGTTGTATATATCTCTTTGTTGGCAAAGCCGATATACGAATTATTTCTACTCATTGAATTTTGTCCAAATAATTCAGTTTCATATTGGACTTGAAGGTTATTGCGGTACAATTCAATTTAATTTTCATTTATAGATTACACACGGTGATGGATTCTGACAAAATTCTAGTGATGGACGCTGGTACTGTAGAGGAATTTGATCATCCTCACAATTTGCTACAGAAAGAAAACGGAATATTACGAAGTTTAGTCGAGGTAACCGGATCAATAACATCTAAACATTTAGCCAGCATCGCTGAAGAGGTGGGTTATCTCCAATCTACAATTTCCCATGATTGATTATTTTTTGTTCTTTTTTCAGAACTATCTGAAGAAGAAAAACATATAAGGACTTCCTCTCAACACTATTGATTGAGGGACATACCTCGATAATTTACCTCATCCATCATTTAAAATAAAGCCTTCAATGTACATTGATATTTAAATCTACTTAGTTTGACTGTGATGTTTCAGTAGTTTCTAGTAGGTAGGTGATTATACAACCAATTTGTATGGCGTTCTACACCTTTTACAGTATTTTACTGCACATATAACTTGTAATTGTCAAATAATTATTAGGAGTAATATTAAGAATCTCTCTATAGTCAGAGACGCAGTTTGATTTTTTATGAAGACAATTCTATTATATGTATATTTCCTATGAATATGATGTCACTATTTGTTTAATATCGGATAGTTCAACTCGATATACGTAATTTCAGTCAATTTCGGGATGTGACTAAAGCGAGTGTCAACACTATCGAACAAGATAATGAAAGCCCATTGAGTCTGAGGTAACAATGTGAAAACAATTCAAAAGCTGAGAAATAGTTATTTATCTTTCCTCTAAATGTTTTGAGATTCCCTCTCCTTGTCTATTGATAAAGATATTAGTATTATTTCAAAATATTCTGAATTTTGAGCGCAGTGACATTTTGTAAAAAATCATTTAATTTGTCTTCACTACAAGTAGCTACCTATATTGAAATAACACTAATATATTCAATCATATACTAGATTATGTTATTTGACCAGTTCCGTATGTGATTCTCATATTTTTATGTTCGGACTTCGAGAAACCCAGTAACATTTGTAGTGAATAAACAGGAATGAGATGTAGTATGGCTTCTCATCAAATATGTACTTAAAAAACTTAAACGGATATTTAATGTTCCCCTCGCTTTTTAAATATTTCTCAACGTGTGATACTCTGAACTATACTTATAATGTCAATATATGAAATGAATTAAATATAAGTGCCTATAGTTGAATAAGAGCGCCTACATCCAAATATGAAAAATCTTGAAGTTACTGAGCATTCTGAAATCAATTTATTTTTCTAAATTCTAAATAGAAATCCTGGATTAGAGTTGAATTCTGTTGACGGGATATATTATGAAAAACTCAAAATGAATATAAATCAAGCAATCCAAATACCTTATGAACTTTACTGATTGCAAAATTCAGTCACATTTCACATTAAAAATATTCTAGAATCCCAATATACAGGGTGTCCCAAAATTGCTGGGACACAGAGTTACCACGTGTAGAGGAGGTCAAAATAAGTTGATTGGACCCAATTTACTTATGTGCCAAAATGTACCGTTTGTCCGTGAGAAGGGTTCAAAGTTCACTTGAAAAAACACATTTTTGTACGCTGTTCAGGAATAAGTGAAACGAATTTGATGAAATTTGGCAATAGTGTATTTCAGAGGATTACTTTCCTTTTGGTAATCTGAGAAACCTAGAAGAAATTGTAGAAGGGCTGAAACCACCCTCACCCCCTGACGTTTTCTTCAGAACTTTTTTAAGGGTCATGATACGGTTCTGCAATTTCTTGAGCTTGAAGACTCATCAATTACCTTCATTTAATCACTCTTGTAAAAATTTCGTATACCAAATAGTTTCGAAGAAAAAAAATGTTCTCTCAAATAATGCTACCAGATATTCCTATAGTACAAGTTACAATTAAATTGTGATATAAAACTTAGTTGGCAGTGGAAACGAAGGCAAGTCGTGATTTCGACAGGAAACAAATTTATTGTCATTCAAGTTTGTTGTTGACGTTGTCTGTAAATGTTTCAATAAATTCTTCAATTTTGTTATTACCGCGGGTACCATTACTATAGGAATATCTGGTAGCATTATTTGAAATAACATTTTTTTTCTTCGAAACTATTTGGTATACGAAATTTTTACAGGAGTGATAAAATGAAGGTAATTGATGAGTCTTCAAGCTCAAAAAATTTCAGAACCGTATCATGACCCTTAAAAAAGTTCTGAAGAAAACGTCAGGGGGTGAGGGTGGTTTCAACCCTTCTACAATTTCTTTCAGGTTTCTTAGATTACCAAAAGGAAAGTGATCCTCTGAAATATACTATTGCCAAATTTCATCAAATTTGTTCCACTTATTCCTGAACAGCGTACAAAAATGTGTTTTTTCAAGTGAACTTTGAACCCTTCTCACGGACAAACGGTACATTTTGGCACATAAATAAATTGGGTCCAATCAACTTATTTTGACCTCCTCTACACGTGGTAACTCTGTGTCCCAGCAATTTTGGGACACCCTGTATATTTTGTGGAAATTGTTATTAGTTTTGCCCTGAAATTGAATTCTCTTGCTTTGGTACTTGATAATTCATCAAGATATCTCTTATTTTTCTGAAAACAAAGAAAGATAAAGGTGTTGCTGTCATTTATTTTTTTAAACCGAATATTTGATTTATCCCACCAATCACCATACCATTATTTCATTGTATAATTTAGTTTGATAACTATATATCTATACAATGAATGCATTATCCTTATTGTGACGAATACATTTCCAAAGAAGTTGTCGAGACAGATATTTGAATTTTCAAATATATAACCAGCCACAAAGTATACCATACGTATTACTCTTCCTTTCTCCAGTTAGTTATCGCTCCTTTATTTATTATTGATTCATGAGTTGATCTTTTTCAAATGTAGGTAGGTAGACAAGTGGATTATTAGTGAAATAAAAACATATTTTTGTGAGATCAAATTTTATTTATTTATTAATGCCTTTGAAATTGATGATGATAATAAAATATTTATCAGATAAGATAACTCTTTCCATTAACTCCTTATCACACCATATGTTTGCTGCTAGATTCTTTTCAAAATTTATAAAAGGATAAATTAGATTAATGCACGGCCGGGCGTAAGGACCACTCTACCGCCTGGTTTTGCGGGCGTAAAGTGGCACATTTCGCGCCCGGTGAATAGATAACTCATAATGAGCATGCCTGTATAAATCGAGACATATATGTTTTAGCTGTGACGGTTCATTATCTTATCGCAGTTCTCTTGATATTTCTGAGATACAAAATGATAAGATCGAACCCAATATAATCTATCTGCTGTGATCAGAAAATTGACTTTAGGTCACTATTGTTCGTTGATTCCGTTTATGATATTCCTCATAAAGAGTATGTAGGTATTCCGACTTTGCTGCCATGTGAAACATATAATTATTTCTCCAAAAGTTATAAAACCAATTTTGTGTAATATTTTTATTGATAACTCCATCATTTTGTGTTCACCTAATGTCAGTGTCAATTTCATTCAAATTACTTGGAACTTTGCATAGCAACAAACTTTTTGTGCCTAGGCAGAGAAAGAACATACCTTTGCTGCCTGTTGAGTGTCATGAAAAAGTCACTTTCCATGTCGTGGAGAAAAAAATAGTCTTGTCTCAATAGACAAAGACTACTTCCATCTAATTTCGATTGAAAAAGCCGTTTTCGAATATCTTCACATATACACGTTCAATTATAATTACAATATTTTATCAGTTAATCTTTTTGCATATAAATATCAAGATAGGTAGCTTTGGAATATTTATGGTTTTGTTGTTCACCTTCCATAGTTCAACTTTACAAATCAAGTCAAATTTATCTATTGTTTGTTTAGAATAATAATATCATTTGTTTGGGAAGATGTGTGATATTTTTGTAGGATTTTCATATCCTCAGATTATACAGGCTGGCTGAAAATGATTTTTCAATTCAGAACTTTTGAAAGTGATTTTTCTCGAGTTTTTCAAATTGAACACCCCATATATCTTTAGGCCATTTGGTGTAAAATCGAAACACGAACATCTTTGATCTCAACATCCATATTGATATTCGTAACCATTTTTGTATTATTGATCTTAGAAAATTATAGGTTGGTCATTTTCATCGATACACATTCTCATTAGTTTCAAAAGTCCAATTAATAATTTAGTGAACTTGTTTTTTTAGAAGAATTGAAACCCGAATTGAGGCAAACATCATATATAGTTCATATGCTGGTCTGTAATTCACAAAGAAAAAAAGAAAAAAAATCCGGGAGACCACTGATTTTTTAAATCGACATTATCGTGACCTCTATATTGAAAAACTACCAGTGAATTAATTTTGAATTTTTTCATTTATGCTAAGACGATGAAAAAAATAAATTAGAATATGTCCATTTCAAAACACACAATTCCTGCGCCACGAAATTTTGTCAATTCATTGGTGTGGCTGGTGCGACGTCTCCACAACAAGCCTATTGTCCTTGAACTGGCCATTCACACTGCAACACTGCGGAATGACGAGGTATCAGAGTGAGATAGCTACAGTTCGGGACTAATACGTCACAGCTCCACCATCATATTTGGCTTCTTGGAATATCGAAAGGAATATGTTGATTTCAAAACGATATAGATTCGATTCCCTTCAACTTATAACTCAAAATATTGATTGTACATAAAACTTAAATCATGATTCGTCGATTGAAAGAGGTTTGCACGGATTTCTTACCTCAGTGGTCTTCCCCATTGTGCGAAATAGGAATTTTGTTCTTCTTCACTTTATGAATAACTATAGCATATGAACTATTTCTGTTTGTTTTGAGTCTGGTATCAATTCTTTCAATAAAAAAACAAGTTTCATAAATTATCGATTGGACTTTTTGTTGATGATGATGTTTTAATATCAGATGAGAATGTGTATCGATGAAAATGGCAAACCTATAAATTTCGACCTTCAATAATTCTAAAATGGTTACGAATATCAAAATGGATGAATATGATTATTCTCTCTTGAATTTCTTAGTTGGGTATGCATCTGCAGATGACATTATTCCGAAAAAAAAATTAATAACTTTGAAATGATTGAATAATCTAGATTTTTTCCGGTGCCCCCTGTATATGCGGCAATAATTTCTAGTGATGGACCTTGTTGTCTCATTCACATTCGTTTTTGAATCGAGTTTCTAGCTATCATAGAACTCGAGCAATCGAGCTCCGAAGCACTAATGCCAAACCCTGTATACCATACAATATAAGGATCATGAATGCTTCACGGATATCACGATGTGTGAAAGCATAGCGGTAAATTGGAATTCACATTGAACCGCTTTATTGCCAACGCAGATGAGCATGACAAGTTTTATCAAAATCAGCGAAAAGGAGTTTGAATAAATCAATGAAAAATCGATTTTTTCTGAAAAATTTTATTATCTCAACAATTTTTTCTCTCTTTTTCAGAGTATCTCAAACTATAAATATTTTATAGGTGCATATGGGTACCTGGAGAACATACCCAGAATATTCGAACAATACATCCTGTGATCATTTCTGAATATCATTCATAGAATATATAATGAAATATTCTAGGAACGTTCCTACGATATTCAGACGGAATGTTCTATGAATATTCTCGTAAAATATTCTATGAACATCCAGAACATCCTCATCATACTTTATGAATATTCTCTAGAATATTCTAGAGGAGGTATGTTGTGAACTTTGTGAGAACATTCATAGCCATATTCTCTGCTGTCTGATGGGATACGGAGTGAACCATCTCGAATTGAATTGGTTATGAAGGTCACGGAAATAACTACATAGTATAATGGACGCTGCTGCCGATTTGATCATCATGCTGTTAACAACTGAAATTTGGGACGACTTGGGGTTAATATCTTATGCATCTGTTTCACCATCGGAAGCGTCTGCTTGTTCCTCAGGAGTCCTCAAATCAATGGCGAATTTCCTAATTGGCCTCTCACTACTCCCACTTTCAGCTTTCACTCTCCTTCCATAATCTTGAAAAGCTGCAGCCAAAGCATAGGTAATTCTCCTCGCTTGGTCCCTAGATTCGCATACAAAACTATGGCATTCGAATGGTATGCCATGGTTCAATGTGTCTTCTAACACGACGATCATACTGAATACCCTCGTGTAAACTAAATCTTGCACTCCGTAAGATATCATGTCTACTGTGAACTGGGTAGGGGTGTATTTAAGTTTTTTATCGGTAACTTCGACGAACTCTATTCCTCCTTCAGATATCTCCAGTTTGACGATGGGCAATATAATATCAGCTGGTAGATTTTTTGCTTGGGATACCAGGAAGTCTACTGGTTTTCTTGTGTGCTTCATTCCCCATAGTCCTTTAGCAGGGTGTTTACCTGTTGGAGAATGAAACAAAAATTAATTTTTTTCTGTCTAAAATTGTTGTATTGTTTAAACTGTATCTTGGTTTGCTGGTTGAAATGATGGTTGAATTCAAATTGTTTTAATGAGAATTGTTGCATATCATAAGAAGGATAGAATAGGACAAACAATAATCATTAATGTACTATTAGACAACTTCTATTGTAATAGTAACGAATCTCTGGGGTTGCACCCGCCGCCAGAATGAGAAATAGACAATAAAAAAAATGTTTCCTCTTCCGGGTGACACATCAGACTCATGCAATAACCCCCTGTTCTTCTTTGCTTTTCAATAGCTATATTTCTGGAATTTGGAACACTAGAGGGCCTTTTCTTACATTTTTGGAAATTTTTTCAACTTCCGGATTTTCTGGAAATGACATCAACTTTCGATTTTCAAATGGAACCCCTCTTCATTTTATTCCATAATCAGTTATAGATTATTATAACGAATTCGCCGATACCGGGTTTGGTGGGTTATTTCATGACGAAGATATTTGCGTTCGAAGTTTGCATATACCCAATGGGTGTGATCTTCGTCACACCCATTTCCAGGAACCGGAACTTGAAGAAATCTTCCTAAAATGTGAGAAAGTGCCCTCTAGTAGGCGTATTCGATGTTCCAAATTTCAGAAATATAGCTAAAAAAAAAGGAGAAAAAGGAGGTACCTATACCATAAGTCTGTGTCACCCGGACCCGATGTATGTGTGATATAATTTTTAATTCAGCTCTCCATGGAGGACGGCATATCATAAACGTGGATCACCTTGTATGTTTTATTCTTCCTTAAAAATGAGGCAAACTGAGATAAAAAATCAAAATGTTCCAGGAGATCGCTCTGAAATAGTTAGTTCGGCTAAAAATGAATGTATCATTGACTAGAACTGAAAGTATTCAGTATACAGGGAAATAAGTGTCACAACGGAAAACTGTAGATTCCTCATAATAAAATAAACATTTCTTTCCTCTTCGAAATTTTTCTCCGGGCTTCCGTTTTCAAGATACAGGGCGTCAAAAAATCAAAAATGTTCAGTTTAATTGAACACACTTTACAACACTTGATGAACTTAACAATCTGAAAACAGCATCGAGACCAGCATACTCAAGAACCTGACATTTTATTGAACATATTATTAGACAGTTCTGAGTATTTATTTCCAGTGGATTTTAAGACGATTTTTGGAGATTTTCAGGATTTTGTATGTTCCTATTCATAAAGAGCCATGTTTCGTGGAAACTGTTCACTTTAGAGCATTGAGACAAGAGGATGTTTTTTGTGTGGAAAATATTGGAGCTTCAGAATGTACTTTAAAAATTACAATTTCTCCAGTGGTATAAATGTTTGGGGGGTTGAACCCTTACGAGGCGTTGAATTCTCCTCCACTGACATGTCCAAGGAAATTGATCAAGAGCCCTAAAAGTAGTCATTATTGATGATGAAGTGTGTATACGAAGGCTTAACTCCGTAGCTCAAACGGTTCCTGATATAGTAGCAAAAAACAGATTTTTTTTGTATTTTTTTGACGTCCTGTATCTTGAAAACGGAAGCCCGGACAAAAATTTCGAAAGGGAAAAAAATGTTTCCTTTTTTTTGATGAGGAATCTACAGTTTTCCGTTGTGACACTTATTTTTTAACACCCTGTATAGTGTGTCCAGTTTTCGATCTTTTTGCCATATTTTACGCGATATCTCAGTTATCTTTGGAGATAGAGTATTGTAGTTTTCACATCACTTCCTTACTTTTTTGTAAAACGAATAATGCCTCAAACAGAATTTTTACAGTTCGTATTCATGTTTTTGAGATACAGGGCGAAGTTGAAAATTCTCACTTTTTGAGCTCCTCCCGTATCTTGGATACTTTTCAATACAGTGGCGTATTCCTTTTATATCTGCAATCTCTCATTATTTGAAAATGGAGCCAAAATAATTTTGTGTCAAAAAAAAAATTCAACTATAATATATTTTTGATGAGTTATAGGAAATCTGAATCGAACTGGATTTGAATAAAATATTTTGGCTTCATTCTCTAATAACAATGTAGCAAAGCACTGTGCTATACGGGTGGTCCTCCAATAAAGGTTTCGCTAAATCAATTTGAATCTATCAGGTTAACTCAAGTGTCCTAATTGATTGATTTACGTCCATATAATTTCACGAGTAGAAAGAATCAATAGATCCTAGTCGGTATACTGAACTCATTAGGATTGATAAAAATGGTTCTTGGACTGAAGTACTGAAGTTCAACTATATAGGGTGTCCCAGATTCTTTCATACAGGCAATATCTCAGTTCGGCTGCTTGGGACAAAAAGTAAAATATTGCACTGCATGTCAACCCAAAATGACTTTGAAGTGACTGTGTCAAAATCAACTTCTGTCGAACAAACCTTGAAAAGCTACCCTCAACATCATTTTTTCAATTCACACCCTATACATTCTCAGTTGATATGTGAAGTGCAATCAATACTAACTTCAACGATGTATCATATTTGATAATTTGAATGACGTCGAATTGACAGAACACAAATTTTCAGTAAACATACCTACAAGGATGTACCTATAAACTGACTAAAATATGCATGCACGAGCAACAGTAAAAAAACATAGCAAACGAACTAATCTACACATGTTACCGTTTCCTTCGAATTTTGTAATATTGGAAGTATTACGTATGTCAAAATATCAAGCGTGATATATCGTTAAAGTTAGAATTGATTGCACTTCACTAATTTGTTTTATCGCTTGGAGCGCACGAATGGAAATCCCTATAATGTTCAAAGAACATCGTGCGTTCCTAGGTAGGATAGGGACAGGAGGTAGGTATTGGAATTATTTTTGAACTTCTGGAGATTATATGTTGTTGGGAATACTTCCTCAGGCAATGAATTCCATAGCCTAGCCGTTCTATGGATGAAGGAGTTTTGATAAAGTGCTGTTCGAAATCTTTCGAGGTTGACAACGAAAGGATGTGCTGACTGGGCTTGTCTAGTTCGTCTGACTGGTCTTGCTAGTGAAGGGATGATAGCAGAGATTTTTGAAGAACATTTCCCGTGGAAGTATCGATAGAAAAATTAAAGGTCGTCGACCTTTCTACGGTGTTCCAATGATGTCAAAGAGTGAGTGAGTGTGGCGTCACCGACCAGGCGGATGGCACTTCTCTGGATTTTGTGAATAAGTAATTTGACAACAGCAAATGACAGTTGTTGTCAACTCACTCTCTTCGCTTCGCGGATCAGGGTTGCCAGTTAGATTTTAATTCCATCAGTAAATACCTTGTCAAAAATTCAGTAGATTTCATTTTTTTATGTTCTGGTTCCCACGAAACGGGATGTCCGGTAATGTTCAGAGAACATCGTGAGAACCAAGAAAAATGAAGTAGGAATTGGTGTTCTTGAATTTCTGGAGGTTATATGCCTCGGGGAACACCTCTCTTGGCAATGTATTCCAGAGCCTCGCTGTTCGTTGGATGAACGAGTCTTTGGAAAGAGATGTTCTGCAGGTCTCCAAAGTGACCACGAAGGGGTGCGAAGCCTCAACTCGACGGGTTAATCTCGCGGGGACTGCCAAGGGAGGAACAATTGTTGATATTTCAGAAGAGCATCGTCCATGAAAATATCTATAAAATGGCCAGATCGCCAACTTTTCTATGGTGTTCCAGAGAAGTGAGTGGGTTTGTGAGCGATGCATCATCCACGAGACGAATTGCCCTTTTTTTGGACAGAATCCAACAGTTTCAGGGTATGTTTGGGTGCTGCACTCCAAATATGGGAACAGTATTCCAGGACAAGTCGGATAGCCTCATAGATCATAAGCAGCTGACTGGAAGGGAAATAGCTCCAAGCCCGAAAGAGAAAACCAAGTTTTTGGGATGCACTTTTAGCAATTGATCTCACGTGATTTTCCCAAGAAAGGTTATTGCTGATAGTAATACCAAGCATCGAAATGGATGTCTTCAAAGGTATGGTTACTCTTGACATTCTTATGTTGGGCACAGTGAGATCGGCTTTTCTAGAGAAAAGGCATGCTTGTGTTTTGTTTGCATTGAAATCTACCAAGTTATTGGATCCCCATTCGAGAATTGTTGCCAAGTCCATATTTATTTATGCTGTCAACATTTCTCCCTTGTTCGTTTCTGATTTGCCTGGCTGGTATTGGAGCCCTGGAAGAGAAGGCGGTATGGAGGGTACTATTATCCGCGAAGCTGTGTACTGGACATGAAGTTGCTTCCAACAAATCGTTGATATGGAGTAGAAATAGTGTTGGTGCTAGAATTGATTCTTGCGGAACACCAGCATTTATAATAAGAGAGCCAGATGAAACTCCATCGACCACAACATGGAGAGACCATGAAAGGATAATGAAATAAACCTATGACGTCAAAACATGATTTAGAAAAAAGAAAAGTAAATTATTTCCAACAAAATAGAAACAAATAAAACAAATACTATCTGTAGGTTGATCGAGCAGATGGTACAAAAAATGTATATGATGTATCTTGCAAAAATGAAGCTGAGGGTGGTTTTTCAGGGGTAATTTGACGGAAGTTGACTTCGATACAATGGCTTCAAAGTCATTTGGGTTCGACCAGAGGGTTATTTTTTTGAATTTTTTTCCATATAGCATAACTGAGATATTGGCTGTATGAAAATATATCAGTTATGCTATATAGAAAAAATTTCATACCCGGTATATAGGTAGGTATAGTTACTTGTTATTTTTCAATCTCTCACTATATAATAGCTCATATAACTAACGCCCCCTGTATGATAATGGTGGGTGAGTAGTTATATAGGTACGATAAAAAAATGCAATTCCCAAACCACTAAATCAATAACAATAACAAATCAATAATTAAATGGTTTTCCATTCGCCGAATTATTTTTGAAGGACTATCACTGTTATCAGGAGAACAATGGAGAAATCAAAAGTACATGAAAATTATGCATACGAATTTGTTCCAGCATGTATAGTTCACATTCTACATTCCTACATAGCATACACATATATCGAATTCAATTATGACTATACCGGGCGCTACAAATAAATGGTAAAATATTCAGATACAATATTTGAGATTTTTTATCATCACAATGTTTCTAACTAAACTCAGATCATCGAATGGAACCTGGTATATATTTTGAATTATTCTCTGGTAGAAGAGTCCGGCCCAGTGGCGTAACTACAGGGTGAAAAATCAAGTAAATATAATAATGAAGTTTGTATGTAACTTCACGAGGTGATTTATTATTAAACTTTTACAAGTAAAAGTGTTTGAATAAGTATTATGAAATAAAAAATACTAATATTGTTGGTGCAGCTTCTTTATATTGGAGGGAGCTCATCCGATGAATATGCCACGGACCTCGAAGGCCCATGGTTAGCTCAAAGCGGAGTGGAAAATTTAAAAGGAATAGGTAATGATCAAAGTCATCCCCAACAATATTAAATGACGTAATCAATCATTCAGGTACATGTTGACATAGGTAAGTCCATCTATAGAAGGATGTAACAAGTTCTACAATATTTTCAGTCTGTTTGTAGAACTTCCTAATATTTGGCTGGAGACGGGCTTTTGTTAGTCCGATAAATGTTTCAGAATATCTGATAATATAATCGAATTGCGTCAACAATGGGCTAATTCTAATACTGAGAGAAATCAAGCACTCATTGCTGCCGCGAAAACTGATGCTATTTTTTTTTGAAGACCGTTTTAAAAAGGTTCTCACACGTCTTCGATTGGTCATACCCACCTCACCCATGGATATTTCATCAAACGCAGTGAATCTGTTGGTGATAATAATTATGTGACATAAGGATGTAAATGATATTCAGTATTTAGTCGCTAATGAGTATAATGATCGAACAGATCGGCGATGTGAATAAGATGAATATAAAAAAATTAAATAGTGTGGAGATGACTTTGAGCATTAATCTATGCTTTGAGTATTCCTTCGAATTGTTTCAACTCAGATTTCCATTATTAGAGGGAACGGATGATTTTTTTTTCTTTCAGTAATAAAACAGCATTTTTGGTCTCTAGTATCTTAATAAAAATGGGATTTTATATTGTTAGGTACAACATATATCAAACATTAATATGGTTATATAAGAAGAAAAGTTTCACATGAACATAAACCTCTTATAACTTTCGAGCTATAGTGTGTTAAAATTTTAGTAAAACATTCGTTTTCTCATCATACCTTCAATACTGCTCTGGATGTGTTCATGAAATTTGACATGCACCTACTAAGCATCATATGGTTGTTTGAATGAAGGATGTGTTCTTGACAAAATTTTATTCAAGTAAAGTCAAATGATTTTTCATTCAAGTAAGGTCGCATGATTAAATTAGCCAAAAAGGTTTTAATTTTTTCACGCGTCTGACGCATAAAATTCAGGGAGTCAAATTGTTGCAAAATAAATGAGGATTTCAGAAATTATTTTGATTTTTGGACAAACAGGGGTGTTTCATATTTTTTTAGAAAGATCTTCCTTGTACATACATTCCATACAGACGCCAATGATAGAAATATTGCATCAAAAAAGGTCTAAGTTAAGAGGTTTAGAGCATATGTTCATATGATCTTTTAATCTTAAAATTACACCCTATACCGAAGACTAGAACCTTTGGCACGATAATCACTACACTGTTTTACCACTAACCAAACCGATTTTTTTACGCCAAATCACCTTATTTCTTTGCTGAACTGTTCATGAATCGGTTTGAAGCGAATCCAAAAAAAAATTCGAGTATATCCCTTGGGTTTGGATCTAATCCAATGTCGACGATATTTTTGCTATTTTTGATACTGAAATCACGGATATATAGATAACTCCATTTCAAAATTGAATAATTGCTTCCCCTCTATCAAATTCACATTTGAATGCGAAAATAATGGTCAATTACCATTCCTAGATGTTCTTGTGATCCAAAATTGATGTTTTTAGAAAAGAAACTAACATACTTAAATACATAACTAATGACTGCAATCACTGTTTTCAACACAAAATGGCAAGTTTAAATTTTCTAGTACATAGACTAGTTTTATTTCCTCTGAGCGAAGAAAGATTCGATGTTGAAAGAAGTGTTGTTTATAAAGTGGCAGGCGTCATTAGGTAATCCAAAAGGTAAGGTGGGCACACTTGAAAAGTCAGGAATATACGAAATTAGTTGTAATGATTGTGATAAAACATATATAGGCCAAACCAGGCGACCCATAAAAACAAGGTTCAAAGAACACCCAACCACATTTGAAATATGGTAGGTTAGATAAATCGTGTGTAGCTGAACATATGTTAAATCACAATCATAATACACATATTAATAACCTCAAATTAGTTCAGCAAGTTAATAATGTTAGGAAATAAGATGCATATGAAAGCCTAGGGATTTTCAAGAATAGTAATAGAGTAATGAATAAAAGATAATGGCTCTATTCCATATAGCACTCTGTATAGTTTAGTGATATAAGATTAAAATGAACATGTGAACTCAACCATGACAAAAACTAACTTGGAGGTTAGTGTCTTCCACGCTTGGTACATAGTATATTAGTAACACAATAGAATAGAATATTTAGTTTTAATCTCCTCCTGATGATGCTAACATAGCCAAACACTTGTCGAGGCGTATAAAAAATATCGGTTTGATTAGTGGTAAAATAGTGTAGTAAATTACACCCTGTATGAGACTGTCTGTAAAGTGGTTCTAACAAACTAATAAAATAAATTGTTATAGTCAAAATACCAAAAATTCTTCAGTTCCTTCGCAACTATGTTTAGAAAGTAAATAAGAATCGTTCAAAATCGATTACAAGTCTGATGAATTCGTGAAGAATCACGCTACAATTTCTGAGGGAACACGAAATTGAGCCTTGATTTCAAGAGGAAATTAATGTCAAACTTAGTCAAATTTTTTCCCGTTTTCCTTATTTTGCCGGTGTGTGTATGAGATATTTCGTAACTAACAAGAGACGTATGTAATATAGGTATTCTCATGAGGTATAATAATATATAGAAATTACAAGGATTCAAACGTCAACTGGGTATAACCTTCCTCAGTGGGGACTATTCACTCACGTTTTTCCACCTACCTAAATATTTGACAGTAAATGATAACGGCAAATCAAGCACTGTAACGATAATGTCCTTATCCCCCATATCGAAATATTATTGTAGGCTCTAAACACTGATAACGAATTACAGCACCACACCTATATGAAGCACAATGAAATTTAGGACCTCATTCCCACAATGCTACACGTTACTTCATCACAACTTGTTCACGACCTTACATCCGTTTTTTTTGTCATCCTCATTGGCCAGTATGGTTCCGTATCGACTGTCATGATAATACCCCCTTTTCGTTTGCACCTGCTATACTCCCCACTTTGAAATGCAATCACCTTATCTCGGTACAAGCACACACATAAAGCTGAAAATATGTATATCAAATAATGACGATCATATTATCTACAATGATTTTTATTTATTTTACATAGATACCCTGTGTGCTAGTTATTTTCATTTCTAATGGCAGGAAATGAAGTCAATGTGTACTGTGTAGTCGTGATTTGTTTCGGATAAAAATGCAGGTACTATGTGACGAGATTATTATGATGAAAAGTTTTCATTTGAATATAGGTAATAGTAATTTTCCTAACAAGTGCGGAAAGTGATTCTTTCCCGCACGCGACTGCTGTTGACACGAACGACGCGAAGCGGAGTTCGGGCAAGCAAAACATGCAGGATTCCATTATGGTCGATCAAAAATTGAAAACGAACTGATAACTTCATTTTCCATGTCTTTCAATCAAATTTCATATATATTTTCACATTTATTCCAAAATGAGGTTCTCAAAAATTTTCAACTTGAGATGCATCGTTGAATTCTAAAAAATAGCTGAATTCAACAATAAAAAACTTTCATATCATCCCATTTAAAAAAAATCTAATTTGCTCTGATTCACGTGAAGAAGAATTGACGTTTGCACCAGTTTGAATTTGATTGTGTTACTTTTTCAAATCATATATGTATTATGAAGAAGTACGGAATTGAATATTACGACATTATCATAAGCGACATAATAAAGAATCTGTTAAGGGTAATTGGAACTGTGTGATCATTCTTATATACTAATTTCGACGAACAGTGTGTTAGAATGAACTATTCTTGATTGATAGTCAATTCTCTAAACCTACTAGAAGATAACAGACACAATGGCTGATGTTTACATTTTTCAAAAATACTTACTTATGTATTGATAAATATATTTCAATAACTTGACTGTTAATTTAGTCTCGGGACAGTCTGAGTTTTATTCCTGACCTAGTGAGTCGGTGCCAAAAATATTTTAAAAGATTGTGATCCGCTGTATATCAACAGATTCTGATTTATTATAAAGGTGAGGTTCGAGGAAACAGCAGAAATTTGATGATCCATTAGTTTGGTGAATCACCATCACTAATTCAATAATAAGAGAGAAAGCTATGATGGCAATTATTTCAGTACTTTCAAGTACAGGCGACAAAGTTATTTCAGATGCCCAGCACTTTATATTTCACTTATGTGTGTGTGTGCCAAATTATTTTTCTCAATGACGCCGCTGTCAAAAATAATATGCGTGAGAAATCAAGCAAAATAATCTCGTTGTCTGCCACTAGCCACTTTTCTAAATAATATTACGTATATATCTACGCATCTACGCCCAATGTTTCAAAGTAGGTGTTACTTGGTGCTACTAAAAGTGCGTAACTAAAACTAATCAAGCAGTGTTGCCAACTTTTTAAAATGATACCACAATGAAAAAGGCAGGTGAGAGTATGATATTAACTGGTCAACATTGATAACGACGTGGTGCAAAATATAGTTCGAATTCAACTCAACCCTTTTGAACAACTAAATTTTAACGGAACCCTGAACCCTAAACTGAAAGCAAAACTAAACTGCTCAACACAGGAAACGTAAAATCGCATTTTTTTGATCAAATTTGAATCATCATAACTTTCGAATTCCTCAACCGATATTCAATTACGTCTCCCGTTTGAAAGATTTTTTTTTATTATTATTTTTTTTTTTTTGGTCAAAGACATATTGCTTCATATATTTTCTCGATACTGTAAAAACATTTTTGGAATTGTCACACGTGTTAATGAAATATGAATGTTTTACATAATTTGATGCTCAAATTTCTATTGGCTTTGTGTTCAATGTGTTCCTGTCCATCTGTTCGAACGGTGGTCAAAAATCTTGAAATGATGCATGATCAACATATTCTTATATACAGGGTGGTCCTCAAACAACAATTATGACAGCAAGTAATAAAAAAAATCTTGTTTTGACGAGCAAGAAAATTTCGAAGCAGGAAACCGATTGAGAAGTTTTCTGGCGAATAAAGCGTGTAGGAGAGGTTCTCATCACCATGTCAAGTTGCTACAAAATATATTGCTGATCTTGCAATCTCGTGAATTTTCATACTTTTCATGTTCACTTCAATGTTGGATTCAATTAAAGGTGAGAGTGATATGTGATTTGAACTGGTGTTATTGATGAAAAGTCATGGAACTGGAACATTGTGACTGTGATGGAGTTCAATATGAAAAATTCATGTTTTTTCTGAGTCAGGACATTACAAATCCATGTGACTCACCTCTGCCATTCTTTTGACTTTCGACAAATATTCAATATAAGTCCTTTGTGAAGACGTTCACCGCAAATGAAATCACATCCTGTTACTCGTTAATCTTCTGCAATTGTGATGAATTATGTCAGTTGCATGGTATGTCTCGGCAGCAACTTTTCTTATTTAGACGACATCCTGTATATTTCTTCAGTCTATCTCATTTGCCTTGAAATTATCTTCTAAAAATCTATCACAAAGTGAGAACGACGCTCTGAAAATCCGGTTTTTCTAACAATTCCAGTGGTTTGATCTTGCAATAGATTCTGTAGCAACATGACATGGTGATGACAACCTCTCCTACACGCTTTGATCGTCAGAAAACTTCTCGATCGGTTTCCTGCTTCGAAATTCTCTTGCTCGTCAAAACAAGATTTTTTTTACTTGATGTCATAATTGCTGTTTGAGAACCACCCTGTTATAAGAATAGGTTGATCATGCATCATTTCAAGAATTTCTACCACCGTTCGATGTGACATTTCCAAATGTTTCTTACAATATCGAGAAAACATATAAAGCAATATGTTTTTGACCCAGAAAAAAAATAGAAAAAATGTTCTTTCAAACGGGAGGCGTTTCAAATTTTTAGAAAAATGCACAACTTTGATTATCATCCTGTAGAATCTCATCCGGAAAAGATGAAATAGTCATATCCATAGATTCGATAGTCAATGAAACGAGCTTTCAGAAACTGAAAAATAATTGGAAATCGGTTGAGGACATCGAAAGTTATGATGATTCAAATTTAATGCGAATTTACGTTTCATATGTGTTGATCAGTTTAGTTACATGTGTACTGTTTCTTACTAATCATACGAGAGAAGTTAGATACAGTGAGGAGTAAGTCAGTAAGCAAGAGATAAAACTAATTTCATTTAATGGGAGGCATAAAACTGATTTGATTCTCTATATCAACCGGGTAATATCAGACTTGATGTCTTCTCATGTCGGTTGCATCCAGCTTATTGTGGTATTTCGTTGTTGTAGCTGTATTTGCTGAAAATCACGTTTCACAAAAGTACGTTTTTGGGAATGGCAGAAGAAAATTCATCACAAACCCTGCACCAAAAATTATTCAGAGACAATATTTTTAAAATTGAAAACATTTTTGTGTCCGATGTCATTTCTAGAAATGATTCATGGATCTCATTTGACATATTTTCAGGCTCCTGCAATTTCGATGAAATAACAGGGTTTTGAATCCATGATTCTATTTTCAGTTTCGTATACGGTCCTTCGGGAAAGTAAGAATAAAATGTCGCTCGCAGATCATTGAAATATTGCTATAATTCAACACATGTTTCATTTCAAAATATTTCTGTATATCACTGAAACTAAGGTGGCTAAGGAACTCAATTAGTCACTTAGCGGAGCCCTACCAGAGGCTTTTCGGTGCACACTTTTAGTAACGCTGTAACCTAACCAATTTAGACCGATGATTAGCCTGATCTTTAAACAGTTTGTTGTGGCAATATAAAACCCAGTGATTTGAGATTTCTACAGAATGATAATTGAATAAGTGTATAATGGCAATGTGACCGTCACCTTATCCGATAGAGCAGATTTTTTTTTATATTTTTTTCTGTCCTGTATCCTGGATGATTGATGCTTGTTCTCGGAACGTTTTCGGAATTTCTAAATCTAGGGCTTTGGGAAATTGGAAGTATACCTCTGAAAATTTTTCGATACATCTATATTTCTCTTTCTCAGTTTTCGAAGAGTTACTGACAATGGAATGATTTTCTCTTTTAGGCTTTCTGATAGCAAATTTTTCGAACGCAGTGACATTTTGGGGCAAATCATCTGATTTGTTCCCACTACACGTTCATTTAAATGAAACGTATATTCTTATTTCATATAAACGATGAGAGAAAATCCCAAAAAAATCTGGAAGAATGAAAATATCCCCTTCTCGATCAACCTACAGACAGATACTATGTTTGATACAATACAATACAATACAACTGTTAGATGCATATTGTGGTGTACAGATGGACAACAAACCAATTGAATTAATTAAATCATGATTAAGTAGTGGCGTGCAACGACTTTGTTGAGAATAGAACCATAGAGAGGAGGGTCACTCTCTATTAGTTGATTTTTCATTGTGATGCGTATGGTACGGAATTGTTCACTCCATTAGTTTATCCATTTTATTTCCACATTCAACATGGTGCTCTTCTACTACAGTTACGTTGTTGGTAAGTTGACGACTATTCAACAAACTTTTTTGAATTTTTTATCAGTCTCCAAACTTCTAATGATAGTCAGTAGATCCACCTCTTTAAGTGGTATCGGAATAACTGTACTGTATGCACATACTTTTGAGCTCTAAAATACGGTAAATGAGTGCACACTCTAATGAATAAAATAATGAAAAATAGTTATTTATTATACAAGGGAAAAAAGTAGTAGATTTTAGCTCCAGGTTGTGTTGTCTCCCGACGCGTAGCGGAGGGAGACAACAAACCGTGAGCTAAAATCTAATATTTTTTCCGTGTATAATACACTATTTTTTTCTGTGACAAAAGGAAGGACGAATCAATATTGAGAAGATATTACATTATTTCGAAATCTGAAAATTATCGACGTGAAATTTCAAGTTTTTAACAGTAGGGACACCTGCGTTTCATAGACATCTTTATCATTATTTTGAAGTAATCAAATATCTGATGTCACTTCTGTCAGTTCAATTCTGTGATTTGATTTTAAAAAATTGCGAATTCAGTAGTTGTTTAATAATATACGAAACCGCGAACTCGAATGGAAGATAAAAGGACTTGCAGTTCTTTCTCGGAGACGGTATTATTGACTCATTTTTCGGAACTATAGCACAACAAAAGCCATTAACAGAGTATATATATGTGATAATATATCCGGGAAAAAAGTAATTTATGAAAAGTGACATTTTATAACCTGCCAACAGAGATGAAATGCCAAACTTTTTTCCCGTCACAGAAAAAAGTATATTTTTCTCAGTAGCGAAAGTTCAAATACAAAATCAGCTGATCTAGTGGAATAGTGTATTTGCAAAATGTGTTTTTTCTATGTCAAATCTATTCGAAACATCTTTAATTTTATTTATTTATTCATTTTTATTTATTTATTTCAGTTATTGCATTACATTATCTTCTTCATTGATACATTTCATACAAATAATATATAAAGTATAATTAATTTTCTAGTAGGAATGACATGAATGATCAGACAGTAATTCCTGGTATAAGATCATTCATGAAGTATTATCGACTGTTGTATAATTGAAATTACAAATAGTGAACAAAACTTTCATATTATTAAGATATCTCAAAATAACAGTCATATTATAGTGAACAAGAAGGGGAAAAATAAAAACAGTGAAAAAAAAAGGAAATTCATAGTCTTTCAGCTTTGATCATTCCTTTGCATATAAATATATTTCTTCACTTTATTTTTGAATTGCATAATATTTGGGCTGTTTTTGATATCATCTGGTAATTTATTGAATTTCGAAATCGCCTCATGTGTAAACTATTTTGCGAATGTTATTCCTTGGAGAGAACCGTAGATTTGAATATTAGATAAATGATGTCTTTTATTATAGGTATCTTCATGGAACTATATAATTTGTATGGTGTTGTGAATAGAACAAATGCATTGTATAATATTGCGCCATGTTTATTCAATGAAGTAGCTGACCATAAATCGACGCTATTAGAAACGTGGAACACCCAATCGAATATCAAAAATCCAGCAATGTGGGGATGATTCCTCCCCAACTGAATTAATGAAACATATTCCGTTTTGATTCTAACTAATTCATAACTAATTTGAATTAAAACACCTATATAAATTTTCTTCAATTTTTAATAAAAACCAAAAGTGAAGTAAATTGAGGCACTTCAATTTTTCGCCACAAATGTTTAGTACATATTTTGTTATAAGAACTGTATTATGGAATTTCTTGACTTATTGAGATGATATATTTATTGTAAAGACATTGAATAATCGTATTCAACCGCTGTATAACATTCAAACACTTCCATAAGATTTGCTGAGTTGCAGTTCTAACAACTTTCACTGCTACCTGGGATTACTGTGAATGAAATAAAATTCCTCATCAATTTTGGCGAAACAGCGAATTGGCCTCTGCAAAATATTAGCCAGTATCACTGGTTCCTTCTTTTTCCATGTCCTGGTTTTAAATCTGAAAAAAACGGTCACCTCACCTCATAAATGATTGTTCTAGGCTGACCCCTGAACCGTAATGGGCGACTTCTCCGTAATCACTCACAAGGGGTTCAAATTCCTCATCACCAAGAACCCGTCCAACAACTCCATCGAGGGATTCATCAAGGACCTCAAGAGAAACAACGTCAAAGTCGTGGTGAGAGTATGCGAACCAACCTACGATACAGAAGCGCTCAAAGGAGCTGGGATTCAAGTCTGCAATCTGCCTCTACAAGACGGAACTTTCCCTTCTGAAAGGATAATCGACGAGTTCTTTGATATCCTCAAGAGGCAGTATTACATCAATCCGGAATCCTGTGTGGCTGTACACTGCGTAGGAGGTAACGTGCAGAAAAACCCTTGAATTCATAATAAAGGTGAAAAAATTCAGGGGGGTTATTCCTTGCCAAATGTTTAGGAAAGAAATTAAAATTAACATGCGTTCTAACTTGCTCCGTTTTTGAAATACAGTTTTTTTTTTGTCGAGGTGGTTAATGTCCTTCATGGACATCTTATGGGTCTATTCCCCCATATATGATAGTCTGGGAGCCCCTTGACTCTAGCCAGGATATACCCACTAAAGACTCCACCCTGTTTGTATAGGCTCTCTGACCGATATCTCCGACGGCACTCAGGCTTAGTGGCCTATTGTATCTTACCTAGTAGTTTTTTCATTGTACCCACTCCGTTATCTTTGTACCTTGTACAGGTCTGTACAAATACTTCACTGGATGTGAGTTAAACACTTCTGATCATCTCTCTTTTGCGGTCCAGTGTCTCGCATCCAAGCGAAATGTGCCTATGATGGCCCATCACCTGTAGTTTCAAATATCGCGTCCTCACTGTCCTAGAGTGCCTCGAACATCTTATTTTACGCTTTTGGCAAAAAATTATATGTTCGAGGCTTCACACTGTCCTACCGCCACACTCAGCTCATGCATCATGCCTATTTAAGCTTACTTTTCTCCTAGGTGATTTTGGCGTTGGCGATGCTAGCAATGAAACGTCGCTAGCATTGCCAATGCCAAGGTAGCCTAGCAGAAAACCTTAGTCAGTTGGTAATAATTGTCAGAAGCTTTTACTTCATATTAGTGATTTTATTCGTAATAAAACCGAAATTGGAGAGTGTTGATCTATAAGAAAACTGTCCTTAATGTTTGAACTTCACTCTCATAGGGAAATGAATATGACAGCTGTAGTATATGAATAAAAATGCGCATTATTGTCGGTCTATTTTTGTCCTCAAATTGATTCTAGTGTAAATAGAAAATAGAGGTATGCAGTTCGTTTATGACTTCTTCCTTAATGTATTGTTTCTCATGTATATTTCCTGGAATGTTTTCCTAGTAGCTCTAATGTTTTGCCTGATGCTATAGTCTCTAACGGACGCTCGTGCTTTACGTTTTGGTACCCCATGAATCTGACTTGCCTTGCAAGTTCGTCAGCCTTCTCATCGCCAGCAATTCCCTGATGTCCCGGTCCAGCATGTTGACGTTGGAAGTATTAATTTTATTTTTCTAAGATCCCGTTTTTCATGCTTTCATGATATACATATATTTGAGTATATTGAGAAATCTCAATTTCAATTGCTTAATCAATTAAAACGATGTACTTATCTCGAAAACGAAGCAAGTTAGATGACAAGATGACAAGATGACAAGGAATTAGATACTGAATTTTATTTATTTTCCTAAGTCACAGCGCCATTATACATTTTCCGATATTGATGTAGGTACAAGAAAGCAAATACTTGTTTTGTAGTTTTTCGGCCGTTACTTGATAGAATTCCATTGTGAATGTAAAAAAAAGATGACATTCCTGCAAAATTCACGTTCCACTAAGACAGTAGTTCTTTTCAGTGAAATAATAGTACAATAAATTAATCTAACATTAATTTGCCTAACTATACATAAGTACATATACAGGGTGTTGCGAAATTCGACCGACAACGCTTGACAGGTGATAGCCCTCGTGATTTCATAATCACTGAGATAGGGACATACGGTCTTCAATTTTTCAGTTCTCGAGATACAGGGCGTAAAGCTAAGAAATAAAAATAGTTTTGTCGCAATATCTCAAGAAAAATTGGATATAATGCATTCAAATTCGGTATATGGTTTCATGTTCCAATGGTTTATTTTTTGACCAGAAAGACATTTCTACCATATTTTCTACGCCACTGATGAAATTTTGATTATTTCCAATTCCTCGAAATGATTGTTCAATAATGTTGAAAAAATGCATCACCTTCAACGAGCTAAAATGGACAGTTATCGAGATATTTGACCCAAAATCGAAGTTTGCATAGTAATTTTTCATCTTCCCCAGTCGTAGAAAATTACAAAAATGTTTGTTTTCTCTTCATGCGTGGAATAACTATTTCTGTTCAGCTACAGAATGAAATCTGAATAGTATCTTATCTACTCAAGACCAGAAAAATATTTTTGCAATTTTCTACTACTGAAAATGATGAAATATTACTATATGCAATCTTCTATTTTGGGTCAAATATTTCGAAAACCGTTCGTTTCAGCTCAGTTGATGATGCATTCTTTGAGCAAAATTGAACAATGAATTCGAGGAATTGGAAATTATCAAAATTTAATCAGTGGTGTAGAAAATATGGGAGGAAAGTTACCACAACTTCCTGTAGGGCACCACTGGATAAAATGTCAGGAATGGCTTTCTGGACAAAAAATGAGTCATTCAAAGATGAAACCATAACCGAATTTGAATGCATTATATTCTATTATTCTTTCGCAGCACCCTGTATAAATCGGACCCAATGGATTGAAATACCTTCGGGCAGGCTAATAATGAAAAATATGCACAATATCTACATTGATATTCAGTGTGAGATATCAATTATTTAAGAGGAGTGATACAAATATTATCTACTTACGCTGACCTAAATTATCAAAAATTTATACCAAATAAAGAATGAAACTTAATCATTGGGAATCAATTTATTTTTTCAGGTCTGGGTAGAGCACCTGTAATGGTAGCCATAGCTCTCATAGAGTTAGGATTCTCGTATGAAGACGCAGTTAGCCATATCAGAGAAAAAAGGCGAGGAGCAATTAATGCCAAACAGCTCGAATTTCTCTCAAAATACAAATCCAAATCTCGATTAGTCAATGATAAGAAGAAGACTTGCAACATTCAATGAACGACCCCCTTCAAGTAGATGTCATAAGATGACACAACAGTCTTCAAATCTAGATTAATTGTCGGCAGCTGAGAGAATGAGACTCTTCAGATAAATCAACTTTTCACTAGCCGCTTCAATACTCGTCAAAAATTCATTTTCTATAATGTACCATATGTTTAAATGATTGTTTCTCGTTTATCTCTACCTATAGAAGTCGTTATTTGAATTGAGAATATGGGTTTATTTGAATTTCAATCATTTGATCCAAATAAAATTTGTTTGGGTAAAACATCCTCACTGCCAATAAAATAAATCGATTTGTTTGTATTGAATAATAGGGTCATTTGAAGGAGGAATTGAAATTCATCAAATTCAAGAATATATTTTCTTGAACAAATAATAACAACTATAGTTTATTTGACATAAGAATTCAAAATCACTATTTTCATTAATATATTTTTGGTTTATTTGAGTGACGTATCAAAGAAGAACTGCACAAAAAATGACAATGCACATATTCGTGTATATATAGCATTTTTTCTGATAAATATGTCAAAAAGGCTTTTTTATATACCATAAGTGATATTTTTGTTTAGATCTAATGTTTGATGTAGAGGCGATGGCCACCTATTGTGAGTTTTGGCTTGATACGCTGATGGTTCTGCTACCATAATCTTTGTTTATTCTTCAAGTGTTTTCTAATGGAATTGGTCTCTCGAATCAAATGAATATATTTTTTAACAGAATCAAAGAATTATTTTTATCAACTCAAATCTGGAAATTGCTATAAATATTTAATAATTCTTTGCTTCAAATACTTGAATATATCCTACAAGTGAGTAGATTATTTTCTTCATTTAGGAAACTGTTCACATTTTATAAAACAACATTTATTGCATTGTCTATCAAATAATTCGATGTTTTCAATCAGAACTCCTATTTCGTCAGCCATGTAAGAATGAGGGATTTATTTAGGTAATAACTGTCATTCTTAAAACAAATTTTAATTAATTTAACTGATCCAATATTTCTTTACCTTAGGAGATTTTAAAAAATGATCTGATGTATATCAATTAATCATTATGCATGTTTATGCATGTTGTGTGTGAAAATATTGTATAAGTACATGATTTTGTCCAATATTTGGAAATATATTATGTGGAATTTTTTTTGGTGTATAATTCCGACGGCGATGAAACTTGGGCTATACAGAGTGATTCACGGTGGATGTCGTATTAGAAGTATTTGGAGAACAGAAAGACAGGTCATCCTGAAAATTGGTAAGTTGGCTAGTTACCATGTGTGATACATTGATTAAATCAGCTCTTCAGGGAGAATCTAAAAATGCAATGAAATACAGGGTGTTTCATTTGAAATAACAATTACAAAGTGGCTACTTATTTCTGATACGAGCGGCAACACTGGATGATTACCAATCTTCAGAATAATCTGTCTCTCCGTTCTCCAGATACTTCTTATACGCCATCCACCGTGAATCACTCTGTATATTATGTATTGATTTTTCAACAACAATTAGTTGAGAACCTATTCGCATTCCTAATGAGCTAATATTTTATTGCTATGATGGAGAAGCATATTATACAACAATCATTGGCAAATCAGTTCAAAATAAAAGAATTATGCCAGAAAAATATCAAAATCTACAATATATAATTATAGTAATAACCTTATTAAATAAATCCGTTTGAAGCGCATAATCTTCTAAATTTCAATGTATAACGTTATAATGTCGAAAACTACCTATTTCCCACGTTTATTTTGTGAATAGGGTCATTGTTGCCAATATGAAACTAATTTAAATTCATAATTAACAAGATATTGTTACTCCAGAAAATTATTGATTTTTTTCACTATTCTGCACCTCATTCTCATCTAGCGAGCCTTATAGATTTCTCATTATAATGTATCGAATTTCAATATAGATTTTTCTGATAGCAAATGAGCAATGCACGAAAAATATAAGAATTAACAACTTAAATTTCAGGTAAATATATACAGTCTGACCAAGATACGAAGTCGGTTAAATGGGAACAGCCTTCAGAAATTTTCAAAATTATTCAGTTATATATCGAAAAAAGTTAATTTTTGGATTTTTTTTTCTCCGTTATTATTAGAGATACAGAAAAACTAAAAATAATTTTTTATAGCAACTTTTGATGACGTTTAACGTAATGATACCTATTTTTTTATGCGACGTTTCGTATTCGTAGAACCATCATCAAATTTCGTGTTTTAAATACGGTCTCCATAATTTTTTCACAGATTCTGAAAGCTTCCTTTATTCTGAATTCAACCATGTATTATACAAGGTGATTTGAATGTGTTTCGACCTATTTCTATCCATCATCAATGTTTTTCAGAAATTCCAAACTGGTTTTTTCCAAAAAATATTCTAATTGATTTTCAAGCAAAAAAGAAGAAAATGACTATTTTTTGTGCTAGTACCTCTCCCTCTAATCTACGCTGGTGGATTACCGCAAATCAGAAGATATATTGGGTGATAAATTTGAAATGAAGGCTCTGTATACATAAAGGGTTGGCAGAATCCCTGATGAAATAGTCACATTTCTCGAGAACAGCAGTTACTTTAACAAGAAACTTCCGGTGAAAAATCGAAAAAACCCGGAAAAACCACCTTAGAGTTTTCCGATTTCCTTCATATTTTAATGACATGATATTGTTAAGATGGCGAAATTTCAAGTCGATATGTCAAAGGGTTCCGGAAATATATCGATTTATGATTACCACAGAGTATAGACAGACAGATAGACCACATACAAAAACCAAAGTTGCTCAAAATTCGATGGGGATCATTTTCTCCACAGTAACTATACCTCTATCTCGCTTAGTTTCCGAGATAGCATTTTTGGCAAGGCCGTAGTATACTCCACTATATAGGTATAGCGTCGTATAACAAGGGCAGATATAGAATAAGTTTGCATGTTTCTAAGATAACCTAGCCATTGTTGCCACCTCCACATCAACCTTCTTATTTGAAAAAGCATATTCTATATACAGTGTGTCCCACTTACCATGCTCACCATGGGTATCTTTTTAACGGTGAGAGATACGAGGTCGGTTAAATGACACCAAATGTGGAGTTTGTCAGGGCCAACTATAATATGAAAAAACATTTTGATAAAATCTATTCGTTTTTGTTTTATACGCAAAAACAGATTTTGATCATTTTCATGTCTCCTCCGTAACTTCTTTATTTATGAAAATATTCAAATAGGAATTTCACATTCTTATGGCAGTTTTTCAAAGTGATTTCGAAAAAAATATGAAATTTATACCAACTCTTCTAGAATTCGAGATATCAGCACCAACTTTAGTTTTTCAAATGTAGGTCATAGCTCACTATGACTTAGTTACAAATAACTTTTTTTCCTCTTCCAGATGATATGTCGCAGTAATAGTTTTGTGTTGATAACAACGGAGTTATCGTCATTTATACAAGAACAAAAAATTATTTGGAAGCCGCCATCTTGAATTTATAAATTTCAACAAAAAAATCATGATCTCCGACCTCGAAAACCCCTACTTACCAATTTTGAATGGAATCGGACCAAATATTGTCCGCCATCTTGGAGCAGTCATTTTTTTTAATTTCAACAAAAATTCCATAACTCCGATTAACTTGAAATTTGACAGGTGTTCATAATTTCGGTGACAATGAATTATGGAATTTTTGTTGAAATAAAAAAAAATGGATTCCATTCAAAATTGGTAAGTGGGGGTTTTTGAGGTCGGAGATCATGATTTTTTTGTTGAAATTTATAAATTCAAGATGGCGTCTTCCAAATAATTTTTTGTTCTTGTATAAATGACGATAACTCCCTTGTTATCAACATAAAACTATAACTGCGACATATCATCTGGAAGAGAAAAAAAAGTTATTTGTAACTAAGTCATAGTGAGCTATGACCTACATTAGAAAAACTAAAGTTGGTGCTGATATCTCAAATTCTAGAAAAGTTGGTATAAATTTCATATTTTTAACGAGATCACTTTGAAAAACTGCCATGAGAATGTGAAATTCCTATTTGAATATTTTCATAAATAAAGAAGTTACGGAGGAGACATGAAAATGATCTTAATCTGTTTTTTGCGTATAAAACAAAAACGAATAGATTTTATCAAATTTTTTTTTCACATTATAGTTGGCCTTGACAAACTCCACATTTGGTGTCATTCAACCGACCTCGTATCTCTCACCGTTTAAAAGATACCCATGGTGAGCATGGTAAGTGGGACACACTGTATTTGCCCATATTTGATTAGGGGATTTCAATACGTGTTCAAAGCTACAGGTTGGATGTGTCAAACGACAAACGACTACGAATATATTGATATTATGGGAAAACCAATGAGTGTACCTGTGAGATAAAATGTCGGAGATACTTATTATAATCCTATAGTTACAATGATAGGGCAAATGGAATAGAGTTACCTTATAAAATCATGGAATGGAAACCATCCATATTTCTCTAAGTGATCCAATTGTTTTTTCTTATAATAATTACCATAATTTCATTTCATCGTAGTCATATGTGACGTACCATCCACAAACGTGATAAGTATCATTGAATTCCGAATGAAAATCATTAAGGGAATATGGAAAAAGATTAAGGTGTCCCATTAAATAAGGAAGTAATTGTGAGTTATAGAAAAACGGAAAATATATAACAACGGTGGCTTTGTCATTTTCCAATCAAACATTATACAGGGTGTTTCATAATTGAATGCTGACCCTAAAGGGCGATAATCCTTGGATGATTTTAAGAAAAATTCTTCATGTGAACATAGGTCCGTAACAGCTTCGTTTCTGAGATACAGGATGTTGAAATTTAACAAAAAAATCAGTTATTCCCCAATATCTCTGGAACCGCTCTGGCTTTTTTCTTCAATTTTGATACATGCCGAGTATGAATAGAAATACATTTTTTCCATAATGAAGGATTTCTTAATTTCCATCAGTGGCGTCCCTGTTAACATACCCTGTCATATTTTTCATCAAAATAATGATACGCCACTGTCTTTTTCCCAAATGAATATTATTTTTGTAATTATCCTTTATCTTCTCATAAAAATGGTCTCTTGTCTGTTTTTCGTCCGGCAAACGGTTTTTGAGTTAGAAAATAAAATGCATTCATTTGCTTGTCCCTATTCGATTTTTACTCTTAGTCATAATTTCACAATTGTGGTAACCAAAGATCTGAGCAATATTTTTATAATTTTATCGTAACTATTTTTAAGTATTTGTAAAGGAAAAGAGCCAGAGCGGTTTCAGAGATACTGGGGAATAACTGATTTTTTTGTTAAATTTCAACATACTGTATCTCAGAAACGAAGCTGTTACGGACCTATGTTCACATGAAGAATTTTTCTTGAAATCATCCAAAGATTATCACCCTTTAGGATCAGCATTCAATTATGAAACACCCTGTATACGTAACTATATCCTGCGAAATTTTTCAAAAATATCTGATGAACAATTCGTGAGATATTTTTCCGCTTCAGAACTTTTCGCCAACCCTGTATACTCAAAAGACATACTCCTACTCCTGAGATCCATTCAGAAAGTCTTGAGAAGAAGCATCTTACCGCGTCGTTGACTAGGAAGCTTACCTAATATCAGCAATCACCACCACATATAAAATAGAAGAATTTGAATAAAGTAATCATTGTTTCGTGAATTTACAAAGACTAAATATCTACCTACATTTTGGGATTTTTCTCTTCCGATTTCGCTTCATCATGCCGTGTTCATTTGGATACCAAAAATATGTGTTCGTTACAATTTTTTCTGGATTATTAGTGCAGTTTGTTTTCAGTGTAAGTGTTTTTATGACAACATTATTACCTAGCTCGTTAGTGATAATCTTGCATTTTTTCAAGTGAAGAATTCGAAAATGAATATGTCTCAATTATCCAATATTTCATGGAAAATTTCGTGATTTTTGGAAACAAAGATCATTTCATTCAATTATACACGATAAACTTTTACATAGGTCCTTTTTCAATGTTTCATGATCTTCATTTGATATTTCGAAAACCTACGAGTTTTGAATTCTGAAAATATTCTCCTTAGATTCATTGATATCTGTGAAAACTTCATAACATATTTATTAATTATACAAGGGAAAAATATATTTGATTTTAGCTTGAGGATGTGTTGACTGCCGACTCGTAGCGGAGGAATACAAAAAACCGAGAGGCAAAATCTAATATTTTCCCGTGTATAATACACAATTTTTTCCTGTGACAGGGGAAATGACGATTCAATATTGAGAACATATTACATTATAAAAAAATCAGGAAATTATCGATGTGAAATTTGCAGTTTTCAGGCATATTTTTGTAGGCATCTTTATTGTTACTATGCAAACCTTCTGAAGTAATCGAATATGTTTGTGTCAATTTCATTCTGTGTTTTGATTTAAAAAAATTGCGAACTCAATGTTGTTTAGTAAATTAAGTAACCGCGAAGTGCAATAAAAGGTAAAAAGGACTTTCACTGTGTCTCGGAGACGGTGTTTTTGGCTTATTTTTCGGAACTAACACAGCAAAAGCCATAAACAGTGCACCTATATATCTGGGGAAAATGTGATTTATGAAAAGTGACATTTCGTAACCTGTCAACAGAGATAAAATGTCAAACTTTTTTCCCGTCACAGAAAAAAATATTATTTGTTTCATAAAAGAAACACCCCTTAATATTCAACATGAAAATTGAACCGTTATACAAAAAAGTATTCATGAACGTTGCTGATATCAGTTTTGAATTGAAAGATTCCCAATATACATGGTGGCCTTCAAATTGATCGCCCCTGGAATTGATGACAGGTGGAATACAAGGTTTTTGACACCTGCTAATCCTGCCATACACACAAATATTTCACCAAAATGAAATTATTATAATATTTTGTTTATTAAGATACGTACATATACTGAATTCTTTGTTTTCAAGCAATTTCCATACATATTGTCGATCCAATATACAATTATAATACCTCGTACATGGAATGACATTTGGGTTCTTACATCAGGTGCATTCTGAGTTTGAGACTTTTAGAGAAATGCATATCAGAGTTTTTCAGAAATTATCGAAATAAGGAATCGGTATAATTTTCCATAATGTATAGATGAAATATATTCCCGAAATATGTTTTGATTCTAATCAACGGGAAATTTGAAATTGAAAAAAAATGGATTACCACACTTCAAAATAACTTAAATGATTGAAATACACGTCATTGTGTCTTCCTCAGGGAAATTTGTATAGCGGTGACGTCACAGTGTGAAAATTCAGATGGAAAAAGAAGTATTTCCACAAGAATGTTATTTTGATCCTTCATATTTTTCCAATTGTGCCATTCGATAGTATAGGTATATATCTAGCTATCTTTGGGTTCAAATTATATGTAATCATTTTGATGTCATCCTGCATGTATTTCAAATCCAACTTAGATAACAATCTTGATATCATATTGATAATTATAATCAATCAAACTTATGGTTACACGGATTATCTTCATTATCAATTGTACAGAAAATATGTGAAATTCTTCATTTTATCATCTCAATTAGTTCAAAATAGCTGAGTATAAGATAACGACAATCTGTGATTATCTTTCATTATAAATCTTATCATTTGTATCTTCTTATAAAATGTATATTCAGGGTGTCCCATAATCACCCTGCCAAACTTCACCAATGGCTTCTACGACTAAAAATAGGAAGAAAAGTATCAATGAACATGAGTCGAAAAATGGCTCTTAAAGAAGCTACGGCCCGCTTGAAGGGGGCTCTTGAAGATGATATTTCCTGAATATATCCGAAACGCCAATTCGGTACAATATCTGAACTTTCTATGCCCAATGCAGAGAAAATAAAATCATTCCAAAATTCCATTCAGAAGAGTATAAGTGTAATTACCTACATTAAATATTACTCAAACTTTTTTATATGCATATTTTTCGTCAATTCAATCTCGGATTATGTAAATCCACACCTCTTCACAGAAGAAAAAGATTCTCTTGTTCCGTATCTATCGGATGTATCATTTTCGAGTGAAATCGATTTCAAAATATTGTTACATCTCAGATATTATGCATAAAGTTGACAATTTTCAAATCATAGTGGCTATAAAAAAATCGATTACTTTTTTTCACCAAACAATTTCATAGAGACGCGTTCGATAGGAAGACGATGAGAAAACCTACCCCAACTTTTTTGCATTTGTTTTTCCATAGCCACTACGATTTATCGCAAAGTTATGCATGATATATTATGTGAGATTTGACAATAATTTACGGAACAAGAGCATCTTTATTCAAAATTCTGGGGGTTTTCGAGGTCTGAAATTATAATTCTTTCGTCGAAATTTGTAAATTCTATATGGCGGATCCAATATGACGAACCAGTTTCGTAATTACGATTCAAAATTAGCAGTAGCAGTATAAATAAATGAAATGAAATGAAATGAAATGAAATGAAATGAAATGAAATGAAATGAAATGAAATGAAATGAAATGAAATGAAATGAAATGAAATGAAATGAAATGAAATGAAATGAAATGAAATGAAATGAAATGAAATGAAATGAAATGAAATGAAATGAAATGAAATGAAATGAAATGAAATGAAATGAAATGAAATGAAATGAAATGAAATGAAATGAAATGAAATGAAATGAAATGAAATGAAATGAAATGAAATGAAATGAAATGAAATGAAATGAAATGAAATGAAATGAAATGAAATGAAATGAAATGAAATGAAATGAAATGAAATGAAATGAAATGAAATGAAATGAAATGAAATGAAATGAAATGAAATGAAATGAAATGAAATGAAATGAAATGAAATGAAATGAAATGAAATGAAATGAAATGAAATGAAATGAAATGAAATGAAATGAAATGAAATGAAATGAAATGAAATGAAATGAAATGAAATGAAATGAAATGAAATGAAATGAAATGAAATGAAATGAAATGAAATGAAATGAAATGAAATGAAATGAAATGAAATGAAATGAAATGAAATGAAATGAAATGAAATGAAATGAAAAATTTGTATCTGGGGGTTTTCGGGGTAGGTTATTATGATTCTCTCGTAAAAAATGAGGAATTCAGGATGGCGGATCCAATATGGAGGACAAATTTTGTAATTATAATTCGATTCCTTAGAAAATTTGTATCTGGGGGTTTTCGAGGTAGGAGATTATGATTCTGTCGTCAATATTGGGAAATTCAACATGGCCTGTCCAATATGGCGGACGAGTTTTGGGATCAGCATATGATTCTATTTGAAATTGTTACCTGGAGGTTTTTGGGATCGGAGATTATGATTCTCCTGTCGAAATAAATAATTACAAAAAATATAAAAAAACTAAAAACTACTTCTACTCCTCTTTAGTTTGGCTATATCTATAAAAGCTTTTTTCTTCAGTTTTTCAACTACTATTTATTTCTGTAGAGAGATGTAGATTTTCATATTCTGAGATTACATTGTCGAAGATGCATAAAAAAGTTTGAGCATGAATGAAATTTTGGAATGATTTTATTTTCACTGGATTGGGAATAAAAAGTTTAGTTCTTGTACCTTGCACCATTTTATCACATGGCTTTTCGGAAATATTCAGGAAATATCATCCTCAGGAACCCCCTTCAAAGTGGTCGCAAGGAGCCATTTTTCGACTCATGTTCATTGGATAATTTCTTTCTATTTTTGGTCGAAGAAGCGGCTGGTAGAGTTTGTCAAGCTAATTAAGGTACATATAGCATAGAAAGGGCCATTAACTATCAACTATGGTACTGAAATTGTTCATCTATTGTGATTTATGAGTGCCAAAAGAAAATAGTAGATATTACTGTGAGAATAGACATTTCATCATCATAATATTACACCCATTTCTCATCCTATTTACAATGATTATAAAATCATCAGCTACACGCAATAACCGGCGTAACATCTTAGAATAAGCTAACACATTTTTCAATCATTCTTATGTAAGCGATATTCGTTCATGGATAGGAGGTTTTCAATGATTTGCACTTGCACATCTTGGCACAAATGATAGGATTCCTCACAACCCTTGATCCTGTATAAACAGGGCGGTCTAGGTTAAACTTCATTATTGTTAATAGGCGTTAGAATAACAGGAGAGGTGTGGACTTTTATATAAGGAGGCACAATACTTGGTGGTCCCTGTCAAGAAACCATGTTTGACTTGTTATTTGGACAAGCCACCAGGTTTATTGATTGCAAGCAGCCGCCTATATGTCTCCAATATCCTTCTAGTGCTTTGTCCGCCCATTCGTTCAGGGCAGACAAAGTTTGGCTTCTTGTAACGCCCAGTACAGGCTCTGGTCCCCAGAGCGGTGTCGCGGATCCGATTCTAGCCAGCTCGTCTGCTACTTCATTCCTGGGCACCCTCCTGTGACCTGGAACCCATACTATACTTCCACTTATTGCTTCATTTTTACTATTTAGTTTCTCAGGAGCTTGGTTTGGGGTGGCAGATAGCTTTTAGCGCCGAGCACATGTAAATCTTCTGAGGCTGTGGTCCCTCTTCCACCTCCTGTCTCTCTGCTACGGCCAGAATGACGTATACTTCAGGCTGAAAAACGGTAGGGTATATTCCTAGAGCGAAGCTCTTCCTTATACCTCTTCATTCTAGGTAAATTCCTGCAGCACAGTCCCATTTGTCAGTTAGGCGTGATCCGTCCTTGTTACATACTAGGCGAAATTCTACTCTGTTCACTTCCCATTGTTCCCTGTTGAGGTGGACCTTCTATTCCATCTCAGCCTATTTTGAGCGTTCTTCGCTCTTAGGGTAGAGATAGGGACCCATTTCGCAATTTCTGCGTGACCTCTCCCTGCTCCGTTAACACAGCTCCAAGAGTCCCGCATCCTCAGATAGGCCGTCGTTGCTTCAGTCCAGTGCTGTGATATGGTCGGCACGAAATTTCCCTCTGCAATGGCTGAATATTCCCACTTTTCTGTCAAAAATCCCTCCGATCATTGAGCAGCAAAGTTGAATAGATAAACGTTCATCTTTAGATTTTGTTTTCACTATTTTTTTAGATTTTTCGATCATGCAGTGACATTTTGGGGCAAATCTATAATAAATCATCTGATTCGTCCAGCGATTACTCATATATCGGATCAATACTTTATTACAATTTATAGAAATAAGTAGAGGAAATCCCGAAATTACTATGTAAATGAATATTCCACTACCTTAATTAACCTACAGACAGTGAGTATATGTAACCAAAATATTGAATTCACCGAGTATTCGACGAGAAAAGAAGAATATTATCACTTGGTTTTGAACAATAAGCAACTATTATGAATTATTGCAATACTCGAACCAAAGAATAGTAGGATTAGTAGGTTCTTCTCATTGCCTAAACACCTTTGCCCTTTGCCTGAACACCTTTGCCTAAACAGTCAAATCACGAAGCAATAAAGAATTTATCTATCTATCTATCAATAAAAAAATCTATAATTATGTGTTCAGATCACAAAATAATGACTTGTCGAACGTCAACTATCGTTGTTTACCTCAGAATTCAGAACCTGGCGATATTATCAAAATCTCCCTCCCAAATGGCCTTTTTCCAGAAAAATCCCTTTTTTCCTCAAAGTTCCAGAAATTCCCACGAAAACGGGTATTTCCCTCCCATATAACAACACTGCTTCTGTCTTAATCCAGATTGGAAGCTGTGGCAGCCCCAGCAGTTTCTCTATCGCTGCAGCTGGCATCGTCCTCATTGCTCCTGTAATCGTCATCAGGCAGGCCATCCTTTGATAGCTAACATAACTAACGATCCGAACGATTTTTTCTGATTTTTGGTGTACATATTCTCCTTCCACTACCCAAGTGACTAACACTCTATCTAGCCAGAAAAATTCCGGAAACTGGATAAAACAAATATTCAGTGAATTCGTGTGTGATCAAAACAATCTAATATCCAAAATTTGCTTCCAAATTTTAAGAGACCACGATGAATATAATCGAAAGATTTTCTATTGATGGTCCCACCTATGATTACTGACTAATGTTGAACTTGAACTTGAACTTTGAACCTTATTATAAGTAAAATCACATTTATCTCAGATTTTTTCGTCGATGGACCAGTGTAAAACTCTTCATGTGAAATATTCAAAAAATTGAGGCTCTGCCACTAACTTAGATCAATTTGAATCGGGGCACGTTTGGATATTCACAGAAGGGACATTTGTCCCTTTCATTTGCTATTTGTTTCAACTCGTTATCACATGACGGAAGTATTTCTGGAATAAAAGGAGCAAATAAATCGCTGTGCCGTGGACTTGGCTCAGACTGAGGGATGGCACAGGTTGATTTTGGAGATCTACCATTCAATTGGTATCAGATGGCATAATTCTTATCTCGTTATCAAATCGCGAAATCGAGTACAAAATTCCGCACAGGCAAGTGCAATTTTTCAATTATATTCCTCAGGACATTGATTGGCACAGGTGTCGTTCGATGAACTACAATGTTTTCACTTTCCTTTGGGACATTTATTTATCAAATGACGATAGAAATCTGCAACCCACTCTACTAGTATGAACTTCATATTTTCGAAACTTGTGGGTGAATTTTCAGAAAATAAACAGTAATGAATTGGGTATTGAAAGGCCTTTCCAATGAAATATTGCTCGACCCCCATTCCCAGTTAGGAGACGCCCCATTTTGTGTGACGATGGGATTTTGTGGGACGAGCGAGATTCCGGAAAACACAGAGAGTATGTATAGGGTGTCCCAAATTGCTTGATTTTGGTAGTTTTTCCTATTTCCAGCTCGATTTTTCTGAAACGTCGATTGGTCAAAATCGCATTTCGATATCTCTAACCGTTTCCGAGATATAGGCGAAAATTAACATTTGACCGATCTCGAAAATATGTCATGACATTCTTATTTTTGGGTATTTTTCTAAACGGAAAAACACTTTCTACAGGCACTGGCGCTTAGGGTATCGTTCGAAATATAGATTTCTCGCAGTTTCAGCATTTCGGCCTGATTCAATGAAGCATTTTCAAAGAGATGTCACCAAATGGTTATTTTCAATGAGAAATAATATGTTTTATTGACAGCAAGGATGACTAGACATATCTTGACAAAGGTATATATTTTTTTGGAAAGCCTATTTTCGTTTAAATTTTCTAGAGTCAAAGCCAACTATATGGTTTCTATTTGAAATAATAAAGTTGGCTTTGATATTATTCCATTTATATGCGATATATTATTCTGTATCTCATCCTACGTTAAAAAGTGCCGGTTGAAAGTTGTTTTCATTGAAAGAAATATCCAAAAATATAATAGTAGAAGATCCGAACCTGAATCGACCTTCACCGAGCTGATAATAGAATGAAATATATTTTATCATGAATTTAGTATATTAGGAAACATATTAAAAATGGGTTGGCTAAAAAAATCCTGGGCAGACTATTTTTAATTATTTTTCGAAAAATTATTTTTAATTAAATGTTGCAACATCAGGATAATAAAAAAATTGTGTCCTGACTGAAAGTATAAAACGTATAGAATGTGCAGCCTTTGGATTGTCTACTCTTTACCTGGGCGAACTACTGGGTTGTCAGGTAAACACAGGTATATCGATGCCAGTTACTTTCACTGGATTGGATAATTTAAAAAAATTCATATCATCATAAGCGCTGTTTAATTGCGAACACGTTGATATAGGGTTGTCTGCGAAAATTCCGGTCCTATTAGGGGTTTGCGAATTTTAAAGATTTTAATTTCAACGCGCGTGGAAGTGTGTGACAGAAATATAATTCGTTCTATTATCAGCTCGGTGAAGGTCGATTTAGGTTCGGATCTTAGACTATAAATGTTATGGAATATTTTCAAAATCGGTCAAATCTCAATTTTTGCCTATATCTCGGAAACGATTAGAGATATCGAAATGCGGTTTTCACCAACAGACGTTTCACATAAATCGAGCTCTAAACCCCCTAGGTCAGTTTTTTTCAGTTGTTCTGGAAATGGGAAAAGCTGCCAAAATAAAGCAATTTGGGACACCCTGTAGGCTATGATACTGACTCCATACGCCACAATAGGAGCAGCACTAATTGGAACGCTAGTGAATCGTGCGGAATCATCTCCAGCCGAGACCACGAACTCGTTTTATAAATAAAAATTCTCTGCATTAATCGAGCGCTTCACCCACTGCGCTCTTCCGCCGTCTATCTGGCCAATTTGTTCGTAGGGAAGAAAACAAATTCGACTCATCTGCATCATGGAAACAACGCATTCTTGACTGCGAAACCGGATGTTATACAAGTGTCATCCAGCAACACCGGAAACAATAGACGATCAGGCCGTCAGACGCAAACAACGGATTTGCATCTGACCATCGGCCGCAGCCATTGTTACGATTTATTTCATTGAAGTCCGGATTTACAGATGGCTGAACGTCCTAATTCGTTGTATTGAGTTCATTGCCTAATTCCAGCCTCTGAAACGAAGAAGAGACTTGTAGCATTGTTTCGCAATTTATGAGATGACATCTTTGATCCTCAGTGGGTCATGTTATGGTGCAATCCGATCTGAATATCTGCTGGGAAATGAAATATTTCTTGTGACGATGTTGTGCAGCGCAGAGCGATTGTCTCCATTGTAGAGCAATTAAAGTTTGAACATTCAAATTTCATATAATTTTTTTATAATTAAGTATTTCGTTATACGCTTATACATTAGCCATTATACAGTATGATGCAAATGTATGGAATAAATTCATTATTTCAGAAATGGGCGACATTTGAAGAAATTCCAAAAACACGTGAGTTTTAATTTTTGAAGCCTCATCTCATGACATTCATATGAGAGATGTTACGTCACTGGTGTAGAAGTAATGACGTAATGGACGATTTTTTTCAAATACAAGCAGGGGTCATGTGACACCTCGTTTGAAAGGTCTACTAATCGTCTATCCAACAGTCGAAATTTTGCATAAGAATATTGCAATTAAAATGGATTATCATTTGGTTACTTGAATCTTGCAGAGGTCTGCTACTGAGAATTGAACATCAAAGGGTCGTCTAGGTGAAAAAATACACAATAAAAAAAGTTCTGAACTCTAGTTTTTGGATTTTTTTCGGAAGGCGTCTTGTTTTGGGATGAATTTATTCCATACATTTGCATCATACTGTATATACTTTTTTCACCACGAACCTGAGAAATCACCATCATTCGAGGATTCCCTGTAATGAGAAGTAACACTTTTCAAACGTAGGTGAATAATGATTATTTGTAATTGTATCTATGTAGAAAAAAACTGTCAATAGTATCAACGATATTATGCAATATACACACAAGATACCTATGCGTATGCAACCAACGAAAATGATACATTCTAAAAACCAAAGATAGTTCAAACTAAAAATCTGATTATAGCTGAAAGCAACTTTTGAAGTAAGAAAAATGTTTGGAATAATTTGATTGTTATTAATTATAATCAAAATGTTACAACACAAATCATACGTCAGCTGTCACTGTCATGTTTGAATAAGACCAAGAATTCAGTTAGCCATAACTTTCGGTAGCGACACATTTATTATGGATACGATATGTTGTAGGTACCAGTTCAATGATTGTTCAATGGTATCTTGTGTGATATTCCCTGATTTTTTCATATGGTCATTTCATGGCCAAGATATGGGATAAATCGAAAAAATAATAAGAACGAAAAGTTTTTATTTGTTGGTTCTCAATCGAAATCCGTGTTGATCACCGCATTCGTTGTTCATGGTTTTTACCTCCCATTTTTCAATTGTTTCTTCTATGGCCGTTTTATGACCAAGATGATAAACTGAAAAAATAATAAGAACGAAAAGTATTTATTTGTTGCGATGGTTCTCAATCGAAATCCGTGTTGATCACCTCATTCGTTCTTCATGGATTTAAACTCCCATTTGTGAATTTGCACAAAAAACATCATTTTTACGAACGTAAATGATAATTCACTCGGAAACGATGAGTTCAACAAAACATGATTTTCTACCTACTGGAGCTATCGAACATTCTAAAATTTACAATTGATTCGAATTAATTATTTCTTCGAGGCAAACAATTGAAAAAAGGAGTCGATTCTGGTAATTCGGACTGAGGCGAATTTTTGCACATGGACATTGCATGAGGAACAATACTATGAAGTTTTCCTGCAAAAAATTCCCAATATGATTTCAGAAAGAGTGGACCCCTTTTTATTTCAATACAATCGCACGGCACTGTCGATAATGATGTCTGTCTGAAAAAATAATTACATTAATGGACCTTCATACCAGTGCAAATTTGGTAAGAATCACAATGAACGAGGAGACATTGATATCAGCGAATAAGTTTGAAAGAAAAATCTCATCCTGTATAGCAAGTTGGCAGGAGACAATGTTTAATTAAACATGAAGATGGCCGTTTCTGAATATATTTCATGGAATGGGACATGAGTATATTTTTCCTATTTCACCCTTCCTTCTGACCTGCAAATAATATGAAAACAGTTCTTCTTGATAATTAGTGTTTAAGGGTTTGTGGAGAAACATGAAAGTAATAATATCTCACATCTGATACCTACCTAAAACTACAAGTGAATCAATCAATTATTTCAAAATAAATACAAATTGCCGAAAAAGATTCATATTCTGAAGGTATCTTGATATTTTTTCAGCAAATAGATGGTTACGTCCCTGGTCAAGATTATCCAATCTACAGCGAAATACCTCAAGGACTCTCATTCACCTGTGACCAAAGACTTCCAGGATATTATAGCGATCCAGAGGCTCAATGCCAGGTAAAAATTTATAATTTCAATTGTGACTAATTTGAACATGGACCTCAAAACAATAGTATGGAATGGAAAAGTTACGCACGTAGCCGCAGAGTGCGTAATTGCTTCACAACGCGCATTACGTACTATACTTTACCTACTGCCATATAGTACATCAAAAAAGTTTGGGCAAACAGTCTGAATTATAAGAAGATGGACAACATATAGCAGAGTGAAATAATATCAAAATCATAGGAAAGGAAGATAACAACCAAAAAAGAAAAATCAAGGAATCCGCTTACATTCTTCTGAACGGAGACAATAGCATTGCTTCCTGTTCAGTTGATATAGATAGAACATGGTATACACAACTGAAAAGTGAACATGAAAATGGTAGATTCAAGATCAATTAATGAAAACAGAGCACAACTTCCAAAGAAAAATATTTTGCATTTTCATGTTGAGAACGGGAGCAGATTTGTTCCCGAAACGTCCAAAGATGAGTAAAAATTCGATATTTTTTCAATATATCTATATATATTTCCTTCAAACATGTTTTTAAACAAATTGTCACTGTCAAGATACTGGATTTTTCATTCAGGCTCCCTGATTTGTTAAACGCAGTGACAACGAGGAGAGAAAATCTCAAAAAATCAAGTAAAATCAATTGAAAATCTAGAAATTTTGTTATTTGAAAATAACTCCAAAACGAGAAATCACACAAAAAATGTGTCATTGCATTAGTCCTACACTCTAGCTACTTCTCTGTATCTTCTGAAATTGCCAAGATACCCATACTGGCCCTCTTCAACTTGGACACAGTGTATAGTGCAAAAAATGTGAATAAAAAGAATTTTTCTGTTTTAATAGGTATGGCATTGGTGTTTACCGAGTGGGCAGAAATTCAGCTTTCTTTGTCCTAATGGTACAGTTTTCAACCAGTTTGTGAGAGTTTGCGATTGGTGGTTCAACGTAGATTGCGCAGCGGTTCCGAACTATTATGGAATCAACGAAGATCTCTACAGGGTACCACCTTCTTACAAGCAGAATCAAGATCAGTAGAAATACCTACCTCGTCCGAATGTTTTTGTACATTTACTACAAGTTATAATATGAAGATTTATTTATTCTTATTTTTTATAAATAAATCATTTTTATAAAGAAACCGTTATTTCTATAAAAGGAATTAACTCACCTCTGATGCTTGGCCAATCCCAAATTACTAAATGGCCATAATTTGCGATTTCCTTTCTTCAACTCTATCAATCCTCAATTATCTTCAAAAATTATAAACTTTCAATAACAGCAGTATCAATAAAATTATTTGAAAGCTAGCGAATGTGACATTATAATTCAATCAAAATTATTAATTTCATGATTATTATCTCTTGATCGGCTACCAATACTTGGAATTATACTTTATGAAAGATAATGAAAGCGTATATGAATATTTTCAACAAGTTCAGTTTGATCATCCATGGATAATCGTTTCTCTTTCCTCAAATAACATGTGGGTACAATAATTATGACTCATTAAATTCCGCATTTCAACCTTTGACAACTATGAATGATCACCTTGCACTCAAAATAGTATATTCAACGAGCACGGAATGATAGTGATTTCCTACGAGAATGAATCATTCGAGTAGGAAATTAGCATCCCGTGCAAGTTATACACTATAATTTTTCTACGGCTATAATAGATGACAGCGGCATTTGGCATTTTCGATTACTTGGTCTTGTATCCATCTGATTTCCTGTCAAGTAATTAGTAGAAGATCCGAACCTAAATCGACCTTCACCGAGCTGATAATAGAACGAAATATATTTTATCATGAATTTAGTATATTAGAAAACATATTAAAAATGGGTTGGCTAAAAAAATCCTGGGCAGACTATTTTTAATTATTTGTCGAAAAATTATTTTTAATTAAATGTTGCAACATCAGGATAATAAAAAAATTGTGTCCTGACTGAAAGTATAAAACGTATAGAATGTGCAGCCGTTGGGTTGTCTACTATTTACCTGTGCGAACTACTGGGTTGTCAGGTAAACACAGGTATATCGATGCCAGTTACTTTCACTGGATTGGATAATTAAAAAAAAATTATATCATCATAAGCGCTGTTTAATTGCGAACACGTTGATATAGGGTTTCTGCGAAAATTCCGGTCCTATTAGGGGTTTGCGAATTTTAAAGATTTTAATTTCAACGCGCGTGGAAGTGTGTGACAGAGAGATCCGAGGTAAGTATACTGTGTAATAATAAAGGACCCAACATCGCAGTCGCTTGTGATGGGACCCTGAATAGTAGAAAGTGTGCATGCTCGGTGTGTAAACTATGGAGGGTAGAGGTACCTCTACTACCCTTCATATAGTAAACAGTGCGTGTTATTTTGGAGCAACTGATATTTCAGTAGCAAAAAAAAAATAATTAATCAATTACATAATAATTAAATATATTTAATATAATACTAATATATAAAAACAATATAATATCAATATATTGCGTTATAACCATAATGATATATCTATAATCTATAATAGACAATAAAAATATCAAATACTTACTTTGAAATTTTTTTGCTCTTTCTGGAAATAGAAACAAAGTGGACCGCCAAAAATTTAAATTAGAAAATAACAAAAAAGATAGACTAGACATCTTGTATTACGATTTAAAATTTTATTAAAAAACAGTATAAATACAAAAATAATATTAATGAAAAATAAATTCTAATAAATATTATCTATTCAATATCTGATTCATCAGAAGTATCATTTTGACTCTCGAATTCGTCTGATTCATTAGATTCTTCCTCATTTGCTTCCATTTCGACAATGTCCTGGATTTTCAAAGGAGTTTGATCTCCGATAAAACCTGTTGGTTTCAAGAAATCATCAAAATGCCAACCATAGTTTTCAGGATTTGACTTCGCACACTTTTTACTATTCAGGGTCCCATCACAAGCGACTGCGATGTTGGGTCCTTTATTATTACACAGTATACTTACCTCGGATCTCTCTGTCACACACTTCCACGCGCGTTGAAATTAAAATCTTTAAAATTCGCAAACCCCTAATAGGACCGGAATTTTCGCAGACAACCCTATATCAACGTGCTCGCAATTAAACAGCGCTTATGATGATATAATTTTTTTTAAATTATCCAATCCAGTGAAAGTAACTGGCATCCATATACCTGTGTTTACCTGACAACCCAGTAGTTCGCCCAGGTAAATAGTAGACAACCCAACGGCTGCACATTCTATACGTTTTATACTTTCAGTCAGGACACAATTTTTTTATTATCCTGATGTTGCAACATTTAATTAAAAATAATTTTTCGAAAAATGGTTAAAAATAGTCTGCCCAGGATTTTTTTAGCCAACCCATTTTCAATATGTTTTCTAATATACTAAATTCATGATAAAATATATTTCGTTCTATTATCAGCTCGGTGAAGGTCGATTTAGGTTCGGATCTTAGACTAAATGCTCGTCTATTAGACGAGGCTGTCATTGCTTGTAATTTGACATTCCATGGGCGATGAGTTTTTTTTTTAAATAATAATATAATGGAGTCATCATTGTGATATCAGATACGAAAATAAGATTGATGACACAGTGAAACAAGATCAATCTTGTGTTATAGTCGTAGAAAATAGTAAATTCTTCTATCAGTACCCAGAATGACACATCGTTTGACAAGAAAAATATACGAGTCAATCTAAGTCACTTCTGATCCACATGCTATTTTTTCTGTAAAACGATCAGGTCCATCGATAGTTCATCTGCTTTCACTCTAATGAAGTTGAATCTGAAGAATGCTATATTTTCTATTGAAATTTGATCTTGAATTACGAGATCAATAAAAATGCCTCAAAAATTGGAGCTCAATATTTCAAAAAATAATAATAAAACATCAGTCAAATTGGATCGGCAGTTGTAAAAAGTAGGTAACTTCATTCATTTTTTCCGCTCTATTCAGATATTGAAACAAATCTACAGAATTTTGCCATACAGAGTGTTGTTTATATAAAGAGGGACCTGGATTCCAATCACTATTTCTATTCAGTTTAGGGAAATATAATTATAATATATCTACCAAGTATTAATAGATTATACAAATATAAGTGATTCAAGAATTATATAACAATTTTTCCAAAATCAAGATAACTTTCTGTATGTCGGGTATAAAAGACGGTAGACTAATCAATTGGGGGTGATTTGGAACCATCAATGTGAGATCTACAGGGTGCTTGTTTCACCGACGATATCTAAAACGTGTTGATACGTAAGAATATTTCGAATATATTCAACCATAATATGTACAATTATACAAAGAGTAACACATACGTGCGTTTCATCGATACTGAACACGTGATGAGATCTAAATGGGATAAAACATGTTTTGGCTCGTTGGAATTTGAAACACGTATTCCTGTAACATCCAAATTCAAATTTATAAGCGATGATTTCTCGAAAAATGTAGCAGTTTGTATATACAGTGTGTCCAAAATTCGATCCTCACCATTGCATGGGATCTTGGTAACAATGAAAGATCGAGAGTCGGTCAAATTACAAAAGTTTTAGAAAATTCAATATTGATTCAGAGTCCATTAAGAAATCTAGACAGACTAGATTAAGTCATTTTCGAGTTTTTCAAGAAACACTGAAATTTTGTATTTTTGATCTCCAATATCTCGAAAATTATTGATCATATGATGAAACGACTTTAACATTCCCCGAGTGATCTTTAAAATGGTTTCGTCAGTTTTTGTTGAAAATTTTTGAGAAATGACCTCCAACTCATTTTTCTTCCTTCTCTTTCTCTTCAAACATCGACAAAACCTTTCAAAAGATCACTAAAAAGTACTATCATAAGGTTGAAGTCGTCTTTTCATACAATAGTTTTCGTTTATACAGGGTGTTTCAAAATTCAGTATCAAGATTTTAGGGGCGTATTTTTCAGGTCAAAATAAGACGTATTTGTCCATAAACATGTGTCCGCAAACGCTTCGTTACCGATCTACAGAGCGTTAAAGTTAAACAAATACACGATGAGACATCCACCAACTTTCAAATAATGTCAAATGCTTCAAAACAAACCTAAACGTCAAAATGAAAATAGCAGTCAAAGCCCACTAATTCGCTTTTTCATTGTTCCGTTGAAAATTTTAATTAAATGTAGCGAATCACAAAAATTGATTTTACTTTTTTCTCGATAACGATCGCAGATACGTGAAAATTACAAGAGACAAAAAAATTTTTAAACAAAACAAAGAATTCATTTCAAGTCTCAGAATTCACCAGCGGCGCACCACAAAAAAGTTCATGGGGTAAAAAAGGCCTTGACCCCTGTAGATTCTCACAATCAAACACACATTCCAAATTTGATCTTAATATCTCAAAAATTGAAAGAGCTATGAAGAAAAAAATAAAAAAATCTTGAAACTTTAACGCTCTGTAGATCGGTAACGAAGCGTTTGCGGACACATGTTTATGGACAAAAACGTCATATTTTGACCTGAAAAATACGCCCCTGAAATCTTGATACTGAATTTTGAAACACCCTGTATATTATACCAGTATTTCACCTGATGAAGCTACTGTGTTAGCGAACCATGTCGTCTGATTGAGAATTTTGTGAAAATCCTATCGTTTGTGATATTCTCACATGATTGAATATGTTCAAAATCTCATAGCCCTCCACCTCCTTTATTCGACTATCCGTCGGTGAACCAAACACCCTGTAAAGGTTTCGTTTGTACATGCAAATCTGAAATACCAAGTATATGAATAGTAGGATCAAGTCTCCTGTAAATTACACACGTTGGAAAAATTGACATTTCCTTGACAGTTATACAAATATATTTTGAAATATTATACACATTTGTATGGATAGCATCCTACTCGTATGGTTCTGAACACGATGGACATACTTATGAGCCCAAATGATAAATTTCGATGCATTTGCATGACTTGAAATAGTGAGTAGAATCGACTTCATCTTGAACCTATTTAATAACCTTCTTGTTGTAGCTGGATAGCTCTCATAGTCTTAATAGCGAGCGTCGTCCATATATCTTGCTTAGTAAATAGTTCAGCCAGTTTTTATCTGAACGAGGTGGCAGATTTCGACGACATAGTCGAGCTAGATAACGAAAAGGAGAAAGTCAACTTTGAGGAACTATCTGCGAAAAATCCGGACTTCGAGGCACCCGAAGAGGAAGGGCCAGACCCTCTCAAAATAAATCTAATTGAAGCGCCATCGAGAGTGAAAACGGATGTTCGCGGAGTCCAAAATAAACTATTGAACTCTCCTTATTTGGGTCCATCAACTCATCATAGTGCGGAACAGTATAAACATAGTTTAGGACAATTTCCACAGCCTAAAGGGAAATTGAATATTTTCGAGTCACCACTGATATATGAGGTACAAGATGACAATCCTCAACAAGGTTATTTCTTGGTGAAACAAAGGAAATCAGACGATCAACCAAAATATAAGAAATCAGGAAAAGGTATTCATGAGGGTGGTGGTGAGCAAAATCTCCACCACAACATGGGAAATGTTTTGGAAACAGAGTCTCAACAACCTGAAAATTGTGTGGAAGAAAAGTTGGACCAAAAATCCAAAACAAAATTGATCACATCAGGTAAATCAAATATTTCATCGATGATGAAACTATTTCAATACTTTGTAAACAAATAAGAAGAGTGAGGGTGTTCGAAAGGTTGTGAACATTATAGGTAGTAAATAGGAATTCTGACACATATTTCAGTCATGAAATTTACCACTGACTTCCAAATATTCATTCACTTGAACAGAGACCCACGTATTTTTCACAGCAGCTGAGATATTTTCCTTTTTTAAAAAAAACATACTTCTTTTTATATTGTCAATCCATTTTGAGGCACTAGAGGATATTTTTTCTGCGATTTATAGACTGGAAAGTACTACAATCAGTTAATACCCCTCGACGAGACTTATTTATTCAGGGTGAGCCACCAGTAACGCCTCGGCCTCTACACGACTAAGCACTCATCATCTTGGAATTCTTCCTCTCTAGGAAGTTGCATGTCAACCTAGACCATTTGAAATTATTTCAAACATACAGGGTGTTCTCAAAAAATCACAATACACTGAAGTTACACTTTTTTTAATGAAACACCCTATAAATTTTTGCATTTTGAGATCTCCCTGAAGGGTTGATTTCAACGACTCATCATTCCTGGGGTATAGCAAAGATAATTACTGAGATATAGGGTGTGAAAAATCGAGATTTTGCAAGTTCAAGAACTTTTTGTGTCGAAACTATCCATAATTGGTCAAAACGGTCAACAAGTCCTTATTTCAACTTTTTATCCACTATCAAAAGATATTGAATCAAAACAAATACTGGGTGGCTCAGAATCGAGATTTCTGACCACCCTGTATCTATTTCAATAAAATGCCAATCGATAGTTAGTTATTATGAATAGTTTCGACACAAACAATCCCAGAACTTGAAAAATTTCGATTTTTCACACCCTATATCTTAGAAAATATTACTGCTAGACCCTAACTACGATGGGTCGTTGAAATCAGCTCTTCAGGGAGAATCTCAAAATAGAATAATATATAGGGTGTTCCATTAAAAAAAGTATAACTTCAGTGGATTGCTTTTTTTTGGGACACCCTGTATGTTTCGAAATGATTTCAAATGGTAGCCTATGTTGACATGCAACGTCTTAGATAGGAAGATTTCCAAGAAGATGGCGGAACAACATTTTTACAGGAGCTGTAGGTCCATAGGATGAATATTTCAAATTATCCTCCATTATACAGTGTGTCTCAAAAAAGTGTGACATTTCAAACTTATGTTTTTTATCTCAACTTTTGATTTACTATCTACTCATATTTAATTGGAACAGATACAAGGTGGTGCCTAACTCAGAATTCTACACCACCCTGTATTTGTTTCAATTTAATGACAGTAAATAGTAAATCAAAAGTTGAGATAGGGATCTGAAAGTCGTTTTGACCAATAATGAATAGTTTGGTCACAAAAAATTTCCAAAGTTTAAAAATCTTCAATTTCCACACCCTATATCTCGGTAATCATTCCTGCCAGACCCCAAGTGTGCTAGATCGTTGAATTCAGCTCTTCAGAGAGAATATAAATATGCAATGAAATACAGAGTGTTCCATTTAAAAAAACATAAGTTTGAAATGTCACACTTTTTTGAGACACACTGTAGAATAGAGAATGATTTCAAAATATGCATCTCTTGGACTTACAACTCCTGTAATTTTTTTTTATTTTATCTCTAATAGCAGAGTTGCTATCTCGCTTTGTCACACTATTGGTCCACCCTGTAGAAGCTGAAATTTATACATGTTACTTGGTAACAATTAGAGTCCCTGTATATAACTTTGTATATAACTTAGACAAGAGTCCGGACACAGTTATACTTCTGTCCTTTTCTGTTTTCAAAAAATGCATTGATGATTGAATAAAGGAATAAGACATATATATCGAGCTCTGTCTTCTCAATTCCCCTAGTATCAATGATTGTCAGAAACCCTTTTGAGGGTTAGATTATTTGTCAAACCGTTCATAGCCGTAGGTAGAAGTGAGAAATAGGGCTATTTTAACTAGAATAACTATTAGATTTTCGAATAATGAACAACACAGTGTTCAAATTTCGAATCGATAATTTTCATAATCAATTGCTGAGATGGCTATTGCAAATTTTTGTCATCAGATATTTCTTCACTTCATTAGATATAAGAAAGATAATTCAAGTGTTCTACGTGGTATCACATATAGCCAAGAAAATATAGTTGTTTTCTGTTGAGATATAAAAAAATAGAAGATATATAATTGTTTCAATATAATTTTCTCCGATTCTCTCAATTTAATAACACTCATCAGAAATAAAAGTGACAAAATCAAAACAACAATATATTTGATAGCGAGTGCTTTATTAATTGTGTTTCCTACCCATGGACGTATAAGTCCATGTTCCTACCTCTTCCTGCAGTCTACATTCACCTGTACATTTTGAATTTGATCTGAATTAATAACACCGTGGACTGATGATATAGCACATTGCAGTTTCCCTAAATCTTCTAGTTTTGATTTCAAACTTTCAATTTCTTTCCGCATCATCTCATTCTCATTTTCTTTCTCTGCGAACGTATCATTCAGTAATTCCCAATACGATGACGACGGGACTCTTTTTTTGAACGTCTCTATTTCATAAATTGACGGCACAGCAGACTCTTTCAATTTGAAATCAATCAGCTTGAAAAAATCTCTATCAAAATGGGCCTAAAATTCATCCATTTTGTACTGTTTTCACAAGTAAATTTGAATATTTACCTCACATATTGCGGATTTCTTGAAATTAATTTTCCATTCTGGACGTTTCATTGCATTCTTCCATGACATTGTCTTTGAAGGATCATTCGGAGAATTGAATAACTTGAATCCCTTTTCTAATGAATTATCGCAATAATGTACGCAGCAGGTCATAAAATTTCAAAGTGACAGTGACAGACATTCGGAATAATTAAAAGAAGCGGGCGGGACGACTATGGTGTTTCGTCACATTGTCAGGTGGGCAAACCAAATGAAACAAAATATTAAAAACCCCAACGGCTGTCAGTTTTGTGTCCGGACTCTTGTCTAAGTTATATACAGGGACTCTAGTAACAATCAGAAGATGTTTTCTTAGTAGACAGACCGTTCTGCTGGTGCTAGCCCCTAGCCAGACAGACATACAGTGCTTTCGTAAAGTACTGAATAAATTAATGTTCAGTCAGACTATCAATTTCCGAAGAATCTCTTGGAATAGGTCGACTTTTAATTTCAATTTGCCACATTCATACGAGAAAAGAGAAAATTAAATTTACAAGGTGATCACGTCGGAATTATCATGTCTGCGTCAATTATTTTTGCAATCTCCATAGAAAGCTGACATGAATGACTTTAATGAATTAGGAAGAAAGCCCAAATAAAAAATTATGTTTCCATTTTTTGAATTATTTTTCACTAACTTTAAGAGACCACAGAATTTAACGGACGCACTGTATACAAATCCTATGTGTGAAATATCTTTGAATCCAGCTTACCATGGAGATTCCAAAAATGTAATAATGTATAGACTGTTCCATTTGAAAAATTCATCGCGGACGTCGCATGAATCAGACGTGGATCCCACTGTATATTCAATTTCCCCTCACAAATGTGGGAAGATAAAAATAAAATTAGACCTTTTCCAGTAGATTCACTATTCACTATACTTTACGAGAACCCTTGATGTAACGGACTCACTGTACACAATTTTTTTTTATGTTCTGGTTCCCACAAGAAGGGATATTCTGCAATGTTCAGAGAACATCGTGAGAACCAAGGGAAATAAGGTAGGAATTGGTGTTCTTCTTGAATTTCTGGAGGTTACATGCCTCGGGGAACACCTCCCTTGGCAATGTGTTCCAGAGCCTCGCTGTTCGTTGGATGAACGAGTCTTTGGAAAGAGATGTTCTGCAGGTCTTCAAAGGGACCACGAAGGGGTGCGAAGCCTCAACTCGACGGGTTAATCTCGCGGGGACTGCCAAGGGAGGAACAATTGTTGATATTTCAGAAGAGCATCGTCCATGAAAATATCTATAAAATAGAGCCAGATCGCCGAATTTTCGACGGTGTTCCAGAGAAGTGATTGAGTTTGTGAGCGAGGCATCACCCACGAGACGAATTGCCCTTTTTTGGACAGAATCCAACACTATCTGTGATATTTTTTAATTCAGCTTTCCATGGAGATCAAAAAATTGAATAATATAGAGTGTGTTCCATTCGATATGAATGACGCGGACATGATAATTCCAAAGTGGATCACTCGGTATATTCAATTAACAATGAATGTGGCAAGTTGAATTTAAAAGTCGACCTATTTCAAGAGATTCTTCAGAAATTGATAGTTTGACTGAGAATTAATTAATTCAGTATAACTGTATGTCTGTCTGGCTACTGAGGAAACATTGTATAAAATTGAGCTTCCATACTTTAACGAAAGTTAAGTTTCATTTCATCAAGGTTTAAGGGTGTCTGGCAAGGGTAAGGCATATGGTAAAGTGTCTGGCAATTAATGCCGTGGTTTCTAATATTATTCCGAACAAAATATGAAAAAAATACCCTTTATAGTATGTGGAAAGTAAGTTGGTATTTTTATATACTTATCGTCTTTATCGATATTTATCGATATCTATCGATATGTATCTATATTCATCGAAATTTATCGATATTCATCAATATTTATCGATATTTATCGATAAATATCGATGTTTATCGATATTTATCTATAATTATCGATATTTATCGATATCGATAATTATCTATATTTATCGATTATTATCGATTATTATCGATATTAATCGATATTTATCGATATTTATCTATATTTATCTATATTTATCGATATTTATCGACATTCATCGACATTTATCGATATTTATCGATATTTATCGATATTTATCGATATTCATCGATATTTATCGATATTTATCTATATTCATCGATATTTATTGATATTTATCGATATTTATCGATATTTATCGATATTTATCGATATTAATCGATATTTATCGATGTTTACCGATATTTATCGATATTTATCGATATTTATCGATATTTATCGATATTTATCGATATTTATCGATATTTATCGATATTTATCGATATTTATCGATATTAATTGATATTTATCGATATTTATCGATATTTATCAATATTTATCGATATTTATCGATATATCGATATTTGTCGATTCATCGATATTTATCGATATATCGATTTATCGAACTTATCGATAATGGATATGTGGAATTCAATATCGCCCAGCCCTAGTTGGGAGCATGTGCTAAGAAACTTTCAGCTTTCATGAAATAACGAAGGTCTGGCGTTCATGGGATCAAGCTGTCATTTTAGTTGGCACCAGAATGGGGGGTGATCGTGTGTATCACATGGTATCACTGTGTTGCGAAATTCACCAATTTTGTCCATCAACTAGCACCAGTGGTGGTAAATTTGCTGTTGCTGAATCAATTTTATTTTCTATTCATGCATGATGTTTTCGAAATAAGGAGTTATTAGAAGATATCTGGGATCCACGGAAGCACCCTGTGATGGAGATTTCGAGTGCACAAGACATCATCTGTCTCTGATTTATCAAAAAGCCCTACATTTTATGGTAGTTGCACCTTGTAAATGCCACCATTTTTCTTTTTTTTTTTTCGTTTGGGATATCTGTTGGTCTGGTAACTCTGATGGGAAACTCTACTACATGTCCCTTTATGATTGTCTAAAGTCTAAACCAATTGGAATTTTGAAAAATTTCGTATTCCATACATACAAATGTGTAAAGCATACTTTTATTATATTGCAGATCCTGGTCTTGATATGAAGAAACCTGATACTTTTTGCAATCAGCTTTTCGAAATTTTCCATAAAATTCCACAAATTGTGAAACAGTTAGCAGACAGTACAGATCCACAAACACGAAACACCAACTGGAAATCTATAAAATGCATAATTCGCCAGCAAAATCCCAATTTTGCAAGATCTGGTATTTTGGATAGACCCGAAAGCAAGAACTGCTTTCAAAAATTCATACGAAGGAGGAAACGACACTCAACATATATCAACTTCAGAAATCGAAAGAAAAAATTTAACAATAATCTGGCCAAAAGAAATGCTCCTGATGATTCTCGATTCAAGAATATAATCGATTTTATTATTAAGAATAAATCATTCCGTAGTAATTATACATATGTACCAGTACTTTTTGCAACCGTGAAGAGTGTTGATTTGAATCAATTGGAAACGTCAGAAATATCATCAGTAACTGATGGGTCGTCAACAGAAAACTTATCCCTTCAAACATCATCATCTTCAGCAAGTAAATCAACGAATATGTCATCAACGAACTCTCTATTGATGTCATCAACCAACACGATATCTGGAATAACTACAGTTAAAACTGACAATACCGAGTCAATGAAACCAACAATATCTGAAGGAAGCACTTCCACTATTATTCATTCCGATAGTTCTGCTGGGGGAAGTGCAACTGCTACTTCCACATTACTACCTGCAATGAAAGAAGCAAAAAACCTGACAGAAGAACTAAGTTTTCGAATTCCAAGGTTACGAGAAAGTTTTCAAGATATCATGGATCTGATGAAGGATGAACCTATTGCAAAAAGGATGAAGAAAGAAATTTCTGACTCAGCAAGCACCACTAATGTAGCTGAAGGCAATTCTATAGGGTCTACTAGAAAAAATGATACAACCCCATCAAGTCCACCTAGTAACTCAACCGTTCCAATAACCACAACTGTTATTTCTACAGTGAACCCAGAAAGTATCAATCCTTCAATCTCATCTACTGAACATGTGCCATTCCCGAGTGAAAGTCATTTCAACTTCACTATCAGTGACAAAAGCTCTACTAAGGTAATTGATAAATTAGAATTGAAACTACCCTTCTCTGGAACGGATATGAAAACCATGATAGCAAATGGTTCAGTGTGTGCTACCAAACTATCGAATGTAACTTCTTCATTTCCAATCGATGGGAATGTTATACCAGGGGTACTGATATATCCGATCAATTCCGAAACTCTCAATAATAAGAGCAAAAGAGGAATCCAAGAGGAAGAAGAATATTCTGCAGAAAACAAATTGGGAGGAGAATATTCAGCAGAAAATAATCTAGGTATCAATTATTACTTCACAATAGACGAACCGAATTTGAATGCGAATAAAAAAGTGAGTAGATATGTCGTAAATATTTATGGAGTATTCATTTGATCTTAATGAATTTTTATTTTCAGTACATTGATTTCAATCCTCTACCAAAACTGAAGAAGGATGTATTGAATGATTGCCAGAATGAAACAGAAGAAATGTTGAATGTACTCAAGAGCTTGAACATGAAAGTACCAGATGAAATTGAGAATAGCAAAGACAAATTTGGTCCTGATTTGACAAATTCTACATCCAATATTGTACCAAATACAACAGAAACTGCTAGTATCACTGAACTTTCTACAGAAACTACAAATGTTATGGATTTCAACTCATTGTCTGGTATAAACATCAGCAGTTTAATGGAAACAAATCCAATTCCAAATGTCATCAAACCTGTTGCTAATATTAATAAAATGAAATTGTTCAATTCATCCAACGTTGAAACAACAATAGACATCGATGCATGGTGTGCCACATCAATTGGAGTAGCGAACGAAATCATACCTTCCATAACCATTCCATCCAGATCTGCAAAAACAACAACTCCTTCAAGCACTGATACGTTTTCTACAATAATTTCTTCCGAAACTCCTGAAATATCGACAAAATCTGAAACATCGATAATACCCGAAACATCGCCACTACCCGAAACATCGAAAACATCGACTACTTTTTCCATTTCGACTCCTATCCTAAATGGAGAACTGGTGAAAGAAGTTCATAAGCCTTCACTGCAACAGAAAAACACAGCTGATAAGTTGAGACAACTCGAAACAGATTTGAAACTCGTCAATGAGGTACAGAATATTCTGAACGGAATGAATGGAGCAAAGCATGAGATGAAGAAAAGGGAATTATCTTCTGATCAAACGGATTGCACCACAGAAAACAATCCAATTTTTGAGCTCAATTTCAAGGTCGTTTCAGATAACCCAGAATCAAACAAAGACAAAGAAATAAATGAACTTGGTAAAATCCTCCAATTGAAAGCTAAAACTGAGAAATGTCGAAGACGAAGACTTTCGAAATTCCAAAGAAAAAGGATGAAAAAGAAAAAGCAAAAGAATAAGAGAAAACAAAAACCCCATCGTATACACCGTTTTTTAGGCCAGCGTATTCAAAATTGCATGTGAATAAAATACACTCAGAAAATCAAAACTATGCTAGAGATGGTTCAAAAAGTAAACGTTTCCTCAGCCCTCCGAATAGTTTCTACAACAATGGAAAAATAAATGAAGCCATCTCGGGGCAAGATGAAAAACCCAGGGAATATGAAATATCGGAATCAACTACCGACAAACTGAATTCCGATCAAATCATAAAGCATCTGCCACAAAACTCATCTACTTCTGGAACAAAAAAGAAAAAGGTAACAAGGAAACATAATGATAAAACAACCCTCAATATAAAGCATTCAAATGAAAAAAGTCCATTTAGAAAGATGATGGCATCTACTGAAGCATATAATAAACCCTCCAGAAAAGTTTGGAGGAAGTATAACTTGGATATCAAACATCACAAGAATACCAACGAGAAAGAATACTATACTACAGAGCAGAAAGGTGGGTTTTGTTCATTATTTGATTAAACATATAAGTTCATTATCTCAAAGAAATCTGTGAAATTGCTGTCACGAATCCATAAACGGTTTTCCAAATTATAGGTCTGTTCGAACATAATAGGCGTTCTTTATACCAGTTATAAGGAATGGAGTTTTAAAGAATGATATTTCGTCCTTTTTGATTGAATAGACTAGGATAATTCAAAAGTTAGAATAGGTATAATCTTTCCAAATCAGTTGGAGCAATAAATGTCCAGCCACGTTTCATACTCGGTCCAATTGAATTTTAGACGGACCGACAGCGCGCGGCGTATATTTTTTGCTGGATGAATCCTTCATTGCGTTATTGTAGATATACAGGGTGTCCTTAAAAGGTCTTTACAAAAAGCTACCACATATTCTTCAGACCAAAACAATTCGATACAAGCAAACTTACCTCAGTAAAACGTTGCTTAGTTTGGGCGCTAGACGGCTCTGAAGTTGAAATTTTCAAATCGATTTTGCTTCATAACTTTGGAACGGCTCATGAGATTTTTTTCAAATTTGGTACGTTGGCATAGACTCATCGGGCAATGAAACTCATATCATAATCATAATGAATATCATTCCATGGGCGTAGAACTTGATTTTTTCAGGAAATAAACATCTAAAACTCCTACGCCAATGGAAAAAAATTAGTTTCAATATGAAATCTAAATTATTCAACTCATTCACTACAAAAAAGGTACTCTTGACAAAAGTCGATTCCTCTCATGGTTTCGACAAAATTTTAATTTTAGTGATTTAGAGCATAATTAATAATAAAACGATTAACAGATATTTCATAAAAATTGTTCAAAATGTTCACCATTTTCACGTATACAAAGATTTATACGACGCAAAAAGTTGAAATGTACTCTTTGCATAACTTCTTCATCGCCTGTAAGATTATTCGTCGCCTGTTGGATACGTTGCCATAATTGTTCTACATTATTCACAGGGGTCTTGTAAACCGTAGACTTGAGATAACCCCATACGAAATAATCCATCGGTGTTAAGTCTGGAGAACGTGGTGGCCGATTCACGGGTGCATCATTACCTCTACCTATCCATCTGTCTGGGTACTGTTGGTTTAAAAAATTCCTAACATCCACCGAAAAATGTGGTGGAGCTCCATCGTGCATAAACCACATATCTACCCGATGTTGGAGTGGTAAATCTTCCAACAAATTTGGCAACGTATTTCGTAGATGTTGTAAATACATGTCTCCTGTTAATCTTTGTGGAAGTATGACAGGACCAATTATAAAATTTCCTATTATTCCAGCCCAAACGTTGATTTTGAATTCGTGTTGAAAATGGTTTATTTTAATGGAATGAGGATTTTCAATTGCATAAACGTGTTCATTATGAAAATTAGTTATTCCTCTTCTCGTGAAACAGGCTTCATCAGTGAACAAAATATTCTTTCCAAAGTTCAGATTCATTTCTCTTTGCAAATTAATGAACCTACAAAACATCAGACGACTTTGTGAATCATGGATTAATAAATCTTGAACTGGCGTCTTGTGGTATGGGTATAATAATTGTTCTCTTAGTACTTCATGAACGCCATTCCTAGAAACTTCTAGTTCATTACTTATCCGTCTAGTACTCAATTCTGGATTTTCTTCAATACGGTCTAAAATTTCTACTTCGACTTCGGGAATCCTTACATAACGCTGTCTTCCATAATCACCAGTTCTAGGAGCAAAATGACCGGTCTCCCGAAGACGTCTCTCAACTGCAGCAAAGGTTGGGTGGCTTGGTACGCGACGATTTGGAAACCTTGCCGAATACACCCTCACACTCTCTCGACCATTTCCTTGACAACATACGAATACCAATAACATATCGGTGTATTCTTCATTGGTGTATTGTACGGCCATGATAAATCAGAAAAGTCCGATATCAACAATCAACGTCAATAAAACTCGACAAATCAACACAGATGAAACTATGGAAACCAAGAATGTGAATATCACTGTTTTCGAGCAGATAATAATAGTCTTCAGAAAAAAAAAACAGTGCTACTTATTTTCAATAGAAATAACCTATGCAAAAAGTACATCTCAACTTTTTGCGTTGTATAAATCTTTGTATACGTGAAAATGGTGAACATTTTGAACAATTTTTATGAAATATCTGTTAATCGTTTTATTATTGATTATGCTCTTAATCACTGAAATTAAAATTTTGTCGAAACCATTCGACCATTTGTCAAGAGTACCATTTTTTGTAGTGAATGAGTTGAACAATCTAGATTTCATATTGAAACTAACTTTTTCCATTGGCGTAGGAGTTTTAGATGTTTATTTACTGAAAAAAGCAAGTTCTACGCCCATGGAATGATATTCATTATGATTAGGATTTCAACTTTTTGCGTCGTATAAATCTTTGTTCACGCGAAAATAGTGAACATTTTGGAAAACTTTCATGCAATATCTATCAATCGTTTTATTATTTAAATATGCGCGAAATCACTAAAACTTAAATATTGTCGAAACCATCAGAGTAATCGAATTTTATCAAGAGTACCTTTTTTGTAGTGAATGATTTGGGCTATCTAGATGTCATACTGAAACTGATTTTTTTTCATTGGCGTAGAAGTTTTAGATGTTTATTTCCTGAAAAAATCTAGTTCTACGCCCATGGAATGATATTCATCATGATTATGATATGAGTTTCATTGCCCGATGAGTCTATGCCAACGTACCAAATTTGAAAAAAATCTCATGAGCCGTTCCAAAGTTATGAAGCAAAATCGATTTGAAAATTTCAACTTCAGAGCCGTCTAGCGCCCAAACTAAGCAACTTTTTACTGAGGTAAGTTTGCTTGTATCGAATTGTTTTGGTCTGAAGAATATGTGGTAGCTTTTTGTAAAGACCTTTTAAGGACACCCTGTATAATTTGTATAGACTGATAAAATGTTCATGTTTCAGTAATGAGCACTACAAATACTTCAATAGTAAAGAAGGCCACGATTTCCAAAGAAACTACCCCCGAAGAAGAATATGAAGAAACCCTGATGAGTAATATCGCACTATCAGACTATGAGGTTACTGGCGGAAATGAAGTCACTAATAACGCAGAAGTTTCAAACAAAGCTGATGAAATCATGAATGAAAAACTGCAAAGTATTGCTGATGATCTGCTCAATCCAGAAAATTTCGAGGCGACATTAGGTACTACACCAATGGAAAAACTTCATTACGTTAATCTCTATCCAGAGACAGTGAATGATGAATACACTGAAAACATTGAGGTTTCGGAAGATAGTGAATTCACCGTAATGAATCCGGAACAAAAAAAGAGAATGTTCTCAGTTGCAGACGAACTTCTCAGAGATTTCAACAGTTCAACCAAGTCCAAAGTAAACTTTCCGTCCACGGAATATGAGGAATCGTCTGCTAGCACTAAGAAACTAAAACCCTTGCAACCTAGTGAAATCCATACCAAAACATCCACCATAGATACTAGAGAATTGCCTAAGAAGGCAACTGCAACGACAAAACATAAAAAGAAAAATAAGTATAGTAAAGAGTGGAGAAAGTATAACTGGGACGTAGAACACACTAAACATCCCACAACTCGTGAAGAAGATTTAACGGCAGTTTCAACTAGGAATCATTCCACTACAACGTCAAATACAACTATTTTATCTTTTTGGGATTCTGCAGATGAGGATACTAGCAGAGAACCGGATGATTATAATTTTGTCTCAGAGGTATCTTCAGAAACAGTTGACGATTTGAATAACGAATCAACAAATTTCACTTCTTTGGAATATGATGGTAGCATGACATTACCAACTGTGAACGAAACTGACAATAAGGAAAAGAGAATATTGTACAGTGTAGCAGACTTCTTGCTGAATACCAAGAATTTTGAAGCAACGTTAGGTACTACACCCGAGAAAGACATTTTCTCCGAAGATAGAGAAACGATGATAGATGAAACACCTGAATCTAATACGGAATTGGAGTTAGGAAGTTTTATTTTCTCCTTGAACTCAAATGGAAGTGAAAATCTTGAGACTACTTTTGAAAATATGGAATATTCATTTACTCCAGACTTGAATGAAGATAATTTGGTAATGGCAGAATCTTCAGTAGAGCCAGAATTCTTAACTGAAGAAAATACTGAGGTATGTTCAGCATTACCTAATTTTATGTGTATGGACTGAAAATGTTGTTCAGATAAGAAAATTGAAGGCTTTTCAACTCTTTTTTGTAATATTCACTAATAAGTTACTCATCATGAAGTAATGGCATTACGGTATATTTTATATGTAGGTTCATATACTCAGTAACTGTGTTATCCTTTGGCCTATTTTTGAAGAACTGCTTTGGAAACAACATTGTGAGCTCCATATAGGTCCAAATAATTCAAATCCTAAGAAAGACACAATCAAAAACATAATGAGGTTGAAATAAAATTTGCCCTCCCAAAGCTCTACACTTCAGCAATTATGACGTCACCACCAAAGAGGTTTCCACAATTACGCATATTTCGATGATTTCAATTGTGTTAAGGTGACGTAATCGATTCTTTTTTATATATTCTCCATTCAATTTTCTGATATTACTCTAGAGTGGCGACAATAGTCTGGTCGGAGGTCATCTGTCATCTACATCACATGACTTCCGTTAACAAATGCCATCACTTCGAATCAATTAACAACTAATATTGACAATTGACATGACCTTTGACCTCACTGGTGCTTTTCAGATTATTCGACTGTGGAAGGCTAAAAATAAATCTATTATTTTGGGAATATTTACTAGATTTTATCTAAGAAGTAACTCGTTGGCTTATTTCAAGACTGAAAATTTACATGGACGTATGTCCTTACTTGCTGCATTTTCATGGTCTCAAGCATTTATTCTATTCAGTGGTGGACAGATTCTCTTCAATCTGAAATTTTACTATTCATTGTTATCGAGTAATCTCGAAGGGTATCTGTAATAGTCTCGAAGGATTATTTATTTTTTCTCGAATCTCCAATCAAAATTAAACAGAAGGAAATTTTTTTCCACAAGTGAATTCTCTTCCGTATTTTTGTTTATTTTGGAATTGTCCATAGCATCTTTTGAGAAAAAAAAACAATGGTAACACCTATTGTCCCCACTGGAATCTGCCTCAGCTGACTCAACCAACTATTGTTTTTTACATACTTCGTAATTTACTGAAATATCTCGAATTTCCATCGAGCAGTTCTGTAGTAATTGAAGAAAATTTTATCTTTTCTATTTTCAATTTCAACACCCTGTATTTTGAAAACTGATCAAATTGGGAACTTTGAGTCCTAAAATGATCCAAGAATTAGCCTCCTCCCATATGTTACATGATATATTTGGAACACCTTGTGTATACTTTTTTCTCATTTAAAGGTCAGCTTGTAGATATATAAAAATATGAAAAAAATATCTCCTATTATTGGAGCCCTGAGATGTCCCAAGCTGGATAAAAAAGCTGCAAATATAATTCTATATTCTCATATTAACTATTTGATAAATGTTTGGGGATACTGTCCAAAAAAAAAATTTAATAAAATATCTGCATTATATTAAATGACATTGAAAGTACTGTATCGTTTACCATATGATACACCAACAAATCAATTATATAAAACAACTGAATCATTCTCATTAGAAGAAATGTTCAAAATTGAAAGACTGAAAATTACATACAATATCATAAATAACAGATTGAAATCCAATTTTATTCTAACACGAAACAATGAAATTCATAATTACCAAACTAGACAACATGGTTTATTCCATCTTGATATCGCTAATTCTTCTACAGGCCAAAAAAGATTCACCCACGCTACTCTCTTTGAATATTGAATATAACAAATTACCAGATAATATAAAAAATTGCAGAAATACAATAAAATTCAAATACCAACTTGAAAAATTTATCATTTCTGAACGAAATAGATGATTTTTTTTTTCAACTTTTGATTGATATTCAAATTGATTAATATGAAATGATTTGTCAAAATTCAATACCTAATATTTTCAAATATTATATAATTTATGAGTTTATTGTAATTGTATAGTTTTACGTATTATTGTTACCTATACTTCCTTATACCAGAACTTAATTCTGACTGAAAGTCACATTCTCAATAAATAAATACAAGCCTAGCTTCATTTCCAGAGAAATATTAGCAAACTATATTTCAGGCCGTTACAATATAGCCTGACTAAAATTTCGTGTGAACCCCAAAAATTAAAGATAATTAAGACATTTTCAGAAACCACTCGTATGTTGAAAGGACATCAACCAGAACATGAGGAGATCAAAAATGAGGAACTATCAAAATTGTGTTTGACAATGAAAAGTAAGTAAATAATTATTTAGACCATTTTAGACCAATGATGTGTCTGACCAATTGATTTTCAGAAAGAGAAAGGAACTCTCAGAATACTCTGACAACCAAAATGGGAAAATCTGATGTACATTTAGATTCACAAACAGGTGTGTATTCCCAATACATTTTAGTTCTTTAGTTTCTTCAGAGTTTTCCAGTCAAGAATGAATTCTCGTATAGAGTTGGTAGTAATTAAAAATGAAGATAAATTCATAAACAATATAATAGAATAGGGGTATTCTGGGTCTCCATATTTCTCTTCCTATATGAACGAAAATGACGTTTCGTTTGTATATTATCCAACTGACAGTCTACAGATTGTATAAAATAGTAAGTTACGTAACAAGTTCGGAAAATACTGTTTCTTTGAACGAGTAGACAAAATTATAGGCCGATCCGTAGGCGAGTCCTGGAAGTCTGCGAGTCCAAAAAAATTATTTTTGGATGTGTTGCATATACTATTTTGTCGGCAACCATGTAGAATAACAAATCAATGAGACACATTTCCATATTATATTTCTTTGTAGGATACAATTTCTCCTTTAATTCTCATTTGTATCAAATCTCCGCTAAGCGTCGTTCGGCCATCTGCAATCGCGTACTGAAAAGCATCACTTTCCGCACTTGTTAGGTGAACTACTATTGTAAATATGTAGTAGGTACATACATATCTATTTTCAGGATTGAAAGCTGTGGTTGAAGATACTATGCCGGAATTATATATATTTCCAACGGTGAAGATAGAGAAAAAGCAGATCACTAACGAAGAATATGACTTTTCCTGGCCTGATGAATTCATGAAAAGAGTTAAAGCTAAGAAAGTGTCATCACAATCGCCAAGAACTACAACAGATATGCCTAGAAAGAACCATTATACTGAAGAAGTCGACTTCTCCTGGCCAGATGAATTCGAAAAAAGAGTCACAGCTAAAACACGAATATCGACAAAAAGTCCAACAGGCGTTCCCAAGAAAATTCATTACACTGAAGAAGTACCCTTTTCCTGGCCAGATGAGTTTGGGAAAAGGATAACAGCTAGGAAAATGTCATCACAATCTACTAAAACTGTAACAGATGATACTAATAGGAATCATTATACTGAGAAAGTAGCATTATCGCATGAATTTATGAATAGGAAAGAAGATAAGAAAAAATCAACACCATCGACTGAAACTATAACAGACAAGACTAATGAATTTGTGAAAAGGAGAAAAGATAAGAAGACGTCAACACACTCGACTGAAACTATAACAGATAATACTAAAATGAATCATTATACTGAGGCTGTCGCATTTTCTTGGCCAGATGAATTCGAGAAAAGAATAACAGCTAACACAAAAAAAGTATCAAAAAGTCTTACAGGTGGTCCCACGAAAAATCATTACACTGAAGAAGTTCCTTCTTCCTGGCCTGGCGAGTTTGAGAAAATAATAACAGCTAAGAAAGAATTATCACAATCCCCTGGAACTGTAACAGATGAGACTAATAGGAATCATTATACTGAGGAAGAAGAATTTACTTTGCCGCATGAATTCCTAAAAAGGATGAGAGGTAAGAAAAAATCAACAAAATCGACTGAAACTATGACAGAAAAAACTAAAATGGATCATTATACTGAGGAACTCGCATTTTCTTGGCCGGACGAATTCAGGAAAATTGTAACAGCAGAGACAATACCATCCCAATCGGCTAAATTTATTAAGGATAAAACTAATAAAAATAATCATTATACTGAAGAAATCTCATCTTCCTGGCCGGATGAATTTCTGAAAAGGGTAACAGCTGAGAAGAAAACATCACAATTGACTAAAACTATAACGGATAAAACTAACAAGAATCATAACACTGATAAGAACACATTTTTTTGGCCAAAAGAACTCGAAAAGAAAGTCACAACTGGAACAAATGATGAGTCGAAATCGACACAATTTGTGGAAATAACTATTCCAGGTATGTATACCCATAATGAAATTATTGATATTGGGTCGACTGATCCATTTTCATTTACAGGAACCACAAAAAGGATCTACCACGAACCCATCGAAGAACAACTAGAAGAGTTTGCTTTCACAAACAAACTAAATGAAATGACATTATGCGAAGCATGTGTTGATGAGCGATCGAAAAATACGACCACCACTAATATAGGTAGGTTGATAAACACGTTAGCTCTGACAGAAATGAGATCAGATTGATGTATAACGATATTTTTTCAGGCAATGATGAACGAGTAATTCCTCATCATACACATGAGAAAGAATCTGCTGGACCAACGGCAACAACAAAATTTCAGATTGAAGAAACTGGGAGAGATGGTATCAAAACAACTACATCGTCAATAGATTCCCCACTTGTAAGTGATAATTTAGAGCTTAAAGAACATATGAAACATATTGTAGAAAATATGACTGAACACACAGTCAGTGAAAATATGAAGGAGAAGATAATTACTAAATGGTTCGAGGAAAAACCGAGTTCAGAAAAATACAGAGAATCTATCCCAACGATATCAACTGACGCTAATTTTCAAGCTAGGGAAACTAAAATGATGACTGGAGAAACTACAGTAGTTACTAAAAATAATAACTCGGGGAAAAGAACTACAGCACATAGAAAAGGGACATTTTCAACATCAAAAATTGATGTGACTAGAAGAAGCTTCAAGCAAATGATAACTGAACAGTCCAATGAATCGCAAACCTCTAGGCAATTGAATGAACTAGAATCTGAAAGAACGAAAGATATCGCTC